GGATGAAAAGGAATCCTAAAAGTGCATGAGATACTAACGTAACAATGGAATGAAAAGGAATCCTAAAAGTACGCGAGATACCAACGTAACAATGGAATAAAAAGGAATCCTACTAGTGAGCGAAATAAGAACGTAACAATGGGATGAAAAGGAATCCTAAAAGGTGCGCGCCAGAGGTACTAACAATGGATTGAAAAGGAATCCTAAAAGTGCGCGAGATACTAACGTAACAATGGAATAGAAAGGAATCCTAATAGTCTGCGAGATACTAACGTAACAATGGATTGAAAAGGAATCCTAAAAGTGCGCGAGATACTAAAGCCGGTGACACAATTAGCGATTTTATACGTCGATCGCGGGCACACCTGGCGAAAATCGCCCGGTGTGTCGCTGCCATCGGCATATCAAATCGCCGATATCTGGCATGTCGGATATCGGCGATTAAATCCGCCGGCAGTCGCCGAGTCTGCCCGTTCCCGCGATTTTCTCCTCTTTCCACAGCGAGTCGCCAGTAAAATTAATCAATCAAGGCGGCGATATTATCACATGGCTTTTCAAAACGGCGGAAGACATCGAAAATTGTTTCTGAACCGAAGAAAAAGAAGTCAATTTGATCACACTGTGGTCCGAAAGGCCATGCTTTTTTGATGTAACGTCGAGCGACTGTGGTAATCGTCTTAAGAATGAGATCCAGGTCTTCGACCATATTTTTCTACTGTCCCACTTTTCAGAACGCTTCCTGGAGCGCTTTAGTTGCAAAATTATGGCAGCAGCTAACAATTTTTTTTGCTTCGCTGTCGCCATTTTGTTTGTCTACATTGGTTCACGCAATTTTTAAACGTCATCTGATGGAACCTGGAATCAAGGCTGAAGAAATAGGCCAAAAAAAAATCGCCAAGCGTGTTCGCAGCGATCTGTGACGATCAAATTCGCCGCAATCGGTGTAGAAAATCGCCAGGTGTGTCTCCGGCTTAATTTGGGATGAAAAGGAATCCTAAAAGTGCGCGAGACATTAACGTAACAATCGAACTTTAGAGAATCTTGAAAGCGCACGAGATACTAACGTAACAGTCGAACTAGAGAAAATCTTGAAAGTGCGCGAGATACTAACTTAACAATCCAATGAAAGAAAATCCCAAAAGTGTGCATATCATACAGTTGATGAAAAACTCTAAAAGCAATTTGAGAGACGGAAGCCAACTTTTGAGCGCACTGTTCAATTTGGTTGTGGTCTAATTCAAGAGCTCTTGTCGATCGTCAATGATTAGGCTCGAATATTTACAATAAGTCATGTTAGAATGAAATTATATATAAGTTGATGATAAATCATGGGGAAAATTGAGAAACAAAATCTTTTCATGGAACATACTTTTCCAATTTGTTTCCCCCCAAGAGCTCCTACAATTTTCAATTTTAATTATTAGGTTCGAAGATCTTTACTAAACCATGTCAAAAAACGTTCTATGTAATTTGATAACAAACACAGGAAGAACTTTGACACAAAAACCTCTTCTGGGTATGGTGTTCACTTTAAATTTGATTAAGACTCAACTTCATAACACACAGGCTCCAAGTGTTTGTCCAGTTTGTCTTACAGTTTGTAAGAAACTGTGAGACTATTAAACTTATCATATATTACAAAAAAGGAACAAAATTCAGAAATGATAACTGTAGGTAACTATAGATAATTTTGTTTTTGCCTCAGTGGATGAGACATTCAAACAGCCAGTTAATCTCCAAGGCCTTTATCGAAGGAAGTAATTATAATGGAAAAAATGTTTTTATTGGAGACTTAAAACAAATCATATATATAACTTAATTTGAGAAACGTAAGTAAGTACATGAGCATGTTAAATTCTGTTTAGCCTAGGAGACGAGAAATTCAGGCTTCAGGTTGAACAAAATTTGACATCAAATGAAAACCTTCTTTGACATCTTATGACCATCATCCTGGGATATTTTGTTTCCACAGTAACACGTGTAAGAAAATTTCCCGGCCTAGTATCTGTTGTAAGTCTCGCAAATGAATAAGCTCGGTGACTCCCTTTTCTTTTTATATCTTTACTGTCAAGTAAAGACTGCCTTGCAAAATAAATCATCCCGAAAAAAAATAGAATATTCTTATTGTTGCCTGGGGCAGTACTACGTTAACTTGGAAGTTACAAAACTGGCAATCCTTACGTGAAAACAGGTTACTTTCACAAAAACATTTTGATGCGAGCAGGAATTCAAATACAATATTCGACAAATTCAAGATCCTGGATGAGCCCCTGGAAAGATTTACGAAACTTGCTTGGCTGGAGACTTATACCTTGTAAAATATTTGCACTCTCCTGGTGAGTAATACCATTACAAAGATCGAGAAAAAGTTGAATAATCGATATCAGTCTAACAATGACTCTCTAACCTTATAACTTGAAGATAATTTGATTGGCTAACCGTTGTTATGGTAACTTGATTAGTCAGGTGGATAGTCATAACACGCACAATAATGACAAGGTATTTCTTTGACACTGGTGAATCAGATAAAAAGTACTTATGATTGAAATAATTCGTCAAACGAAAACTGCTGAAAAAAACTGAAAACCACCTCAATCGGAAAGAGATCAGAGAAATAAGACAATGAAGTTATTGATACATTTCTTAGTTTTCGGTAATTCTTCATTGTTGTCTGAGTTTGTTAAAATGTCCAACGAAGACGAATAGGCCCTCATGTAGAAAACTAATCTGTTATAAAAAGCCAATTATCTCACCTTGTTAAGGCCTATTTACACGGTACGACTTTGTCGCATGCGACAAGCTTACGACAGGCCTACGACATGACTTAAGAGTCGTAAGCGAGTTGTAGGTTTGATTTACACGAAACAATTCGTGTCGTTAGCCTGTCGTAAGCTTGTCGCATGCGACAAAGTCGTACCGTGTAAATAGGCCCTTAGTTCGTGTAGTTCTTTCCTTCCTTGACTTTCTTGATTTCAAAGTGTTCTCATTTTCTTGTCGATACTGTCCTATGGAGGAAAAAGAGACAAATAAATCGTTCAGAGCCACCACATTTTCTGCTGCATGAACGTAGAAAGATAGTCCTGAAAAAAATTACTCTAAAATCTAACAGTCTAATGCAGTGATGTGTCTTACATTCAAAATAGTAAGGAAAAATAAGACAAAAAAAAGTGTTTATGATAAAGGCCGGTCTAAATCAAATTAAAGCAAGTACTGCTCTGCTCGTCCTTTGTATAAAAGATGGGAACCAATCCTCTAATAACCAGAAACTGGAGTCTATGTTAAAATTTTTACACGATTATCCTCCTCTTCCCTCTCCTTCCTTGGCGGGTTTGAAGGGGGGGGGGGGAGGGTAAGGCGGGAAAAATCAACTAAGTTTAAAATATACTTTAGGTAATCTGAATATAATCCGTTCAGGAATGAAAATAAGTAAATAAGCGAGAAGTACACTAACAATAAAGTACAAATTTCTCATGTTGCTACTGGGACACGTTCAAGAAGAACTGTCATGGCGGCTGCCACTAAGAATTTGTCCCACACTGAGCCATATGCATTACGTTCTTCCGTCTTACATTTGACTCGGTAAATTCATTTTACAAGGACCACAACGAAAAAGATGAATACTGTATTTCTATCCAAATGTACCTTTCCTTGGGTTATTTACCTGAAGAAAAGTGCTGACAAAGTGTAAAGCCGGCATGAATATTCGACATGGCATCTGAACTGCTTGACCCTGCATAGGAAATACCCGCCGACCTGAACAGGACAGGCAATATCCAACGTAATAGGGTCGAAATGACGTATTTCTTGACTCCATGGAAGCTAAAAAAGACGCTCATATTTCTTGTAGTTCGTCAGCTCTTTCCACGTGCAAGACTGAGCGCAAATATGAATATTAATTTGGAAAACTATTTGTAATTCAAATGAGTTTTCCGACTAAAAAATGCTGGTTCAAAATAATCGACAGCAAGTTCTTCGGTCTCATACATTCAATTATAAAACAGAGTAAGATGCCTCAGCTCGCTTTAGACAGATTTTCAGCTTAAAGAAGTCCAATAAAGTACTGCAAATAGTGTTGTAATTCTAGCAACATCAACTCGAACTGAAATAAACTCGAACTCGAGACATTTTGCGTGAACAACAATTTTCCGTCACAACAGAAGTATACGATACAGGTGTTTCTGGTTATTAATTATCGGTTCAGCAGAACTCCCCGATATATAGACCTGTTTCCTTTTCCGTGGGCATTTCGAGTTCTCAAGATGTTGCTGTTTTTCAATCTGCACTACTGTCGACGAAATACGTTACAGACGAAGGAGCTGTTTTTTCCGACTACTTTCCGACTGGATAAAGACCATTACATGATTTTAATACATATCGGTTACATAAATGCAATATCCCCAAGCCTCTCCAGTTGTTTTTCAGAGGAACATGAGAAGGAAGTTATTCCACCCATCCTTTACTTTAGTCGTTTCCGGAGCCCCCATGTGTTCATCAGTTTAGAGGGAGAAAAAGAGAGAAGGAAAAGAGATTGGGGCCAAACTTGGGTCCACTCTTCGATGACGTTTGTACTGTATATTTCAAAAACCAAACAGGAACAGGACGAGGGAAATAAGTTGCACGTTCACGTCCCAGCATGTTTGGATTAACAATCTCTGAATAAGTTAGCAAAAATGTTATGTTAGAAATAAACTCTAATAAGGAACTTTTTTAAATTGCTTTTCTGGCTTCTAATAATCATAAATTATTTGATGGCATTAAAACTTTTAAGTAAAGGATCAAAGTGATAAAACTGAGACGAAAAAGACCTACACCCCAGCTTCTCAAAATCGTTTGAGTATTTAAAATTAACGCTCACACAGATGTAAAAAACCTTACCACAAGAGTAAAGTATCCAAAAATACCACTGACCAAACTCCATCAATCAAGATAAGTACGTATCAGCCAATATCCATTGTAAGGTATCAGTAGGAATTTTTCAAACTTAATTACATCATTTTAGAGCAGTTTTCATTTGAGAGTTGGAAGTAATCTGGAGTTTCGTTGTTTTTGCTTTACTTCTATTTGTGATTGGTCCAGATAAAATCGCGCAACTCTTTCAACCAATCAGATGCAAGACTAAACCAATCACTACTCGTTTTCCCGCGCTTCAGGCGGTTTGGTTGGCTTCACTTCTTAAAAGTTCTCATTGGCTCTTAAGATATATTTTCCTTTCTTCTGATTGGCCGTTGTGATTATTTTGGTTTTGGTGCTTCGACATCAATCGGAAAGAGCTCTTACTGATCAAACTAAAAACAGTCAAACGATATGGCTGTATGCGGAGTCTCCTCAGATTTGTCTCGTAATTTACAGTGAAATATTTCGATACAGTAAATTTAGGTTGGTGTAACTCGATGTTATGTCGCCATCAATGGACCAACTTTGGACAGTTGTAGCAGAAAGTGAGTGCAAGCCTGTTGATGACGTCATTAGGACACGCCCAATGTCACATGACTCAGAACTAAAAAAACGGTTACGGTTCTCAAAAGTATGTGATTTCCTCCCAAGGAGGAGAGAGTGGTGTGTGACAAGCCCAAGTAACTACTCGAAAGAGACTGAGGGTTTAAATTTTAACTCCTAGAAGTGATTAACTTGCCACTTTATTGCAGTTGCAATACATCAACTGGCAAACATCTTATGAGAACAGAAAATCTTGTCAGCTTAAGGGTGTTACCTTGTTTAAAAATGGAATTCTCCTGTCTAGTTTACATAGAAATTTTGGCAGTCAATTAATTGGGAGTTAAGAGGGAGAGTATTATCAAAGAGAATGATGAGTGGCAGCTGTCCAACAGCTTGAACTTTCCCTGGAGGTAGCAGCATGGGCAAATGAAGGTCCAGGGTTCACATCCCACTCTGTCCACTTGATGGATTTGTTTCTGGCTAATCCCTTGTTCAACTGCTCTACTGCGCTTGTAAACAGCCAACTGGTTTGTCTCCTACCATTGTCATTTGAGTGTTGTTAATGAAGGGACAATGATGAAAACTACAAGGTTACTGGTAATTGTGTCACCCTTATATACTGGTAGTCTTCTTGTTTACTGTCCAACATGGCACTGATCCACCTAACATACTCTTATCTGTTGACAATGGTTGTCATGATACATGGTACACTGAGATGTCACTCGTTACATCAGCCACAAATATACTCTCTCTCTGTGAACCAGATGCTATCCAGTTTATCTTGGATCCATGGTTAATTTCATGGGCAATACCAACAGCACTTGCATTTGCCTCAAGATTGGGCTCTGCACCTGAGGCACCATTGCATGTACTACCACATAAATTCCAAGTAACAATCCTACTGTCATCTCCACCTGACACCAATAAGTTGTTTGGGCGAAATCTAGCAAAGTGGACCTGTGTTACACTGGAAGAATGCTTTTTTAGACACTCATCAGGAATAAATTTTTTCTTGCCTTCAAACCTGAAGAGTTGGATGTTGCCACTACCTGCAAAGGAAACCTTACTTCTCAAGTTTTTGTCAACAATTAATCATCACAAGGCAAAGGATAAGTTGACAAGAGTACTAAAATTATTTAGAGTATTAAATAATTTGATTGTAAAAGTATAAATCTCCTCAACAAGAAGACACGTTCATGTTTTAATTCAATTAGTTAATAACTATACACTGTAAAACAACTCACTAGTTATAATGCAATAGATAACAAATAGTGTAGCTGATCAGATTGCAGCATATTTTATGGAATGCAAGTAGCAATGTACAAATGCAAGTTCTCCTTAACATTTTTTGGTTTTTTTTTTTTTTTTAATGGATAGAGTTACTGTGAGAGTAAGTGTTTTCCCCACAGAAAAAAAAATATAAATTAAAAAATGACCCTACAAGGGGTGAAATCTTAACCCTTTCACACAAAGACAATTAATTACACCCCCTCCCCCCTCTCCTTGGGAATGTTCAATGCATTCCTTATAGTGTTTGACAACTAAATTTTGTTGTGCATCAATATATACATTTTTTGAATACCTAGTCCAGCTGCAAACATCCTCCCATCTCCTGCCATATGAACTGAGTGCACAAAAGGTGGGTTCAGGAAATAGGCCCCTTGATTGCTGTCCTCATCTAGCTCTTGGACATTAAGTTCCTGAAGTGCTCTCCCGGATGAGAAATCCCAACTGATAATTTTGTAATCCATAGACCCAGACAGTATTTCCCACGGTCTGTTGGGCCTGAACTGAACTGTTGAGCATATGTTATCATTTCTACCACGCAGGGTTTTGAACAACCTTCCTGATAGCACGTCAATCACTTTAATGTCACCGCTGTCATCGCACGCGGCAAGAAAACCGCCCTTGTAGTGAATAGCTACCTGGTTAATTTCATCTTGGTTAAATTCAAATTCACAAACAGTTGATGACGGATTTCTGAGATCATAACCAAACACTTTGTTCCTACATGATGCGTATAAACGTTCTGGATTTTTCACGCAAAAGCAGACACCATTGATGTCTTTCGAATCATCCAGCTGGGTCGATGGCGAAGGACATAAAAGTTTGTTATGAGATGACCCATCTTTTGACCAGACATTAAGTTCTCCTTCGCCACCTGAAGCTACAACACCTTCTTTGTTCACGTCTAGTGAAATAACAGTTGATGTATGCCCACCAGTCCAAGTACTTTTTTGCATAATTTTGCAAGATTGGAAAATGTTCTGCTTTTCAATCTGCTCTTCTAAATGCTACACATTTCGTGACATTTCGTCACTTTTATCACACAATCCTCTTCTAAGAGAAAACTTTATCCAAATTCGGCCATCTTTACCTAATTTGGATAAAGTGAGTCCACGCAACGCTGGTCAGTGTTGAAATCGGCGCCATTTTGTAAACCATTGTAAAGATTTGAAGAGGAAGAAATATCGCAATAAAAGCCAGAAATAACGCCAATTTTTTCATCTAAATTAAAGAATATAGAAGCCTGAAGATAACCATGAATCCTTTAACGTGAGTAAATCGATTGATCATCGTAGTTTCACGAAAATAGATACATTACTTATGGTCCGTCGGTAGATATGTGTGCGCTGTTGGCAGATAATGCAACCAACTTCCAAAGAGCGGGGCTTATGTTTTGTTAAGATCTCTCATTCAATATTTATTCTTTCGCTCGTGTTTGAAGTGCAAATGTACGCGTCGTTACAAGGTTACCAATCTTCGTCCAAGGTTTGTTCACACAGCTGTCAGTTCAGAGTTGAATTTATAGTGATCAGTGTATTACTCTTCACAGAAACGTCAAAAACATTCAGAAAATGAATGAAAGGATGTTGGAGATGGGTGTGGAGGACAGCCAGGCATGGCACAAGCAGTACAAAGATAGTGCTTACGTCTTCATAGGTAACGTTGATTAAAAGTTTTCATACCCACCGTCAAAATGAGCTACCTTGCCACTGATAACCAATTTCATTGTGCCTTTCATTTTCTGCGCACAAAATGCTGCCCAAGATAACCTTTATTATTCCCCTTTTTAAGACACAGACTAGTGAGTAAAAATTCATTGAAACTGCTTTAAAGAAAACTTTAATTGCATTAAAGTAGCCAATTATGAGAGGGATTTGTGGAAAAACTCAGGGAGATGTAACCTCCCAAATGTGAGGGGCTGGTTTATGCAGTATAGTAGAACTCTGTGAATGTATGCATGCTTTGCCACTCAATGAAATGCATGTAATATAGTCCAGGGGTTTTATTAAAAGCTGGTTACCATTGGTCTGCTGCTGCTTTTGAGACCATGTATGGCCATTTGTCTAGCATGTGTGAAGGCTCTCTTGTTTGGATGTTGCCATTCAGCCCCCTTTTTTGGCCACAGCTGCCTATCACAACATCGGCAGCCTGTTATGAAAACCCCTGGCTAATTGATGGAAGCTCTCAGTTTTTCATATCGTGCACTCTTGCAAATACATGTCCTTACATTAACTGTAAGCTCTCTCTTTGCAGGTGGCCTACCTTTTGATCTCACTGAGGGCGATGTCCTGTGTGTGTTTTCACAGTAAGTTGTCAAATTTCTGATTGATAATTTCTTTTCACTCACATTAGTTTGTTTACTGTTAAGATGGCCACCTTTTGCTGATGTTCAAGTTTCTCTAGCAGCAGTGTTGTTTAAAAATTTAGATATCATGAAGATGATGATGACTGCCATTTAGATTGTGAAAATGTCTGTCACTTCTACAAACAACAAACATGGGTATTAAATAACTAAAATGTTAACAATGGGGTCAATCTTCTAAATCTATTAGCAGTGCTTCTTTCAGAAGCAAACCATTTTTTGTAACCAATTAAGCCTCTTGAACCTGCTCAAAAATTGTCTATTTGCATAATTCTGTCTATTTGGATCATTGTTTTCTCACTTTGATTTGGCATTTATGGATAGGTATGGGGAAATTGTGAACATAAATCTGGTGAGAGACAAGAAAACTGGAAAATCAAAAGGATTTTGCTTTTTGTGTTATGAAGACCAGCGAAGCACAATATTAGCTGTGGACAACTTCAATGGAATCAAGGTCAGATTTTCCACTCATTAATGTTTTCAAAGAGGAAACAGTCATAATTAATCATACTATCAACTGACTGAGTATTAATAAAACTCTCAGTATTCTGCAAAGATTCTGGTTTGGGACACTTTCATATTGCCTCCTTAATATTAGTATATGCATCCTCCTTATTGTTCTCCCTACATTTCCAAAGGTTCTGATGAGAAGAATTTGTTCAACAATCAAGATATTCTTTAATTATCATTTCATCTACTTACTTGACCTTATGAGTGATTGGGGGGTCATGTTGTAAAGAGCAATTGGATGCTATTCACTAGTTTGTATTACATTATGTTTGGAGCATGCCCTTCTTTTATTTTAATGCCTGTAGTACACTGTACAGTTTTTAAACTTACAATAGGATTGTTTGTGTCTTTTCTAAAGCTTGGTGGCAGAATAATCAGAGTGGATCACTGCTCAAATTATCGAAGACCATTAAGTGATGAAAAGGATGAACATGGGAAAAGAAAGGAGATTATTGAGGAAGGCTGTGCCCCTAAAACACCTTCACCATCACCACCAGCCTCAGAAGATGAGGAGATCCTTGAACTACCAAAGAAGAGAAAGAAAGAGAAAAAAGCAAAGAAAGACAAGAAACTCAAAGAAGAGAAATTGCAAAAGAGAAAGAAAATGTTGTCCAGCTTAGGGCAAAAGGATCTTGAAGAACCTACCAGTAAAAAGAGAAGTGTGCTTGGGTCTGATAACAAAAGGGAAGGGAATGACAGAGATCTGTCTCGTGACCGTGATTTGCGGAATGTGAAAGCTAGCGTGGTGCACGACAGTGGACGTGATCATGATTTTAGAGACCATCACACTAATAAACAGGGTAGAGATTCAAACAAACATGTCCGCGATGGGCACATCAGTGATCGTAAGCGTGAGCGAGAAATTAATGAAAGCGATCGCGAAGCACGCAATCGTGAACAATATATTCGTGAGCGTGACCGTGAAGCACATACTCACGAATTCCGTGACAATCACATAACTAGTAACCGTAAGGATCAAAGAGACAGAGACTATCGTTACTCATCGCGTGACAATAGAGGGCATGAGGTAGATGAAAGAAAAAGAGACAGGTTCAACAGGCCAGGAGATCATCGAGATGAAAGTAGGAAGTATGAGAGACGGGACAGAAATAACTTCAGTGATCGAAGGGACAGAAGATGACGGGTTTCAAACCAAATTGTTCCCAGTTCCTTAAAAAACTTAGGTTTGAAAGCAATACCAAACAAAATTGTCACTTCATGATTTTATTGTAATAAAATATCCATTTACATTTGATAAAGAATTTTTTTGATACCTGAAAATCTTGTAATTCATGGTAACTCAAAGAGATTATAGCTTTAGATTGTCAGTAGCTTGGAATTTACCACACTGTAGAAAGGTTTTCCAAATACACGACTGGCACATGTAGAAAAAATTGAGCCTCAACATACTGTATCTTTTTATAACATGCAAACTATGGAATTTTATTTATGTTTTATATTATGCAATAAACCGCTTTTTCAATTGGTGACCCACACAGGATGATGGGAGAACATGAGAAAAGTTTGAAAAATCACGAGCCAGAGGTGAGTGATTTACAACCTTTTTGTTGTTTTCCCAACATCACGCAAAACCAATAGGATAAGCCATCTAATGCTTTTATAAAATAAACTTCAATTTTTCTCTGAATTTACCATTGCAAGACACAATAAGTGTTTGACCAATCAGGGTGCTCAGTTATTTTAGAAAATGCCTTTAACCCTGGTTTCAATAGCAAAGCAGCATTGCAGAGAGATTGGATATTGGTGTAAATCATTTTTCTTCTGCATGTGAAAGTCCGTAAAAATGATGACTGAGGCAGAAGAGCACAAAGTAGCAAGTTTGGATCTGAAACCTTAGAGTCCACATGTTATTGAGGGAGACACAAAACGACTTGAACATCACTGCAAGTCTTTAGAAGACAAATTGATTTGACTTCATGCAGTTGTTGACATGAGACGATATTCAATTAATGATACGGAAACAAAACAGTGCATGAAAATGGTCTCTAGATTTGTCATAAGTATAGCAGAGCCTTTGGAAGGTTAAGGGTCTTAAGTTTAAGAGAGGGTTTGTCATTTGCCAATTGCAGATATCCCATGAGCAGGCCCCTGTGATAAGCACTACAGCACAAGCGTTTCTTTGTCTTCCAGAAAGGTTAAATACCTAGGGGGGGTTCTGAGGTGTCTGCCAAACCCCTCAGAAACCTCTTACCGGCTCCTGTTACACAAGCCCTCACAGGCAAAGAAATGCTTATGCCACAAGTTAATAATGACAGCTTCCTTGCAGGCTCTGTCAGATATGGTTAAATTCATCTTATCACGAGGACTTACTAACCCTATCAGAGCTCCTCTATCTGATTGCATGGACCTTATCATTCCATTAGCCCTAAATAACAGAGAGATGTTTGTATTCAATTAACAGCAATGTGTTTGTGTATTCTAACAGTCCTAGTCTCAGAGTTGTATGTCTTGCTGCCTTCACTTCTGTCCATGCGAAGAGGAAGAGTACTGGTAGCAAGAGAAGATACCTCCCAATATAAACTCCTTGATAAAAAGAGTCTGTATAGCAAAAGGATTGACATGGACTGAGCAGTCAACAAGCCCCATGTGATAACCTGAAATCAACAGATATATAAGTATTCATGAATGTTCAGTTTCAAGCTAGTCCACTTCTAACAGTGTAGGGATAGCAGAAGCTGGGGAAGGCGGGGGATGGGGATGTGCTGTAGATGGGGTCGTATTTTCATGTCTGGATTGATTGTAATGGTGTTACTTTTTTAAAAGAGGGAATAGAATGGGGTTGTGCTTTTTCAGGATTTTGGGGGTAAGAAAATTCTTGTAGGTAGGGTCAGTTAGCAAATTACCAGAAAGTTTGTATTGAAGGCAAAAAGTAAAGTGATCTAAATTCAAATCAACAAAAGAACCAATTTATTTTAGGTTGGTGTACATAAGGCTTTATGAACAAAAAGTGACAAAGTTGGGATTGCAAAAAATCACATTTTGCCAAGAAGTGACCCAGATGGTCTATAAGCAGCCACAGAATAGACTATGATAAGGTAGGGGTTTTGAGGGGCCTGCAGCACATACCCAATCATGCACTATTTCAAGTGGCAGTAATCACATTTAACCTTTGAGAAATAAACCACCCCTTATCATGTCCTGTTCAAAAGTGAGTTGTTTATAATCAAACCTATTTGTGATACACTGTACCTTGATCTGAATTTAATCATAGTTACCTTAAATCTTGAATGAACAGGTAATACCAATGACAAAATTGCTAAAGCTGGGTATGCTAAAAGCCATGTCAAACAACACTGAAAACAAAAATGCAGTTACCTTAGTTTTTATGAACTACCTCAGTCTGCAACATGAAACATGGGGTACATGTATATGTATCATTAAAACATGATACCCACCTTTGCAAACTTATTATAAAATTCCCTACGGAGTGTACTTCGTTCTTCTGTGATTTTCTTACTAATGTTGACACCAAAGCCACCAGCTATCAAAATTTTTATAAGAACTAAAAGAAGAGTCATATCCCAAAATGACAACATGACCTGCAAATAAAAGCAGATGATAAATTAGGGTAGGCTGTCATAATTAAAATTCTAATGGCAGAAATCCTTCTTTTGTAAATTTTTCCCAAGCACAATTCAAGAGAAATCAGAGATAAAGTTGGTGCCACAAAAGCCCTTGCAAACTGAGTTCACAAAGGTTCATTTTTTAAAAATCTTAAAATTCTAAGACATTCCACGATGTGTTCCACAACCTTATTGATGTGTTTCATTACCAGTAATTGAGATCTTGCTTCCCAAATGAGGAAAAAGCGAATATGTCAAAAAGGGATTTTATGTTGTTGTTGAATAATGGGATTAATTTTATAATTAAAAGAAACTGTAGTGCTATGTTTGTAGGGGTATAACAATATAATTTGGTTTCATCATCTGAGTAGGTGATGTGAATTGGTCACCATAAAGAGACTCTTAAGCTGACATTTCCAGCATCAGTTTCAATCAAATAACTGTGTCAAGTGTTAGTTTAGGAAATGGTTGGCAACCCACCTCAAAACCTGAAACTACAATAACACCAATATTAATCTGCTTCATTTGTTTTGGATCAAGAGTTGAAAAAGAAGAACTCAGAGTCCATCCTGTAGATAACTTGGCCATCATCAATAACATCTGATATCCTGCAAGGCCATTAACTGCTGTAATAAAATATTGAATACAAAAGATTAAAGTTTTTGTTGGATTTACCCCACAAGGGAAGAAGTCATGGTCCTGATGTTTGGCCTGAAAGGGTATGGTGCGACCTGCTCAACAAGAAGTACTTTGCAAAGGTTTGATTCTTGCATTGTGTATACTATATCTCTATTTACCCTCTTTGACTGGAATCAAGAGTCTTTAATATGAGGTGAGCATTAGCAATGTACAGTCTAAATGGAACGAAGGAGAAGGAGTGAATTTTGCATGGTAGTTATAATTAGGAGAATTTGTTTAACAAACACGAGCTTCTTGAGTTTGTGATCATTTCCTTAACTCTCATAACCTTAATGTTTGATTCAGAGGTGACACTGTTGGGAGAAATAAGATTCTTACAACTCTTTGGGGTTTAAGGGTTAAGCCTGTTCTGCTTGATGAGATGGTTATAATGCATCTCTATTCACAGGAATGGCAATTGAAACAACTTAACCCTTTAACTTCCAGACCAAATTTGTAATTCTCCTTACTGTCAACCATATGATTCTTATAATGTTAGCTCAGAGAATTTAGTATTGGATCGATGAATTATCCAAAAAAATTTATAGTTTTCTTTATTTTCATCACTCGTCTGGTTGATATTGTATTAATATTGTAAGGAGAAAGTCTGTCTTGGTCACTCATGGGAGCTAAAGGGTTAAGAGTAGTAAAAAGGCCGTGTAATAAAGTAACTTTCTTTCACAATGTTTACCTGTGGAGAGATTATCAAGAAGAGGATAGCCTTCACCATCCTTGGAATATCTAGGGTTTAAAAAATTGTAACAGTTAGAATAATCAAGTGATTACATGCTTATGATTAAAACTTTCACCACAAAATCTGTGCAAATGAAAATAAAAATTGTGAATACCTGTAGATATGGATGAGAGTGAGAAAGTGTCCTGCGCCTTGGTAAATCAGGGCTATTGACAGCATTTTGATCACCTAAAGATTACACAAAACAAAAATGTCTCAACAGTAATATTTTATTGAGGCCAGTCTCATGTGTGGATATTATTAAAAGCAAATATGGATTTTAAGTGGACTCTTAAAATAATGTAAAAGACTGTCCACAGTAGGTTGAGGTTTTGACACTGTTGGAACCTGGACATGATTCAACTTGGCATGAAGTTACCAAGATTCAGGCTCTTACAACAGATTTTTTGGTAAATTCTTGTGCAAGAAACACCAGAGACACACACCAGGCCAATTAGCTACCAACACTCGAAATTACATTCAAGAATGAGACACATGTATTGGTAGTTTTGAAATTCAGACTGAAAATATCAGAAAATGAAACAGAGTGGACAAATTTTTAAGCTAAGATCCACACATTTATCCATTTAATTAAAATTTAAAAAAATGGCTTTGGGCCCATAGAGCTACCAGGAATTTCAAGAAACTGGTTCTGGGGTTCAAAATGAAACATCTTAATCTGCAATTCTATGCACAACAAATCTGGCCTTCTTTTATCACCAGAAAGGAACAATGACAGCAAACACAACCAACTAAGCAAAATCATACTATTTTAATTTGACATAAAATTCCTTTCAGTAGCAGTAAAAGGAATGCTTGATCTTTAGTAAGAAGAACTGATACCTTGACCAAGGTTGACCCTTCTACCCCTAGGAGTCACTAGCATAAAATTTCTCCGTACAGTTTCACCCTGGAATCACACATTGAGGTCATGAGAATAAAAGAAATGATCGCAAACTAAAGAAGCTCTTGATTGTTAAACAAATTCTCCTTGTCAGCACCTTAGGAAATGTATAGAGAACAGTGTGGAGAATATGCATAATGATGTTAAGGTGTAAAGGGTTAATACAAACATACCAAGTGCATGGGTCCTCCTTTCTGTATAGTCTGCCACAGACGCTGACCATAAGCTATTGCTCCAGCAAAGTAAAGGAATGCCAGCACCTCATAGAATGAAAGCAAACCTGTAAATAAAATAATAAAATCCTGTTGCTCCTGAAAATATACTGATGAGGCTGGCAATTGGAAAAAGAAGAGGAAGCAAGTATAACCTCTGATGGATGAACATTACATCTTGGGGAAAGTGGCAACACTCTTAGTAATTTCTTCCTGTTTTGTTGTACAGAAACTGGGAGAAACTACTGGCCACTTAAGAATGGCAAAGGACTTAATCTGGTTACCATCAGATTCAAAACATGAATTGCTTGGATTCTGGAGCCTTCCTAAGTAATGTTCCAGAACAAGAATTCTTCATCAGAACTTCAACAAACCCAGATACTGTGAAGTTTAACTCATTTTACAATACAAATGCTGACCTGTCTCATCACAGCCACAGTGATTTGTTGGTTTTCCACCAGAATCAGGATTAAGCATTTCTAAAGTGAATGCAATGTCATCAAGAGCTGGCACACTAGGGTCACAGGTCACAGAATCCGCATACAGAACATACCATACCTTGGGGTCATCCCAAGGGGAAAACTTATTTTCTCCTGATGTAGTTTCAAGTGCAACTGAAAGAGGCCCAGCAATAGTGGTTAAAAAGGATCTCCATAATTGATAATTCATTAATGGCTCAATTAAAAGTATAAATCATCCAAGTTAACCCTTTAACTCCCAAGATCTGATTGTTAGTTAACCACTCTGGCTGCTACACTTTTAATTTCTAGTTAATTCAAGATATCAACTTCTCTCTGACAAGTTCAAATTTTCTCATTTCCTGTTTGCTGGACAATGTATGGATCTTAAAGGGAGAGGTTATATGTTGGTCATTTCTTGAAGTTATAGAGGTCTGTCATACATTGTGTGCAGACCCTAAAATATCTGATAAAGTGGAAGGGACATTCTCTATGTGCATTTATAATAAAGTTCGGATATAACGCGCGCTGTCATTAGTTGAAAGAGCGTGCTCTATGAGAGTATAGAACATAGAGCTGAGCTACAGCTGTTACGCCATCTGCCAATTGTACTATGTTCGAGCTTTTCCGGGACTTCTTTTTAGCTTTTTTCCGATAATTGAAAGTGAAATTTCGGAACTGAAGCAAGCCGGCAAGTAGCGACAGAAGAATCAAACAAAGGTTTGTAAACATACCAGGCGCCGTAATTTACGTGTGTAAGCCGCTTCCTGCGTGCTTTATAACAGAACAGAGCACAGTCAAGGCTTCTCTATGTGCATACAGAGAGAGTCTTTACCATTCATGAGTATCAAAAAAATGAAGTTGTTCGTCTTACATGAATATTGAGCCATATCAAGCCTGTTCTGACACTGTGATGTTTGCTCCACCAATGGCCATTTCTCATCAAGGAAAAAATACAGCTTTCCACTTGAGGTTGTGTTTAACTTAAAAGTAACCAGGGCATCACCTAATGTACATAATGATATGACAAGAAAAATTAAATCAACAAGCAATCACTAGAATCTCTCGAGAACTGCTCCACCTCAAAAGCGTCATCTATGTGTTTCGGGAATGACAGATACACATTTAGCTGGCCATCATGGCTCATGCTTTCCGTGGCCATTTTCTGAGGAAAATCACAGAAGGGCGAGTTTAAATAATATTCATATAACATAGCAATACGTGGTGAACTGGCGGTAAGCACATCTAACAACCCACAAATCAGCTGTCGCGAAAATTCGCGAAAGCTGAAATTCTACCTGCTCACACACACCTCTGGATAATAAAACGAGTGTTTCTTGAAATTGCGTCTCCTGTTATCGTAGGTTAATAAATGAAAAGACAAAAATTCATTCCCAGCTGAATTAAAACTTACCGTAAAAGCAGAACTTAGTCAGATACTGACCCTGATACAGTCGGGCCGAACGAGAGCTGAAAACACCGCGCAAGGTTCTGCAATTTACGATCATTAGGAAGCTAAATAAAACTAGCACCAGGAAACAGAGATTTGGCATAATGATATCTTTCGTGAGAAATAATATCTAAAGAATTAATTTGCGTCAAATACGCATTAAATGACCATTTGTCTGAGGAATGTATCTCTGCGTCTGTCCATCCGCCATGTTTTAGTTAAAATAAATTGCGCTTGCGCGTTCGGTTGCCACGTGTACTTGGAAATCTAAAACCTTGGACTGGAGGATTGTAGTAGTGGATGGTAACCAGCCACTATATTGAACTTGGAACATAGGAAATTGACCTAGAAAAAAGGCAAAGTAAAAATCAGTGAGTAGTAAAACCTGGAAAAATAAACAAAAAACAACAACAAAATACGACAAAACCAACAGAAAAAAGAACAACAACAAAAAACGCAAAATGTTTAAATAAAAAAGTAGATTTAGTTTTTATTTCTTTGAAATTGAAAAAAGACACAAATAGAGATACGGTTTCCCAAAAGAAAATGTCCAGTTGACAGTAGAAAACTCGAGTCATGAAAAAAAAAAACCCCAAGATTTCGTCCAAAGATTACCGATTCGACTGAATGCTATGATATTTACATACGCGTATCCCGTTATTTTACACTGGTTGTATGGTTATTACAGGCAAAACATTTCATATCTTATTTGCAAAGGAACTTATTTTCTTTTTTAAAAGTTCTTTTTTATTTTAAAAATACGAAAATTTTCCAAGAAAATTGCACCAGGCAAATAACCTTTTTCTACATAATTCAAGATCGTTTTGCATAAGATTTGTTGGAGGCAAACAAAAAATCAGCAATATGCATTTTTAAGTGCACGATAAGGCATTAGTGGTGGCATCATGGTAATTTTTTTTTATTACCAAAGTGAAATACGATAAGGTGCATCACCAAATTACCAGCCACAACAGAGATTGTACCATTTTAACAAGAATGTATATTTGCTTTTTATGAGTCAAAGGGTGAAGCGATCGCCCTCTACTTGTTCGTGTACGTTTCCTGTGACTACAAACACGAAATAAACTCAAATCTCTCTCGTTGAATGGAAGAAGTACCGACGTTAGTCTGTGTGATATTGAACTTTTAGCCTTCCCAAAGATGACATCTAATAGAAATAACGATTGTATAAGACGACTTCATCCTCAAAGCCAAAATTTTAATTTCGGTTCTAAATATTGTCATCAGGTAAATTGTAATAAGTATTTCCTGGTAGATAAGAGATTAAGATAAAAATGTAAATTTGAAGAACATAATAATTTAGACTTTTCTTTGTTTATATGAATTATTTTAAGGATTAGACGTCAGATTTTTAACATATATATGCAATAATGCTTGGATTGTCATTGTGGCAAGACCAATTGAAATAAAACCTTGCAATTGTAAACTGTGGTATGAAAGCTAGCGAGGATTCCAGAACAAATGTAAGTGCCCCCGGGCCACGAGAAATGATCAAACACCCAAGACTAATAGGTTTTTCGAGTTAATGAAAAATTTCTATAAGAGTTTATGCTGTTGATGTTAGAAAATTCCCCTTGAGCCCAGTGCGCGTTCTAACGGGCAAAATACATCAATGTCTGTCACAAATTACATCAACACTAATGAACATAATCCTGTATCAAATTTAATGCTCTTTGCGTTGCAGTCTATACGTGTCTTTTGTCCTGAAATGCTATCAGAATCGACAGAATTATTGTCAACGCTTAACGATGGATGATCACGAATTAAACTTTGCGTCTTCCTTGGGGCACGATTCTTCAAGCAAGACCCTTGAGTCGGACTCATCGGAGCGCATGAATCGACGAAAATCGAAGGTTTCCATCTTTCATTTAGCTGCCTTTGTTTTCGTGTTGGGATTTTGCTTCCTTGTAGCTGGAGTAGTGCTGATAACTTTGTCTCAAACACGGACACCAGAGACGCAAAAGAACTCTGCCTTCAATCAAACGATCGACAGTAAAGAAAACTACACATTTGGCGAAAACAAGACAGTCACAGAAAGTCGCTGTGCGTTTTCGTCAGGAGGTCAGCTTGCAGGTAGGTGTATCTCTGTGACAGATGTCTTGTATTAAAATGTTTTGCCGGCAGTACCAGTCAACCATCGTTAACTGCTACTGATTTATTTCGTCCATCGAGTTAATAGGCACAATAGCCAACGCATCATTCTCGTGTAAGGAATTTTTGATTTGTTTGTTTGCTTTTGGTCATTTATTTTTTCTTCTGCTGAAGTCTCAGATCATGGTCCTCGTGACAGACTATTTTTTCAGGGTAATCGGCTTTTTCGATCGTGTTGAAAAGGAGCGAGGAATTTGCCTAAGAGCAAAGCATCTTAAATTTTACTATGATCTAAATGACTTTTAACAATGCTCAGCGGTTTTGTTGTTTAGAATTCTTGGATAACTTAATCGATGTAAGGAAAATATTGAATTTTAATCTTTCTGATAAAATTCTTTGATTAGTTTTGTGACTTCACTATTTTGACAACCGTTCGACAAATTTGAGCTTCAATGGCAAACTAACATTCAAGTCATGTCAATGCTATATCTTATCAATATTGTCATAAATATTATTTCTTAAGTCTTACACATTTCTTTTGTGCGGCCTACATAACACATCCCCCGTGTGGCTTTTGGCAAACTTTGAAAACATCTGAATGTCCTATTCCTCGAGCAAAGAATAATGACTAACTCATATGGAAACGAGAAAGTTGTCCAGCTCCCGATTAAAACTTGCCGTTGCTAATTTTGTAATGTTCCAAACTGGTTCTGTGACATCTGGAGGAATTTTTAGGAATTTCCTCATTGCACAATCATCTAAAAATATGGAAAAATATGAATTACTACGATTCGTGCTTTCATTGGTCGATAGGTGTGTTTAGACAACACGATTATGACGCTTTGTAGTTTGATTTATAAGCAATACAGGACCTTTTTCGTCTTATAATCAGGGACTTATCTGAAGAATTCCTCGGAAGGTATGGAATACCAGAGACAAATAAATGTCTCGAATTCTTCCAACTCGTTTCGTGTTCAGATGTAAACGTAGCCTGAAAAAAAAGACGCTCTATTTTTTGCGTCTTTCAAGCGAACAACCCCCTCCCAAAAAAAAAAAAAAATTCGATGTCTTTTTTTTTTGGCGCTCCTCTCATACTTGGTTTACGCCAGGCACTCGCCTCCTGCTTGCCTCCTTTCGCCTGAAAACGCAAAAAAATGAAGGTTTGTTACAATGTATACACGCTACTGACATTATTTTCACCCTTTTCGTGCATTTTCTTATTTCGTAGTGTAATAATAACCATAAACTGCAAGTAACTTCCCCATAATGAGTGAAACCACGGTTTCCTCGGGCTTGGCACAACAAGATTTGTTTTTATATTGTTTGCTTGTTTTTTCTACGCTTTACCAATGTTACAGTCAGTTTAGTGTGTTTTCTGTCCTTTTTCTCTCCGGTCCCGTAGGTTTAGAGTCATTCTTCAGAAAGATAAGAGAAGTACAAACCAGCTTTACACCTTACAAAAGTTACCTCACAAAAGAACAATTTAAACCTTACAACCCAGAGCCACAGGCAGTCAAAAAGTTAACTGACCAAACAAAGAGACTCTATGAAGAACTGTTGGAGATAAAAGCGAGCTTGGAAGTGGGAAAACTAAAGCTACATGAAAGACGACAATTAGCTGTTGCGGAGCACGAATTGAAACATTTCTTCGGGAAACCTTATGGAAACAATTATTATACAGGTTAGCCAAAGTGCACCTCTGTATTCTCTATTTGGTTTCAAGCTATTGCCCTTTCTTTTTGTCAGCAGGAAGGAGTCTGGTGGCAGGAAAGCCTTCAAAGCGCGTGAAACAACTTAGATAACACTTGATGTCAACACGCGCTTGGAGACCCCACGTGCTGGAGTGTTTGGGAGACTTCGTATACTCCATGTCTTCTCCTTCTTGGTTCTTCTACTGGAACTGAAGCTTACCAATTGATGAATCATAGAATACGATAAACTTACATTTTCCGTTTGGAAGAAGAATAATTGAAAGGATTACCACCGACACGAACGTAAAGATTGAACGTAAAACAAAATGGAAAAGAAAGAGTGCCCTCGAAAAAAAAACCATAGTTTAAGTAATCTTCTTCATAACCGTTCGCTGGGATGTCACAGAGCGCTCCCTTCTCCCTCCACTCTAGGAGTGGAAGAGTGTGTTGCTTGACATTCCACAGAACGGCTGCGAAGGAGATAATGGTTTTATTGGAGTAAAAGTCATTAATTATAATTTGCCGATAATTTCCACTAAGATAACAAAAAAATTCTTAAGAAAAGTTTTTTTCTTTTCGTCGAAAAACTGTTCTTATTTTCTGTATCGAAATAATCGAATTTTACATGCTAGTAGTCAGAGGGTGTTCGCCGTCGTGACTCATATAATTTTTTTTCTCCGTGTCGATCAGGAGCTTGGATGCTGGGTCCGAGTCAGAGATGCACATTGGAACCAATCGCATCTCTACCTCTTCACTTAAACATGGCCCTTTACATATTTTTAACAAATCAGAACAAAACTTTGAAAGTTGCAGAAGATTTCATAAAGATGCTACCAAAATTTCGAGAAGGAATCCAACGGTACAAGTTGAACCTACAGAGGGGTGTGACATCTGGAATGATCCGCTCCAGAAGCGAGTGTGTCGAGGGTATTGACTGCATGAAAGGAAAATACCGTGATCTTTTTACGCAAAGATCTCCCGAGGCTGTGCTATCCTGGTATAGAGTGCACAATCGTATAGAAAACTATGCGAGACACGTAAAACCGCAAGATTTATCTTCGTGGATTGAGAAGTATGGAAAAAATATGTCCGACTCTCTAACAAACAGTGTCGTCAAATTCATCGGAATGCCAATGGTCAGTTTGTTTGATTATCTCGAAAATGATCACATGGCACACTGCGTGCCTGACAATGTATCCAGTGGACTGGGAACAAGGCCCGTTGATCACGTGTATATCAACGGGACAAAGACGTCAATAAAGACCAACCAGACATTGGATGGCAAAGAAGGGATAATGAAAGGAAAAGATGCGTATGCGGAAATTCTTTCGTATTTCACCACAACAAAGTATACACCAGGCAAGTAGTGATTCTGAAAATTATGATATCAAACTAGGGGACTGGGGGAGGGGGAGGGGGGAAGGATTATTCGGGTTGATTTTACTTGTGTCACAACAATATCTGCCTGATCCCCCCTCGGCTTTTGTAGTTTTCTGATAATTCTCCCTCATTGGCTGTCAATTGTCAGTAGTCCCACCGTTATACTCAGTTGGCGACGACTGATTTCCCCCCCCCCCCGTTCCTCCTGAAAACCATTTGACACCCCCCCCCCCAAAAAAAAAAAATCTTCCGACCCCTCCCCCCCCGGCGATAAAATTTGATTGGTCCTTAAGTGAATGGTGCTCAGCATATCATCATTTTAACAAGACAAGCAACCATAGCAAAGATATGATCTACGAGACAGATTTTTAAGACACGTTTTAGCCATCGAGAACTCAAAATGAACCGTAATCTAACCTTCTCCGATTCCAAAGAGTAGAACTTACCTTGAGCTGAAGTGGAAACTTTTTGTTCTCTTTACAATTAAGAGCTACTCAGAAATTTCTTAATTCATTAACTTCTGTCATGTCAAACGTATAGCCATGTTAGTAACATGAACTACTGTTGTTTCTGTCAGACGAGGTGCATGACCTTGGATGGAGACAGCTGACAAGGTATCACCAGCAAGCTGTAAACATAGCGAAGAAGATAACAGGTCAAAGAAACGAAAGCGAGGCTGTGTCTGAATTTAAACGCCAGTTGAACTCTTTCGCGTTTTGCATCAACAAGCAGCCTTTTCCCGTAAACGAATCGGACGAGAAAGCATTTCAGAGGTGTAAAAATGATAAAGGTTAGCACTATCAAAATTCAGAATCAAATTCAGGTCTTCCATAACATTATTATTAAACTACACTGATTTACACCCGTCTTTTCTGTTCATTCGCAGTGTAATGTAATAAACACTTGTATTGGCTCGTCGAAATACCCTTATCGAAGTCTTTTCTAGTTGTTTGATGAATTCTTAAAGTATTGTTTTTGACAGCATTTTTGTATTTATTTGCCTTTAATTCTTTTTTGATCAGATGCAACAATTTATTGTCCTCAGCGTTATACCGCCATGTCCCACTGGATGGAAACTGTTCGCAGTACAATGACATTCTTGCGAGGCAAGCTGCTCAAGCTGTTCTACTTCAATGGCGACAGAAGGACGATACCAACTTGCCCTGATGAGCCGGTTATTAGTTTTTCCCGGTACGTTGGCGTGGCAACGCATACGCCATCCGTCGGTGACTGTCGACGCACAGCCAGGTACAACTTGCCATTTTTCGTCGATCGAATGGGGTGTAAGTACATGGAATGGACTACAGCTGTACATGAGGCAGTTCCTGGCCATCATCTTCAATCCGAGGGCTACAAGGCAATATTCCAGCCCCGGTAAGTGCGCAATAGATGGACCTCTCTCCTGATAAATGGCGAGGCTAACTAGTAATCATTTGTTTGCATGTAATTGGGCCCTCTTGGCCAACTAAACAAGAACAAGATACCTTTCACTTTAGAGAGGAACTATGAAGACTTATCTGTTCGTTCATAGGAGAATGAAAATGATATCCTCCTCTATGAAAGAGATCTGTGGTTTGGTTACACACTCTGGATTAATTTTCAAATCTTCTTGCACCACATAAAAGGAGTGATCAGAAACTTCTGGTTGAATCGGTTTAGCCTACGGGCTGGCCCTTAGTATTCGTGCTTTGGCACGAGCGTTTCTTCGAACACGGGTAAATATGAGGCCTTGAGCAACGGGAGGGGTCCAGAACTAATAATAAAACCTCATTATTAGTGCCAGATTCCTGGCGAACCTTTCCCCGACTCGTCTCAAATCTACCCGGTGGCGGTGAAACGCGTGTCTCGCAGCACTAACAGTTAGGGCTTGCTCATGCGCTAGATTCGGATGGCAACACACTGGAGTTCAGTAAAAAGACTTCAAAGTTAGAACTATATTGCTGAGATTAAACAGTTCCGATCACTGAATGAAGGGGGTAAATTTGTAGAGAAACTGTGGTGCTGCGTCGGTGGGAGAGTCTAACAGGGTAATTAAGTATTATCAACTGAATTGATAACGTAGATTGGCCAATTAAGAGTTACAAACGTGACGTTTCGAGCGTTAGCCCTTCGTCAGAGGTCAGTATCTGCTCATTAGAATTGTCACTCCCCACATCAATGTCAGAACCACCTTTTACTGTGCAATAAACATTATCATACAGAAGAACTGCCCAGTAGCTTTCATTTAAATGACCCCACAAGGTTTGACCCACAGGCGCAAAAGTCAAACCATTTCATTACACATCTAAATGTTGCCACTATAGAGTTTTGTCGGAAAGCTAAAGCTACATTATACAATATCACAAATGGTAACCAATGAAAGCAAGTAACGTTCGTCTCTGTCTTTATTTTATCATTTGAAGGATAGCACCTTGCCCAAGTATATTAAAACCAAGTCCAATTATGGCTTACAAGGAAGGCTGGGCGACTTACGCTGAACATCCCCTCATGAGCCTCGATTCAGGTAACATCGATTTTCAGTTAGCAGTTGTCTGTGAAGTTAGTTAAGTCCGTTAGTTAGTGCCATTTTTAACTGAGTGTCTAAAGTAATCCGAGATTACGCTTGTTTTGCTTTCTTCGCTCTGCGATTGGTCCAGAAAACTCGCGGCACGCCCCTAACTAATTGGATGCAAAACTAACAGCAATTATGACTTGGTCACTCGCGTTTTCCCGCGCTTCAAGCGGTTTCAGTGACTGAGTTTTCATTGGTTCTTCAAGGCATTTTCCTCTTTCTGATTGGCTGTTGTAGTTTCTTTGGTTTTAGTTTTACGACGCTCAATGTAAAAGTGCTCTAAAGTGTTATTCTGATATTGGCCCCGCATGCAAGGTTCAATTAATTTTACTTGAAGAAAATCATTGACTCAGTATGATAAATAGATCTTAGTTACTTTTTAGTTAATAATTCTTACATTTAAACCTTAATGCCCTCACATCAAAATACATATTCTCTTTAATGTTCTCTATGCATTTCCTACAGTATTGAGAAGGAGAATTTGTTCAACAGTTAGGAGCTAATTGGTTGGCGATCACTTCCTGCAGTCTCATGCACATGTTAATGTGTGATTTAGCGGTAGGACTGTAAGGAGAAATCAGATGCTAATCACTTACGGTGTAAAGGGTAAATCTCTTAATAGTAAACTTAGGAATTTCAATCCATCGACATACCTCCTTAATAACACGACGCTTTGCCTCTTTTCTCTCTTAGATCTATACACAGAGCAGCCATTACGGTATTACGGGGTTATAAAATCTCAAATCTGGCGAGCACTACGCCTCGTCATCGACACGGGTCTACATTACAAGAACATGTCACGTAATGAGGCATTGACCATATTTAGACAATACATGTGGGACAACAGCGACATCGTACGGAAAGAAATTTCTCGTTACCAAGCTTGGCCTGGTCAAGCGAATTCGTACATGATTGGCCAGTTGGAGATATGGAGAATGCGCAATGAGTCCGAAGCAAGCCTTGGGTTAAAATACGATATTCGGGATTTTCATTATCACGTGCTCTCGCAAGGAAGTATGCCCCTATGGTTTCTCGATGAGCACATCAAAAAGTTTTATGTTCGCTGTGTTTTGTCTGGAGCCTCAGAAGACGATTCGGAAAGGTGTTTCGGCGATTTCGATAAAAGAGGATTCTCTAGGTCCTTATAACTGACAACAAACATGTCCAAGCAATGTTTATCATTACAGATATCATTTTTCCACTTCAATTCGAGTGTTCTAAGTGAAAAAAGCGATTACTTTCAAATTTTCTCTCCTTTCACACAAAAGTTCAAATGAATCTGAAATGAAAATGTAATCTAATTTTCTTCGATACTGAAACAATCATCGAAAAATTGATCTTTAAGTCGTTAAAAACTTAAGCTCGACGTTACATCATGCGAGGAAAGTATAAAAACTCTCGAGTTTGAAATGATAAAGGGAAGCGGCCATTGTTCAACGTCGCTGGAGGGAAAGTTGGAGCATTTTGGTCGCAGTCACGATGTACGTTACCCAATCTTCCCTTAGGTTCTGTGGTATCTAATGATCTCCCCTCAGTGGCGGTCAATTTTGCATGGTCCCCCCTTTAAACTCTCTCAACCACGACTGATACCCCTCCGTTCCCGCTGAAAACCACCTAACCCCCCGCCCCCCTCATGAATCCTTCTTCGACTCCCGCCCCTCCCCTCCCCCCCGGCGATTAAATAATGGCTGGTTCCTAAGTGATATTCTTCTCATGTATTCAGTTTTCTAGAGTGAACGCTGTCTCCAATGAGAACTTAGGATTTTTACAACAAATGAATGACCACTTATGCGGAGAGAATAAAGTTAACCTCTTCGGCAGACGTCACGTCGAGCAAACATTTTTCCACTCTGTTGACATGCATTGAAAATTGATGAATCATTTCGCCATTTTCCTAAAGAAAGAAAGAAAGAAAAGATCAATTTTTACGCTCGACAGAAGTTTCGCGAGCATCTTTTTTTTTGCCGTTTTTGACTCAATTTGAAAATTAGAGACTGAACTGATCTTTCACCGAAACAAGCTTACTGTGCATGAGTTCCACTTTTGTTATTCAAATAATTTATTTAAATAAACTTCACCCAATACTTGTTTTTTGTAAAATTCATGCTTGAATGATACTGATAAAATTTACATTTCAGCTTTCTTTCTCGATGCATGACTGAATACCATACAATTGTAAAACGGTATCGGTAATCAATTTGTCAACTGAAGCCGGCAAATTCTGTTTGCAGTGGTTTGCAGACATCTAAGATGGCAGAGATCGAAGCTGGGCAAGCATTATCACCTGGATCTTCAGACAAAATTCAGTACGAATCCGCGACAAAAAAACGCCACAAGCTATTCAGAGTTAAACGAAAGACAGCTTTTGTGATTGCGGCTCTCATAGCAGTGTTAGGTTTTATTTTCTTCATCATAGGTTTGGTTCTCATAGTGAAGAGTCGTAGCGCCAAATCTGAGACACATAAAACAAGCATTGAGGGAGACATCCGTGAAGATGATGAGATTGGAAAGTGCGCATTTTCAGCCGAGGCAAAGCGTGTAGGTGAGAGTACAATATTGCAATTTGTGAGCCGAAAATGCAAGTGCAACTGAAAGATTCTTGCAGGAATTTAAACAGAGCACATGTTATATAAGCTCGGAGATTGTTCGGGGAAGCAGCCAACAGATTTCTTATTGCTCCTGGTTAAGTTAGTCTCCCACGCAGCCTCTTTAGAGACGTTCCCTTACTCCTCCCCTCTTGAAAAAATAACTGCTGCGAAGGAGACCATTATTATTCACAATCACCAGCTGCGAAGTAAAATGATTTTTGACAAATGCACCACTTAAGGGATTACTTAACTTAATATGCGCTGAGCAACCAGCCGTGACCAATGGTGTTTTACATCACTGTGTAGTACCTCATGTCAGAGGACTGAGGAGAAGTCATGGATGCAATAAACACAATGACCTTTTTGTCATCATTTACCTAATATACTTGCTGTTATGTAAAATCTAAAGAAAATTTTTGCCGAGACGTTCCAAAAGAGCTCTCTTTGGGACCACCGCTTCACACTTCCGGCTGAATCTTACAGACCGTAACTCCTTGAGAACCAAGTGTTTATAACGTCTTGTTCTGACTGAACTGATTGAGACATACGAGATGATGGTTATTTCACCTTATAGTCAGAGTAGAGAAAATTACGAGCTTCTCCAAATGATGTCCAAAGTTGGTTTAACGGTTCACGCTTTACTGGGTCCCATTCTCCACACTGGCGTGGTAAGCTTTAAGCGCAACATAAACCAGCAATTTTCGACACATGAAAATACACGCTAAAAGATCAAATATTCCTTTATATTCTTTTACTGTCAGACAGAAATGGTCATCTTTTTCTTGTCGTTCCATACAATTTCGGTGTATTTGCTCTCTCCTTGCGCTTAAATGTTTACCCTAAATTAAATTTATATTATTTTGTTTCAGGTCTCCTTGACTTTTTGAAGAGGATTGATAGTACCGTCCGTGAGCTTCATCCTTACGATGCTCGTTTCATGACAGGAGTCTCCATTGAAGATAAGAAAAAGATATTCCAACCATATAACCCAACCCCGGAGAGTATCAAAGCCATTTCTGAACGCGCGCATTCTATGTTGGAGGAGTTGGGAAGTTTAAAGATCGACAAGAAGCTTCTCCTTACACGTGAACGGCGCATGATCGCTAAAACGCATCATTTCTTGAAGCACTACTTCGGGCGGCCTTTTGAAAACAATTATTTAGCCGGTAAGTTTGGATTGAGAGAACTGAGTTACACCGTATTTGGTAACGTTTTCAGAATACCAAGAATCATTTTTCGCAAAGGAAATCTTCTAGAAGGAGCGTTTATTAGGTGTCCAAAGACAAATTGATTTATCGCAAAGTGTATGTTAACACTTTCAGAATGCCAAGAGTCGTCTCTTCGCGATGGAAAATCTTTGAGAAGGAACGTGCATTAGTGGTCCAAAGACAAATTATAATAAACCATACTGCAGAATTTGTGTGGTGTTTCAAATGTTGACAAAAGATCAATCTCTGAATGCTTAAATCGATTTCATGACGATCACAGAAAGGGTATCTGTTTGGGTCTCTCGCTTACGAAGCTCTTTACAAAATTTACCTTCGCTATCCTTCTATACCGTAGGGAAATTTCACACTAGAAATGGTCAAGTGTATGAACTCCGAATTCCCAGTTCGTGGTAAAATATCACCTGATAACGATGCAAAGATTTTTTCAGTACCTAGGCTCTTCGTGATATCGATACTCGTCTGTGGTTCATTCTTCGACTGATTTTTTCTAGGTTACTGGATGTTGGGACCAGGCAGGTACTGCTATCGGACTTTCAAGGGCATCACATCTATCAAGCAACAGCTCACCACCGTATTTCTCCTTTTCGCTCCTAAGACAGCGTCTGAACTGGAAGCAGCTTTGAATCTTCTCGCCAAATTCAAAACCGGGATTAAACAGTTCAAGGAAAACTTGAAAAGCGGGATTCGAACCGGTATGGTAGGGTCCGTCACTGTGTGCAAAGAAGGAAAAGAATGTCTAGAAGACATTTACATTGAGGTCTCTTCGCAGCAATCGGGCCGCGGAATCCTGACGGCTTTTCAAGATCAAATTTCAATCTTTGTCTCTGAACTAAGCTCCCAAGAGGCTGCAAAGATTATGGCAAAGCACGGAATGAATGGTGCTGATCTTGTGGAGGAGAGCCTCGTTCGTAATGTTGGATCACCGTTGCTTGATTTATTTGAGTACCTTCAGAATGAACACTTGTCACACTGCTTACCGACCAATGTGTCAAGTGGACTGGGTACGTTGCCTGTCAATCATGTCTACCTCAACGGGAGTAAAACCTTAGAGATGACAAATCCGACTTTCAGAGAAGGAGACACGGTCCTACCTGGAAAGGAGTCTTACAAAAACTTCTTGTCTTACTACACAACACAAGAAATTACACCAGGTAACTGAAGCAAATTAAAAAAGAGAACCTATGCCCCAGGAAAGAAGGAAGGATTTTTCACTGGGGGAAGGGAGGGGGGTCCTCACACCAGCATCTTGATGACGTTTCCTATCTCAGACCTTCGGGCCGGACTTTTAAAAAGAGACAGGGAAGGGAGGGAGGGGGATATTTTACACCAGCATCTTATTTGAATTCGGAGCATACCAGGATGTATCAGTCTTGATGGTACTGTACATATTCCATTATAGATAAGGAACAATCACATTAAGATTCCCCTTAAGCTGGAATGGCTATCTGTAGGTATTAGTGGCGTTGTTTATAAAAGAACCGTTCCTTGAGAAAGGTACGATCGAAAATGGTGGCTGTTGGGATGTGTTAAAAATTTAGTAATCTTCTAGCCTGATATCGATTGCGATGATCTCCGCGTGATCTAAACTACTTTGCATAAAACTGGCGGAACTGACGGAACGCGGTGGTGCCGCGGTGGTGCTGCAGTGCCGCTGCGGTGGGGCCACGTCCACCTCGTTTGTACTCTTCACCTTTAGTCATATCATTAGCGTTTTAACCTTCAATATTTCAGTTGAAGTTCAAGATTTGGGTTGGGAGATGTTGAAGAAACTTTACCTACAAGCGGTGGATATTGCTAAGAAGATCACCAAACAGGACACTGAGGAGATAGCTGTAAATCAGTTTACAAAATACCTCAACTCGACGGAAATGTACTTTAATGAAAACCCTTTTCCGGAAAATGAATCTAATGAAGAGGCCTTTCGCAAATGCAAGAGTGAGGAGGGTAGGTAGCATGCTGGTTGACATAACATGCAAGAAATTCTTGGTAGCGCAAAAGTGTTGAACAGACATGAAGACATAAAGAAGCCTATGGAGGTCTTTCCTCCTCGAAGGAGGGTACTCCCACATAAAGGATATTTGGATTTGCGCCGCCCTTAGGGTGTGGTTTTCCGGCAAAATTTTGATCTGAGAACTGGTCAAGATTTCGACCTTATAAGTTATCAAATCCGAAATGGTTTTTAAGTAAACCACGAAAGCTTAAAAGCATATTTTTCTTTTCGATTTCAGGTGAACAATAGAGAAAGGGACGTAACTAACATATTTATTCGAGTTAAATTTTGGGACAAATATTATCTATTCATGTGATTGCAGCGGGATGTTTCACGTTTTGATCTCCTTCTTGTTTTAAGATCATGCGATGGCGTACACACATGCACGAAATGTACCACCGTGTAGGGAATTATTTTCGTTACTAACATGTTGACCATTTTTTTCAGCCGCCCAAATCTATTGTCCACAGCGTTACAAAACGATGTTAAAATGGCTGGATTTGTCACGCAACACCATGTCACGCCTTTTGCCAAAATTGACAGATTTATTTTACTTCACTGGAAACAAGACCACCGTTCCCACCTGCCCAGTTGCTATGGAAATATCATTCAATCCCTTACAACCCGTGCAAAGTTATTCTACGAGTGGAAGTTCATGTCAATCGCCCAGCAAGTACAAAGTGCCCTTCTTTGTTGATCGAATGGGGCCAAAGTACTTTGAGTTCACAGTGAATGCACATGAGGCTAGCCCCGGACACCATTTGCAGTCTCAGGGATACGTAGAAAACTTCCGGTGAGTGTAGAATTTGGCTTAACTTAACTCGTTTTCTCTAGTTATTACTCCCGAAAGGAACACCCGCAGAGGTCTCGCGCGGCTAATTTCCTAACAGCGCTTGGGAGTAGTTTTTTCTTAATCATGACAAATAAATACCTGCAACCTCCATGGCTCTTCACTTTTCCGCTATAATTTGTATCTTCGAGTACTTACTATGACTTCTGTGTCTGTGTTTTGACCAAAAGTAAAAAGCGAAGATGGATGAGTGAAAACGTAAACAGGCCACGAGACATGGTGTAAAGAGCTTTATTTCATCATTTCTGTACAACACGGGAGATTTTCGAAAAGCGAATCCGACCGGGCACAAACAAAGGATAAACACAATACAAGATCCTTAAGTAAAAATAGTATGAGTCGCGTGAATCATGCGACTGTTCAATTACAATTTCCATCCTTCATCGACACTCGAGGCATCGAAAACAACAACAACTTATCAAGGTTTTAAACTTTACCTTCGATATCAAAGATAGAGCCTTCGCAGTGACTGTTGTAACTGCAGGTTGTTACTTTCTTTTGGACCTTTCCATCTTTCTAAAGCCACTGGTCGATGAAAATTGAGTCAAAACATAGAATTTTCTTTAGACTCTAAAGATTGCAACCACGCAGCAGAAATTTCCCGTTCAGTTAAAGCAGCTCGAAACCGGAGGACTGGGCACTGATTTCAAAAGAATCTACACTATTTTTTAGTTATTTTTTTTCATTAAAAAAATAAATAACATATATGTTAGTGTACAGAAAGTGGCATGTTGCTCGCACCAATCAGATCGTTTAGGTTATATATCTCGTACCAATGAGATCGCGGCATCAGGGTGTGTATCTCGCACCAATCGGAGCGTCGTTTTTGTTCTTTGGTTTGAGAAGTGTTCAAATTTCAACAAAGTAAAGGGGGATTCGGAGAGAGCGGTTCGTTAAAATGGAATCATCTTCTAGAATGAGAAATGTTGGCGTTTCTGTGTTTTTAACGTGTATTTTACCGCGGTTTATGAGAAATGCGATACCACTGAACAGATGAAAGATATCAGATTACCTATGGTAAACGTGTTACTCATGCTGTGAAAATGGTGGATAGTTGTTCGAGAGATAATGGAGGTCTGTGCACTGTAGCACGATCATGGTTATTGTTCCTTCACAACGAGAGTGAGTGGAAAATTTTGAATCAAATATTGCTTGAGGTGTTGATGAATTGCACCAAACATTTTGATTTGAGCAGTTCTTTAACGACAAGCTGTGTTGCAAGATTCGTGATTTGTTGAGTGTGCTGATTATATTTTCCTGGATTGGTTTGCTCGGTGCTATCTCTAGATGAATGTCTGATTAAAATTAACTATGGCCGATTTTGTGTATGTTTTCGATGCCTGGAGAGAGTGATCTTGTGGAGTCGTTTGTGTTTGGCCAAGGAAGAATTCAGATACCATCGTTAGCACGTTTATTTGATTTTGTTATCTGGAATGAATGATTTACGGAGATAAGTTAATATGATGTGATCTACTAACGTCGAAAATAAATCAAGTCGAAGGAACAGTTTTGGTCCCGGTTCGCATTTTTGTCAACAAAATAAACACATACCGCTTAAAAAGATGATAATACGGACCACGTGCAAAGCTGTCAATTGTTTCTCGAATGTTGCGCGTGTTAAATATTCAATAGTGACATCTCGTTTACATCTACATCTACTTTTATTACGTTGATAAAATCTGTACAGACATCACACCAACCAACTCGCGCGCAAAGTGAGAAGACTATGAAGGTTTGAAATTATAGTACGATCGATTTTCATCAAGAAATGGGCCAGGAATATTTCAAAATAGTGCAAATAATCGTGAAAGCTGACCGCGGAAAAGTAATTGCGTGACGCTCGGTAAGTTGTAAGATGACATGTTATCACATACCAAACGAAGAAACTCTTTAGATCCTCAGTCTGCATTTTGTACCCAATCTGCAGTCTGCAGTCTACATTTTGCACCTCGTCTACATTTTGTATCCGGTCTGCAGTCTGCAGTCAGCATTTTTTACTAACAGGTACCCGTGGCACCAACACAGTTTATTTTTGGTTACAGCTATTCGCACAACACACACAATCTACCTCAAAATACCTGTGCGTGAGTTAATTCGACATTTTCGTTCTTTACCGCGTTAATACTCTTCTTTCCTTTTGTAGGAATGTAATCATCACTTACAATGTTTCAAGTAATCCATCCACCCCCCCCCCCCCAAAAAAAAAAAAATTCTTGTATGCATAGCATGCCTATGTTTAATCCATGGAGGAAGTAAAAGGGTTGTAAATCAGAGGTGGGGGGTTGCTGAAGTAGCGAAAACTATTTGATGAAACTTGCTCAAAACTGACACTCGTTGCTGTTGCAGAGATGTATGCCGGGAAGGCGTCAATTTTCAATTCCTAAAGGATATTACAGGAATTGCCATTAGAGAGGGTTGGGGTTTATACTCCGAGAATCCACTAGCAGCACAGGATACAGGTCAGTAAGCAATCATTGAGTTGTCAGCTATCCAAAGTAAGTAACTCTATTGTAGGTTTTTTTTTTCATTCTTCGCAGATCTATATCACAACCGTATCCTTGAACGTTACGGTGCTCTCAAGGGTCAAATATGGCGCGCACTTCGCCTCATCATAGATACCGGCCTCCATTCTAGGAACATGACGCGAGAAGAAGCCATAGATCTCTTTCGGCGTTATATGTGGGATTACAGCGACGTTGTTCCAAACGAGGTCAGTCGATACCAGGCATATCCGGGACAGGCGACCGCCTACATGACTGGTCAGCTGGCAATTTGGAGAATGCGCAATGAAACTTCAAAGAAACTCGGAGCAAAGTTCAAAATACAAGATTTTCATTATCAGGTATTGTCCCAAGGCGAAGTTCCAATTTCATACCTTCAGACCCATATTGAGGAGTACGCCAACTGTGTCCTGCATGAAAGAGGCAACGGTTGTTGGGATGCTCTTACTGTTGTTAACGAACAAGAGCATTACGGACAGACATCTGCAATAGATGAGCGACAACAGCGGGTAATACGAGAGAAATTAAACCAGCTATATCCCGCAGACTCTTGTATATTTTAGCGATGTAAATGATAACACGTAGCATAGAGTATTTTAATGTCCACATTGGGAATTTTTGTAGTGAATTGACAGAGATCTCAGACCAATGTTATTTTCTGAGCAACGGCACACCTACCCCTCCCCTAACCCAAAAACAGTCAACTGTAAACAGCTTAGGGTTAAAATGTACATGTTGGGTCAGGGGAAGGGTAGGTGCGCAATTGTTCAGATTCTGTAATAATAATTTATCTGAGATCTCGCTGTCTAAGAGAAAACACTAAATACAGCCTTATTCGTTTAAAAACAATGGAGCACTTGGTCATTATAAGAGCTTCATTGCTTTTTCTTTAGACTTTATCTGCCATGTGTTTTTCCATTGGCTCAGCGGGACAGAAATAGGAGGGAAATGTTTTCTCATAGTCCGCCGGAGCCTGGTAATGAATCATGTGATTTTTGACGGGGAGTTTTCTTTTTTTTTAAGCCCGCCATATCTGTCGTTTTCTCGCCCATCAACTCATTCGATAGATTTCAAGTTTAAGTGATGAAATGATCTTCTCAGGTGAGTTGCTAAAATTGCGGTCCGCCTGCGAGGATCATTTCACTGAAGATTTGTGATCAAATTTCATCACGTTGTTGTTCACGTTGTACTGTACAGTATCGTCAGTCGTATTGATATTTGCGCGTATGGATCTGCATGTATGGATCTGTTGAGTCTGCAGAAAAGGTTCGAGTTGATAGCGTTCTTCATGTCATAGCTGTCGATGGTTTGTGAGAAAAATGTCAAATTAGTTTGGTAAATAAACAAAGAAGGCAATGATAGAAAAAAGAAAGTAGAAATATCGCTTATTGCACACATCATTTTATCCTTTACATCCTAACATCAGTATCTATCTTCTCCATACTCCTCTCTCTTTGTTTCTTTTGGTGCTGACAAGGAGAATTCATTTAAAGATCAAAGCTTCCAAGGTTGGTGATCGTTTCCTTTATTCTCTTGATCTTAATGAATGGTTTAGCTGTATTATTGTAAGGAGAAATTAGATGCTGATCACTCCTAGAGTTTAAACGATTAATACTTTTAAGATTCGCAAATCAAAACGATGTCTTTTAAACCTTTTAACTGCAGGCAAAAGTTGGAAAATACAGGGTTAACCCAGCGTTTGAAAAGTGTTAAACTGTGTGTATCAGAATTAAAACCAAGCATGGCATAACAACATAAGCAATCCTTTACAGCTTTTTAAAATTTCTTCAGTTAGGAATTGTAAAGAGCACGAGGAAACGTGCCGGTCTTTTTCCGTCTGATTGCTTTTAGTTTTACAAAAAGAAGGGGTTTATCAGAGCCAATCATAAATCAGAGTAATTATTCTGGTTGTGGATTAAAGGGATGATGGAGGGAGGGGGAAGTGAATTGTCTCGTAAATCCATGCAGCTATTTCTAGTCTTTATAAGAAAAGTGGGCCAATAATTTGAAGGTTTTAGCATTGAAATAATGCTGACCGGCTTGCTGCAATGTTTAGTTGTACTTTCTGAAGTTTTCTTAGCTCGGCTTTTATCGATGTCTTCACAGGTTTACTTTTCAACGAGGAAATTTGTTTGTCTCTTTGAAAGCCTATGTTTTTTTCTACACGTATCATGTGTTAATCCACCTCACAGACGGATTAACACAGGCTCAAGGAAATTTTCCAAACAGCTTAGTCGAGAAACGAGACTGTGGGTCTATTTTGAAAGTCTCTGAAACAGGATTTTTCGGCCTGTGAGATTTTGTGAAAAATTCTCGGAGACCGTTTCTAAGGGGGATATCTTTCGCCATCCTTAGATTAGAAGGTGAGAAACGTTCTTTTGCGAGAGATTTTTGGTTTCACTCCTGGGGAGGAAAACTGTTTGTTGTCACTTGTTTAAAACATTAACGAGGTATCTTGCCAAACAAAAATCTGTACGTGTGTTGACGTTATTTCGCTATTCAGCAAAATTATAAGCCATTCTTTGCGGATGACTTGGTTCTTTTTGCGATAATACAATGACACTACCGAAAGTTTAACATTTATTTTATCAACTAGCAATAACACACTGAACTTATACACTCATTGAATACAAACATTAGCGAACGCTATGTGTTTTATGCTAGTGAAAAATGTATAGGAATTCTTTAAAATAAATATGCGTTCACCTGCATTGCGAGTTATCTCAAAATACATCATACATTAGCTGTACACTCGTCATTTCTTGAATTACTTTGACATTGATTTCGTCCATAGGTGAACGAGTCGACAAGTCAGTAGTTTTCCGCACTTGACTGTGGGCTAAATCATAAAATTCAGCACAAAAATAAGTTGGCTGAATTAGCCCTCCGGCATCGCCTTTCAAAATGTTGTTTTTTGCCTATATCTGCCAATTTTGCTGAAAAGTTAGTCCTCCGTGCCTACCCAGAAGAATGAGAATTGATGTAAACTTTTAATAGCGAGCTGATCGAAGATTTTCAATCTTACCCGAAGGCAATGCGCTCAAATCTTTTCAAATTTGTTTACCATCCACGTCAGTGTCCTTTCTATTCTTTTTCTGCTTTCTTTCAATAATTGTAACCGTCATCAACAGAATTGCTGTGTTCCTTTCGTTTTACCCATTTCAACGCCACTACAAATTGTGAAAACAATCAGTTTACCACCCAGAGGCGACTTTTTCAAGGGTTGGTTCTGAACATCTAAACAACAAGTCTTCGCTAAAATAACCCATAAATCATGGCAGAGTGAAGCACGGAAAATCACCGAAAAATATCAAACTTAATTGAAGACGAACTCTAAATGTAAATTTAGCTCTCTTAGCCGGCAGTTTTGAATAACGAAGCCACAAGAGAAACGTGCTAAGGAAAGGGAAGTTGCTTGTTTTGCCGCACGAAGTTTCACCGCCTTTTTTTTGTTTCGACAATTTCCTCCGAGTTCTCTCGGCAGCAACTGCTGGTTAAATAGAACTATGTTCGGGAAAGGTTTAGGAAAAACTCACGGACTTGGTAAAAAAGCCCGAGGGAATTCTAGAAGCGACGGCGCATTTTCACTCTTCTCCAAATTTATGGTCTTTAGAAGGGACATTTCTGTGCTCAGAACATGCTTTTTGGCATTTCCGCTACGCTTGAGACACATCTATCTTCGGCGTTTTCGGTTAAAATATTGCTACGGTAGTTTTCAGGAATCCTGACTAATGACAGCAACACTCTTTTTAGAAATTAAAATGTGTTTTGCAGCGGCAGGAGATGAGAACAAACACAGCAGGCCCCTGCTTTTTCGATTATAGTAGTCCGTTGTTACAAGTACACCTGCAGTCTTTACGTTAAAGGTTTTTCTTTTCGGGGAGCATCTATTTTGACAGCTTGTGCGTCGAACATCAAAATAAAATGATATAAAAAAATCTAATGATAACTTAGAACGGATTTGCATGCAAAGAAATAAAATCAAATAATTTGATTTCTGCGAATTTTACAGTGCATCACGCTTGTAAGATAATTAAACTGATTTTTTACGTAGAAAAAAACTTAAAATTTTAATTGTTGTGATCCGAGAAAGGGCAACAGTGTTAAAAATTTTACGATTGAATATTAAACCATTGCAATCAAAATTTGAACATATAATCATTTAGATCAAGTCAAATAAAAGGCGATAATTTTTACAAATTTGACAAGTTTAGAACAACAGAACGAGGCGTCAAGTAGTACTTAATCAAAATCTGCGTTTCGTGTGAGACCTGTCTGAAAAGCGAAGAAAGTAATTTTTCGGAAGGAGATATTCTGTCATTATTTACACGAATGCGTCTATTGGTTGCTAAGAATTCACGTGACCGCCGTAGAACGCGACAGAAATTATCCTTTTGTGATTAGCCGTACAAAGGAGGCAATTAGCACTAAAAATGCCAAGTGCAGGGAACATGGATCTATGGAATCTATTCACGGTTATGAATATGCAGAGAAATTGATGTCAAATCGACCAAGAAGTGTTTACCGGCACATCACTTGCGATTTCTCATTCCTCGGCCAACCTAAACAGGATGTAACAAGCATCGGGGTTTTGCGCAGGAAGAAAAAAATCGCATATTATCCGAGCGTGCTTTTTTTTTTGGCATTTTCAAGTCTCACGCCGGCGGGAATCCTCAGCTTTATAATGGAGCCAAACAATGGTGTTAAGGAGAATGTTGGTCGCGTCGTAATCAATGTAAGCGGAGCGATCTTCGAAGTAAGCGAAAGCAAGTTGCTTCATTTCCCTCAGTCGCTACTGGGCTGCCCTCAGAAACGGAGCAAATATTTTGACTCTCAGCGCGAGGAGTATTTCTTCGATCGTCACCGACAAGCATTCGAGGGTATACTGTTTTACTATCAAAACGAAGGGAGATTAGTTTATCCGGACAATGTGCCATCAGAAGTTTTTGATGAAGAAGTTAAGTTTTTCATGCTCCCCGTTGAGCCAAACAGCTGTGAGAAGTTGGAAAGGGTTATACTCGGCGATTACAACCGCTCGCGTCCTCTGAATATTTGGCAGAGGACACTCTGGGAATTGTTCGAGTTTCCCAATTCATCGCTGGCTGCAAAAATTCTGGCAGTTCTCTCGCAGGTGTTTATTATCGTATCTTTAGTAGGTTCTTGTCTGAAAACTGTCGAATCGCTTCAACCAGAGCGTACCAAGGTGATAGAAAACTTTCAGAACCATAACAAGTCTGTTTACCGAGATTTAACGCCGTCTGAGTTACATGACGATGACTGGTTTTCATTCGATCTTGTTTGCTACAGTTGGTTCACCTTGGAGTGTGCTGTGCGGTTACTCGCGTCCCCAAACAAAAGCGAATATTTCAAATTGCTTCCGAATTGCGCAGATTTTGCTACGATCTTGGTTTTTTATTTGGAACTCATTGTGAAAATGGCTTGGCCCTCGGCCACCGTGGTGGTCCGTTTACTGGAAACTTTTGCGGTCATTCGAATATTAAAGTTAGTACGATACTGCGAGGGAATGAAAATCCTGGTTATTACTGTCGTATCAGGCATCAAAGACCTAGGCCTTTTGGTAACGTTCGCCACAACCTTTGTTATTTTGGGCTCGAGTGCGGTATTTTTTGTAGAACTGAACGAGCAGGATACTAGTGACTTTAAGAGTATTCCCGATGCATTTTGGTGGGCGATAATAACAATTTGTACAGTTGGTTATGGCGATAAAGTTCCTGTCACAACACCGGGAAAGTTTATGGGGGCTATCTGCGCTGTACTTGGTACTGTAACAGTTGCTCTGCCTCTGTTCCGCTTCGCTGCGCATTTTCGCACGAGTATCGAACACTCCTCTTACATTCTACCGCGTCGCGATAGAAAAGTTTCTTCTTCGAGACGAAAAAGTCGATGAAATAGCTTTGATAATTCGTTTTAGAGATGATTTCCGCTCTATATTTCATGTAATTTCTAACTTAGCGACAATGAAAATTTAGATTAAAAGGAGAAAAATAGATTCTACACACGAACAGGACACCGAGGCGATATGATTTTATGCAAAAAGATCATTATGTCAAGAATAAGAAAATATTAATTTGAAAAGAGATTTTGTATGGTGAATAAAGTGACAGGTCACATTGTAATATGCATTTAAGAACCGCAATCGAGTTGGCCATTTTCCGGAAATGACATGTTCTGTAAATTACGCTTTCATTTCAAAGATGATTATCATATTTTTAATATCATGCAAGCGTCCTTGTGACATACAGTTTATCAAAGCCGATGATTAATGTTGAAATTTCCAGTGAGGATTCTTCATAAGTTCTTGGCTTTGATTAGGAAAAAAAACCGCAAAATATTAAGGGACATGTATGGCATTACTGTAGACACTACATGTCACCGCTAAAAGCGATTGTATACTAAATTTGAGTTTTGTTTTCGAGACAAAGCTTCAGTTCTGTGTTTCCCAAAACAAAGACAAAACACGGAGAAGCCAAGCTGACATAAGTGTTTGTTTTGAAATGAAATTCACATCGCTGCGAGAAAACCTGTTTTCTGAACCAATTGTGGTGTTTATTTTAATGAGCTACAATTTCTTCTTTCCTCTATGACTTTAGGGCATTTCTTGTATCTTCAAACCCGATCAGTAATATTCTTTTTTTTTTTCAAGATTGGACGCGTGTACGGTTGCCTTTGTCGTGGCAGTAACTAAGTTGTGTGAAAGACGTTTATGAAAGGTTTTCATTTGAAATATCACAAGAGTAAACCTAATAATGGTGATGTTGACAGCGACATTAAAGCGAAAAGCTCATTTAATCAAGCAACACCCTGAAGGGACTAAACTAGACATTTCTGGTTTTCATTATATTTCTAAACCTGATGTTCGTTTTCGCCGGTACGATTTCCATAACAAAGAGATCTTTTGAGCGTTTTAGACTGAGGGAATTCTCGTGCGAATAGGTTAAAGAATACTCCGATTGGTTAAAAACCGCAAGATTTTAGAACCCAGTTATATTCAATTGACTATGATAGTAATACATATTATTCGTAACGTTGCAAACCTTCATTTATTTTATTTTAATTAAACTCTGTTTTGATGTTATGGTGGAGAGACGGTGAAATAGCATCGTGCGCAACGGGGTAGCTGTAACTTTATCGTCAAGTAATTTTGATGAGTAAAGCTTGAAATTCAAGTTAATCACTTGTAGACCAGAGATACAAGGTAAAAATATATTATTAAATAAATTGACAGTAATGGATGGATGTTGTGGGCGGGCACAGCTGCTCTTGAAAATGAACCTCCTCATTTTTCAGCGCAAAATTTTGTCAGACATTGTAGTTGGGTTACCTGCCATACGTGTAAAGAATTTTGGTTCATGAAAATGAACCTCCTCATTTTTCAGCGCAAAATTTTGTCAGACATTGTAGTTGGGTTACCTGCCATACGTGTAAAGAATTTTGATGTGAAACTGCACAATAATATAGCTATATCTGCTAAGCGAACAAAGGATATTTGTTCGGTATCATAATCACAACTTTTTTTTGTTTATTAAAAATCTTCTACGTGACTTCCGCTCAACGCAAATTATTCAGTGGAGGTTAGTTGTTTAGTTCGTGCATCTGTTTTCATTTTTAAACCAAGGTGCTGCACCTGCCCATTGTATTATTTAGGAAAGAGAAAAGTAGAAGAATCTCATGCGTGTGGAAATATATAAAGCAAACAATTATAATAATAACTATAATTCATTGCTCCTGTGGTTTTCTTTTGATAATGGCCATTAGCTGGACAAAGGATGGGGAAGTTTTGAGAGGACAACTTGCGCAAACTCCTAAAAGTTTGGCACAACGAGAAGAGTTTTTTTCTCGCGCATGCTAAGTGATATGAAACCCTCAGGGGAAATTTTCGTATCTTGTCTCTCGGCTATACGGAGTAGACAAAACTTATGTCTGCCAAAGACACCGCTTAATAAAAATATTAAAAGTATGTAATCTTTTCTCCGCATGATAGAAGATTTCATTTACAGAAAGAATTTGCGCGGAATAAATTGGTGTTATTCAATAGAATAATAACAAAACTGCTTTAAAAAATTAACGCTCCCTTCGGTTAAAAGATAATAGAAGAATCACATTACCAATAATTGGTACATTTTATTATATTGACAAAATGTTGTCATAAAACCATAACATTACGGTCAAAATCTACAGGAACCTGTGTCGACACTGAAAATAAAAAATAATGGCGGTGAATCATCTTCCTCAATTCTTTTAATGAAATGACACACACGAGACAGTCTTAATCACGAGTTATAATTTAATTTTAGAGTCACGTCAAAATTTCAAACGATCCGAACAACATTAAGTTTTTTTTTTTTTTTAATTTACGTACCAATGTTTAATTAGCAAAGCACAGATTATTACTAGAAGCCCATTACTAGCTCTTGTTATTACTTATTCCCTGAGGGGTAGAGGGTCGGGAGATTTTAGTTGTGTCATGGAAAAATTAAGCTGGTCCTCCCATAAGGCTTTGTAATATTCCAATGATTCTCCCCTCACTGGCAGTTAATTAATTGGCAGTCAATGTTCTATCGTTCCCTGTTTATACATTGTTAGCGAGACTGATTCCCCGCTTCGTTCCACTTGGAATCCATGTAATTCCCCCAAAATTCCTCTGACCCTTCCCCGCAATAGATGATACGTAAAAATTGACTGGTCCCTAATCAACCACGATGATGATATGTATACAAAATATTGGAATCATTTTGTTACCATTGACTCTCCCTTGCCGGGCTCCAAGATCGCCGGCATCGAAGGAAAACAACCCGCGCTCGAGTCAGTTTTTTGGGTAACAGATTGACACTCCGAATCCAGACAATTAGCATGTAGTCGTTCATTTTTGTGTCCTGCCTCTTGCTGACATGCACAACGTTTGTCCGGAGCGATGAAATCTAACTCACTGTTCACTTTTATTTCTGTGAATGGGTTCTTTCCCGTAGAGTTCATTCGGTTGGCAGCACGTTCCAACTTGGGCGAGTCCTCCACTATTTCGCTATTCTCTGGAGTGGCCAAGAGTATTTTTACATCATCTTTTTTTTGTTCCTTCAGGAATGGCACTTTGAATTTGCTCTTTTGTTTCGGATTCTTAGCAGATTCTTCTTTACTTTGCTCGGAACAGGTTGGATTGTCCTCATCGTTCTTAGCGTTCTCGAGCGCAGAGAACGAGGTTTCCATTGAGTCGCTGCCTTGCCAGCTTGATGAATCCCCGCTGGTCCTCTTTAATATTCCTTTTTTAGGAAAAGGAGGCCTGATACCTTTTTCTTTAGTGCTGTTAAGTGTGAATGCAACAGGATTTGGTGATATATCTTTACTTTGCGATCCTCTCTTTTGATCCGAGACGTTATCGTTCTCTTTGAACGCTAGCAATGGAATGTCTTTACCTGTTGGGGAGGAGGGTTTCGATTCCATTGTGCGGGAATGGGGTCGGCTAAAAAACCTTCTTTGACTTTTTCTCGTTTGATCGTTTGCACAATTTTCTCCATATGAGGCGTCCTTGATGCAATTTTCACGCGCATTGTCGACATAGTTGCTTCTATGTGCCAAGAGACTTTCGTGCGACATAGTGCTTCGCTTGTGGATTTTGCTTCCTCTGTCCTTTGCCAAAAATTCCTTGATTATTTTTCTCGCATCTTCATCTGGTCTTTCTTGTCTCCCTCGTTCTGCGATGGCAGCCACAATCTCTCGAGGATTCGTAGAGTTACCATTTTCTCTTCGGAATCTGCTGGCTAGAGCTTTAACTTCGTTTTTGGCCTCAATGAGTGACAGGCGACGCTTAAGAGTTTCCTTGTCGGCCACAAGCCATTTACGAGGGTCATGCCCCTGAAGGCGGGAGTCTTTAGCTGCAGGGAAATAAAAAGAAAGACAAAGGCAATTTTGTTATCTGAATCGGAATCTAGAAAGTAATGAAACGCTCGGCTGCAACACACTGCAGGCGTCATTCGCTTTCCAGTCTTTTCCGGTGATTGAACTTATTTCCGCGCCAGAAAATCGTGGACTACAGCTTTCATGTTCAACAGTCCGGAATTTCTCATCATATGATCTGACTAGTCACCAACTGGAAAGCTTACTACAAGCTAAGGCAAACCAGGAAAACCTTAACACAGAAAACATTCGATGCGCTCAACATCTTTCAGAAAGTCAAATCAGCAAAAAACATGTATTTCAGTTACATTTGTGTAGTCAGCCTGCTTAGTAAGACATTTAACTTCATTTTTTTCAAAGCCAAATCATGACGACGTAGCTCTGGAAACGAGTAAATGCTGGATGAACCTGCAAGCATCGGTTTACATTCCTCGTTTTGATCATATCAAATGATTATATAACTCCGAAACTTTGCGTAAAAATATCAGATTTACGTCAATTACTTGGCCACAGGTTGCAGAGCGCTCAAACATGGCGAGGATGTTGTGTATTTAAACGTTTGACACGGTCATAAGAGAATCAGTTTTCCTTCAACAAAAAGGCAAAATGAGGTTGGTTTGAAACAATGCCTAGAGGCTCTAGAGATTTTTCTCTCAACTTACTTGACTGATCCTTGTCCAAGTCGTCATTTTCTACTTTTTGATTCATTCTCTCTCTCCGCTGTTTCTCGTACGTCTGCCGAGCGATTTTCGCCAGTTGTTCTTTCTCCTCTGGGTAGAACGCGAGGACCTCCTCTAGATCAGCCTTCGATAGTCGGAAAAGATCGGAGAATCCTACCGAACGAACGGAAGCAGTCCGACGATTTCCAATCCCTTTTATGTCAAGAATACTTATTTCTCCAAAATGTCGACCGGCGGAAAGTTTCGCTAGTGGTGCTCCCCTCTTGTCAACAACTGCTAACTCGCCTTGATTGACAATGTACATTTCACGCCCTATTTCATCTTGACGACAAACATAATCTCCTAGAATTGATTAAAAAAACAAAATCATAAACAGAAACGAAAGACAACACATATCAACCGAAGGCTAGAATCCAAATTAAAAAACGCATCTTTTTGGTTTAAATGTGAAATGCACGGTCTTCAATTTTGCGCAGAACACCTTTCACTTTTTAAACCAATCATAGAGCAGACTTAATCTAATCGTGATTCTTTTTCGCGTGCGCGCGAAATTTTCCCGCCCTTGAACCCAATCACATATCCATAACCTGAATTCCTATTAGTTAAAAATGTCTTATTTCTGCTTTGCATGATACGGGGGAGCGTTACCTGGGGAACATAACATGGGCTTCAACTTTAAAACGAGCTCGCGCAAAAAGCCTGGATCGCAGTGTTCAAACATCTTCACTTTCTTCAGTGTGTCCAAGTTGACGTGAATGGCAATTTCTGCGCGAATATTGTCGTTTAGTTGTTGAAAGAGCTCCTCCTCACTCATATCTTTCTTGTTTCTCCACGCAAAATCAAACCACTGAATGACTCGCCGCTGAAGATCCATCGGTAGTTGATTGGCCGCGATATACTCCTTCATTCCATCCAACTTAAGATAAAAAGGTATAATCGCATTTAATAAGAAATAATTTGCAGTGAATAAAGGGATAAAAGGTCTGCTAAATTACTCTCAGTATGTACCAGAGAGATGAAATGCTAACTTTGTATTTTAGTAATGAGGGTCAAGACTCAGTGAGACGCCTGCTTTTGTTGGTCATTAAATCTAGGTTGAGGAATAGACAGGGATGTCATCTTTAGTTATATCTCTAGATTAATTAAGGAAATCCACAAGAGTAACACACGAAATGACATAAAAAAACGGACAATCAAACTGGGGGAAACGGACAAAAAGGCGGAGAAAGAAAGAAAAATAAACAGATCATAAAAGACAGAGAGATAGAGAAGTTAGGCACTCACAAAGAACACAGTCTAAGAGAGAACGAGAGAAAAACAATAACAGACAATAAGGAAGGCAGGCTAGCCGCTCGTAGAAAGGACACGCGTAGAAATAGGACAGTCAGAGATCAAATGGATGCACTGACTGACAGATTAAAAAACGGGATACATGTTTGAAACATATGAAAAAACGAAAGACAGAGAAACAGACAGTAAGACATACATGGACACAGTCAAGGAAACAGATAGACAGCGACAGACAGATAGATAAAGGGTAAAGGTTTTTACCCTTTACGGTGGTCAATTTACGTTTTCAATTCAGTTGTTAACACTAAATTACCAGACGGACAGTCGGAGACAGACAGACAGACAGACTAAGAGACAATAGAACCATAAACAACAACAGACCTTCCTGTGGTATTTCTCTCGATGTCTCCTGAGATCAACAATCATATCTGCCGCGTTGCCTACAATGGTAGCAAATATCAGAACTCCACATAGGTACGTGAAGATACAGAACATTAGACTCATGGTGGTCTGGGGCGAGACCTGTTTACCTGTGCCCACTGTTGTCATGGATACCAGTGAACGAAACAGGCTGTAGAGATATTGAGGACCGACCTGAAAATGGGAATAGAGAACACTCAGTCTCGTCTTGTGACAAATTTAAAAGTCGCCATGATGGATTGAGCATATGAATTAAGCGCATGTCTTTACTCACCTCTTCCCACTGACCCTCAAGCTTGGGATGAAGCCATTTGTCAGCTCCAAATCCCTCCATATATGAAAGAAGAAAGTAGAAACAAGCCACCCAATGAATAATCAGAAACAGATAATGAATCTGCTTCAGCAGGTTAAACAGCTTGGGGCGACCGCTGTAGATCTCAACGCGATCGCAAAAGAGAAAAAGTCTGTGCGCCTTAAGTAGCCGACCAAATCGCAGAGCAGGCCTGGGACCTAACACCAGAAAGAGGAGGTCGACTGGTAGGATGGAAACGCAATCCAGAAAAAAACCCCGAGATTTCATGTAACGTTTGGCCAGTTGTTTGGTATCTGTGACTATCTTGCCGTCGAGAAAGTACCCTGTGCGAAATTGCACTATGATGTCTAGGAGAAATACGAAGTCACAGCTATAATCGATCGCCATGAATGGTATTACAAACTTCTGCTCTCGTACGAAAAAAGCCACGCGGAAAATAATCATCCAGTAGTTGTACAAGATTCCGAGAACGACCACGATCAGCCAGAAGAAGTACAAGTCCCCTGAAGGGTCAAACACCAGCGTACAATTGCAGCTTGCCTTGTCAAGCCGGGCATCTGATGCGTCGCGAGAACTCCCCGTCCCTTCCGAAGTGGGGCTCTGAACTTGGGGTGAATTTGAGGCTGATCTGCGCATGAGTGGTCGGCGCCAGTCCCTGTCTTCTTGATATGTGCCGGTGTAGCGCTCGAGCCAAGAATCACGTGATCTTCTGCCAGTTTTCTTGTAGAAACGTTGCATTGATAAAACCCTAAGCACGGAGCTCGCAAATCGCGTCTGTCCTGTGGATTCAATGACCACCCTGGGGATTTGTTGGCCGGCGGCCTCTCCTTGACCAGATCCATGATTCACCTCGGTCTGGGAACTATCGTCTGGAGTTAGATTCGTCGGCCGTTGCATCTTTTGTGTTCAAACTAAACACCTGTATCGGTAAAAATATCATTTTTAAATCTTCGAGGAATAATGTGTAACTTCAAGTTTATCTACAAAGATTCTTTAGTTTCTCAAATAATCCTTTAGCGTGTGAGCAAAACAAAAGCAGCGGGGAATTTTGCGAACGCTCCACGGCTGGTTTTTTCGCTCTTAGCCAGTTCTTACTCATTCACAAATGACGTAACTTTTAACAATATTCTTGCACTAAATCTTGACCGAATTATGCAATGGAAGTAGAACCCCTTGTTATGAAGATCAGGCCTTGAGTTAAAAAGGAATCGAATGCCAAATCAACGAACCCCACGTAACAAAGATCTTTGGTAGTAAACTATACACTAAAAGGAACCCCAATCGAAAAGCCAAGTTTCATCCAAAATTCCATGGGCACTCCATTTCAGAGTCTTGTAACTAAGAATAATCAAATAGTTGCTCTTTTTTTTTTGGCATAAACCAATTTTGGTTCATATTCTTGTTAAAGGTTCGCTTCGACGTCGCTGAACTAGCTCAACATTTTCCTCTAATCAAATTCGCCGACACTCGCAGCAATAGAAAAAGTGCGCTTGTACAAGCCCATAAAAGCAATCCTGATTCGAGTCGTTTTGGGCACCATAGCTCGGCCAAGGAGATTTAATTTCAACTCCGGACGGTTACTTTTCATCTATAAACAAACCTCTCTCGCAAACTTTATCCTTTGGTTTCGTGGCAACAAGAGGATTAGACATCCGCTAATCTGCATGATCGCTTGTTTCGTTAAATGACCTCAGTGCTTGGCAAAACTTAGCGTGTAAAATATGTTTTGACATCAAATTGAATGCCAAATAATTTCCTAATGTAATTTGAAGGTATTTTAAGGCTTTCTAAGACAACTCTGCGAATGCAATTTGTAAATTTGGCAATAAAGAGTGGTGTTACTTGGTTGCAAACGACCGCAGAACTACCATGGAACAAGTTTTTGGCGATAATTACCGTGCACAATTGCAATTTCATCCTATTAAAGAACCTATGACGTAAAGGAAAAAGCGGAACCAAGGTAACATTCAGAGAGTCATGGTTGAAACCACCAAATCATAACCAAGTACGACCTTACAAACGCGTGATGAAGATGTCAAGTGACTTTCATTTGGCTCAATTAGTTTAAACATGACGAACGACTTGTGTATGATTCTACCTGCCAAAGACAAAACACTGATATCAAATCGAGTTACACCTTTGACGAGTAAGGAACTAGCGAAAAATTTCCTCCAATACTGGATAACACCGTAGGTACATGTAAGCGTTACTTTTAAGATAAAATTTTTTAGGCACATCGAGGTAATCGTTTATTTTACCTTAAAGAACTTCAGGAGAAAATGATTCAGATTTTAAGTTGTGTTTTTTCCTCGGTAGTGAGTTGCGAGTTACGGATTGTCAGTTGGTATCCAACTAGAGTTTTTCCAACGATGCCACTTGTGTATAAACTTACCTTTTTTTCGTTTTTCGGCGAGGAAAAGTGTTTCCTGATAAATTTTAAGGTGAGGTGAACTCGAACACAAAGTGCGCGATAAAAAGAGAAAATGGTAGGAATAAAGCTACCTTTGTATATCGTCATAGCTCGCAAAGATTTCAGCGAATATAAAAATTATCGACCCACATCAAGGTGCATTACTATAAATGGTACCATCGACCGTTCAAGGTCACTTTTTCAGTCCGAAAATAGGTTTTCAACTACTGCCCGGGGTAACTTTTGCTTTGAAATTTAAGATAATAAAAAATGATGATTTACGGCCTTAGGGGCAAAGTGACATGAATGCCCCACGGTGATTTTTTCTTCATTTGCTTTTAACAACTAAATTTAAAAAAAAATGCGGCTTATAAAAGTTTTAACATTTTTAGCACAAGCCGTCAATGAGAATCAATGAGAAACTCAGACACCTTCTTTTTAATTATATCCTGAAAATTGATTGACTCTCGAAGCCAAAGAAAAAAACGGAAAAAGCTTCTCAAATCTGCATCATTGACTCCAGTTATTCCTTCTGAGTAACCTGATTGTGATATACCATAGATGAACCATCTATGTGTTCTCCGCGGGCAACCAAAAGGAGTCTAATAGAGACTGAGAACGAGCGAGTGTCTCGAAAAGGGACTAGGCGCGAACCGTGCTGAGTCCCTCGAGCGCGAGGTTCGTGTCAGTTCCCTTGCTTCGAGTTGCGCGTGAAATAATTTCAAACAAAGATTAAAATCGTTTGGCTGCGAAAATGCACATCAAGAAAAAGATCGTGTTTTATGCTGGAACCAAGCATGCATAAAGACGAGATTAAGTTAAGCACCTCGCTGGACTTAGAACACGCTCAAGTCATGCGCGTAATATTGACATGTTTTTTAAGCAGTGGTCATATTTGCACCAACTGTTCCTGTAATTCCAAAAATGTAATTGCAGTTTTGAATAATAGGAGTGATGGAGGCCGGTAAAAGGTTGGACTGATCCGTCATAGAGCTTTGAGGATCCAATGAAGATTACAGTCAAATTATAACATTTTTTTACGAGCTGAATCTTAATCCAAAACGTGCATATTTGCGGGAGTTCCCGGTAAAAGTGTGATTATGTATTTTCGTTAATACCCTGCGGCTTCCTACTTTGTTTGCCAAATTTCAAATCTAACACCTTACCTCAAAATTCAACAAACCACCCCCAACATCACAAACAAAAAACAGATCGACATACAGAAATTACAGATCTAGTCTCCCGTGGTTTTTGTTTGGACCCAGTCAGGTGAGCAATCTTCCGATTTACTTTTTCTGTCAGTAGGTAATTTTTATGTACATTAACAATTCTGTGACTGAGTGATCAGACTGTCCACAAAATAACTAAATTGGCGGCTCCGTTCCCAGCAAGCAGGTCGACTTTAAAGCACATTATTCATGACAAGGAATTATCTTGACGGTAAAAACACTTGTTATGCTTTTTTTCATCTTTGCATATTTAATTAAACATTTGTAGTTTCTCTCTGACTTACCTTTTCAAATTTTTTTTTTCAACGGGGGTTCCTTTGAAGCTGAAAGTTAGGGTTAAAAAACATGTTCCGATTTTTTTATCCTGCGGAAAGAAAAGAAAAAGAATACAGCAATGACACGAGTTTTTGCTCATACTGTTGTTTCAATTTTAAACTATGCATTATGCGGATTCAAAAGTGTGTAAGACTTGTCATTCAAGGGATATTGAATAGGATTTTCAAGAATAAATAAATTAAGGAACGTTGAGAAATTTTTATTGTATTTTTTTAAGTGAGGAGTCCTATACACAATTTTTTTTCCATTTTAAAGCACATTTATGAGATTTGTTAGCCCTAGCCATTCCGTGATCGTCATATCAGAGGATGTCGTTTTAAGAAGTACTCGAATGTTACATGAAAGCGTATCATGTCTTTAAATGCATACACCAATACACGTACCTATGTTTATTAAATCTGATCTACCTTCAATCGCAGAAAATGAGCTGTAACCTCATTTGCTTTCGTCTTTAGCTCTTGTTGAAAAACTGCACCAAATTTTCAGTTCTCTGAACCGGCTTTCAGAATGGTACTGATTCATTATTAGCGTCTTGCTACCGTCTTAATATATAACATTCTTCTAAATTTGAGCGATTTTTTTTACGTTGTAGTTAATCGAAAAGATGTTGAGGTTTACTCAACAAATATTGTTTCGTTTACGTGTTTCCACTCGTTCTTCGGTAACTTAGCAATCTGTTTCAACAGAGACCTTGGCGAGCGTAAACTGCATCCGCGAGAACTTTGATGCTGAAAATTTTCTCGGTATTCAAACAATTACTTTGGCGATACGCAGAATACACTCCAAAACGGAATACCAACTTCCTTCCCTGAGTGGGCTCCCCGTTGGTGCAATATCCTGATGTGAGTATTCAGAAAGCAAACGTTGCTGATAACGTTGATGTTTTTGTTTAGCTCACTATTAGAGCATATTTTACTAAGTAACCCTGCAGCTGCACCGCGCAGACACAATACGTGTGCATAGTTTTTGATTTGCTGTCTTTCTTTGTAAACTGTCTTCAAAAAAGGCTCTGTTTCATGAAAAGTGGTTCTGAAAACAGAAGTTATAGTGCATAGCTTCACCCCATCAAACGCTATGATTGTTGCAAAGTAGAGTTAGTGTATTCATTATCTTTGTATCACAGCAGAGATACTTTTGGTCGGAGAAATAAACATGTAAATTGTTTTTTTGTAGTTTTCATCTTTAATATCAAATCATATCGATATAAAAACAAAATAACTTTTCTGGAACTTGTTTTGGATCAAATTTCCAGCTTTTTGTACCAACTGCCACACAAGGGTGATAATCTTTTTCAATTTTCATGTCTTCTCGTAAATATGTATGAGTCGGAGTTCGCATTTGACAATAGAGGTTCACCATTTTGATCTTTTTTCTTTGCAAGATCGAATAAAATGATGATAATGATGATGATATCAATAATGATAATGATACAACCGACAAGATTACTTAAATTAAATTAGGCAAAACTCTCGCTGCATGGACCATTTAAAGGAATCAGTTATAAATTCAGCTTTTTAATCTTGTTATTTATAGACTGTCATTTTTTTAAAATTCGTTTTGAAAATTTATTGATGATCAAAAGTGCATCTCAGGCTGTAGACATCTCTAAAAGGCGGAACACGGTAAGGAGAAATTCCACACCGATCCCCTGACAGGATGATTTGGTTTGATCAATCGAGTTGATGATGTAAATTGGCCATCGTAAAAAGTTTTTTGATCCGAAGATGACGTTTCGAGTTTTAGCCCAGTTTTGCGCTGCTAATTGAAGCATGAGCAATTTTCATGGCTCCTCCAGGCACTACATAATGCGTAACAATTTACGGAGATGCGGAAATTTGAAATGGCTTTTCCTTTTTTTTCTGTAATTAATGCAGGGAGAACTACTGCAGATAATATTTCCTACATTGCTTAGTTCGGAAATTTTTAAGGAGCACAACTGTGACATGGTGACTTGAATTTACAGCAAAATACTTTAATCAACTCAGTTGAAACAATACTAAATAGGTACATAATGGGCGTTTGTGTCTACCGCTGTTAAACATGGCTTGAGTCGCAAATTTGCATATTAGTAACTTTTTTTTATTACTCGAACGTTTATGGAGAAATACACATGGTTATCTCAACATTATTTTGCATTACCTTTAACCAGAAGAGGATGCTTTTATATTCTGCATTACACCTTAATCAGTCACTTATACGATGGAACACTTTTCTAATTTTACTTTCAAACAGCAACAAGCAAATAGCATCACCTTGCGATACTGAGATCGTGAAATTTGGAACATGTGTCGTGGAGTTTGGTGAATCCAAACTTGGACGTTTTTGCTAATAAATGTATGCGAGGGTAAGGCGCTGGTGTGATTAATGTTTGAGATGAAGGGAAAATCTGCACTAATTTATACGGAGAGAATTTTACATAATTTATGAAATGATCAAAATGCATCATAAAACAGATGTTTACGACAAGATTTTACGCCGCGGGGCTATTAACTAAAAATAGACAAAAGGTGAATTATACGATAGAATACAATTCTGAATTTTTTAAAGCATAACTATTATCCTCTTGGATGTTTAAGAAAACTTCAGCCCTATCTGATTTTTATATCGTTATGAAGACTTATGCTCAGCTGATGTTATTTACATACCAAAATTTAAAAAAAAACTTACCTGACGTGAATAAATCTTTCACAAACTGTGCCCGGGGTGGTCTATTTGACGAGGAAGGTAATATTGGTCTTGCCGAAAGAAATATATTAAGAAAAAAAATCAGTTTGATACATTTTTTTAAATGTAATCTATGGTTTTTTAAAAGCGCATTTTTTTTCCCGGCGACTGACTCCGTTACGAATTCAATGTAACACTGATAATCCACGGTATTGGATCATGTTAAGACGAATACTTTAATGATTGTTCATATCCAACATGTAATGTTATATGAAATAAAATTTTCATGTGACACAAACGACATTTCAAACAATATTGATCGTGTACAGTGTTTGGGCAATCTGATTAAGGTTTCACAATACGAGCTCTTCTAAAGTAAAACATGTTTATAACATTATTTTCCTTTTTCTTTAAAGTACGAAATATTTTTTAAAGCATTCTTTACCGAGATTTGTGGCAGTCTTTCATGTAGCAATCTAGAAGAAAAAAACTCACCTCGTCTGAGCCAAAAGCTTTATCGGTAAAAATCCTCTTTGAGAAATTACAACGATATTCAAAAGCTTTTAACCTATTGAGACATTTGAAAGGTTTCGCGGCAGACACCTATTGTGTAGCTTCATTTCATAGGTTTTTCTCGTGTCAAGTTACCCTCAAGGTGTCGTATCTTTTTGTCTCTGATCTCACCTGACAAGTTCGTAACTCTTGCCTTATTAAAAGCGCTCTCTCGAGTGATGAATCCCAATTAAAGACAAATGTTTCTATTCCACAATGCAAATAAAAGGTTTTAGAGCAAGTAAATTCTTCTATCTACCGGATATTGTTTTGTAATATGAATTTGTTTTGGCTTTAGGACAAATACAAACGCTCGCCTCGACCTATTACTCAAGAAAAGTTGTCATTTCTCCGGAATGTGAAATAAGGGCACGCGGTAAAACTTGGCGCTTGGGTGTCAAACACGAGAAGAATCACCACTTGCTGAATGTAAACTAAAGCCGCAGCTCATCAAGCAAATTAGATGCGGCTGCTAAGCAGAAGGTTCCGAATATTTACACGGATTAGCCCTGGAGAGTGTTTCACTAGTTTATGTTGACAAAATTATACTCTGACTGAAGACAGTGGAAACTTCCTCTCGCAAAGTTTTGACATCAAATACCGCTCCGGGTCATGGAAGCAAAAGGTACGCCGATGGTTTTTATCGCATCTTATCTTCGCTAAAAGCAGCGTTTTCTACAAAACCCCCTCTGAGGTCGAAATTGAATCTGATAAAATTTTAATTTCCGCTGTTCTTGGGTAGGGAGTTTTTTTTTGTATCACTTCATTGTCCAAGACAGAAAGCGTTTTGTATCAGTTTTATTTTATGCTCAATTTTGAAACACCTGAAGAAATAACTTTTGTATTGACTGTTGCCTGGGGCGCTTTCTCGGTGGTTCACTCGATCGAGTCCAATCTTGAAAATTGCTCTCTCTTTTTCAACTATAGCTAATTCAAAAAATTCATAATGTGTGGGATTAAAATCTGCAAAAAGCAATCTACATCGTAAGGGTGAGCTACTAATTGGTTTTCCTGCCATATTACAAGTTTCCTATGCGTTTCTGACATCAGCCTCTTATCCTGCTATAAAGAGAAAACAATGAAATTTGGAAGCCATTAAGTACTTTTCTCACCTCAATTTAAGGCCTTTTTTGTCATCTATGGCAAATCAGTTTTCCTTGATTCTAAAATTTTTTTTTTTTCGGGTGACAATTTGTTTCCCCGCGTCGAAAGCATTCCTCATCAGATTGAGGCCAAAACTGCTCAATATAGACTTGGTGATATTTAATTCAGTTTGCTATAGAGGAAATTTATTTCTGTTATTAGCCGAACCTCCTCTGCTTAGCGTGTGTGTTTGAATATGTTAATTTCTACCTCTTGCGAGAAATCGATTAAAATCAGAGCGAAATTCTCCGTCAAAGAAAAATTCGTATATTTCACGATAACGCATAAGACCAGTCATTTATGCTAACGTTAAAAAAATTCCACTCTTTTCCCTCTTCCCTTGAGGATTGTGATTTATGGCTATTCAATTTGGTTAGGGCCAAACTACTCTTTCTATTTTCCATAGTTAAATGATAGATCTTTTTATCACAACAATCTCTCAAACTTATGAATTTTTCATACAGAGGCAGAATAAGTAAACTTTAATAGAATGAGCAAACGCCGGCAATGCCTGCCGGCAGCTGCGTGCGCTGCAACCCAATCGTACGATCGACGTTCCCCCTTTAATAAAAAAGCTAGAGACACTTCTTCCCAGTTTGTCGTCATGGTCGCAAGAACATTGGCATTGCTTTCCTCCAAATTGAGTGGGTAAATTCTCTTGTTGGAAAAGAAAAGGCAAAAACAAAAGGAATGTATATGCTGAAAACTTTTTTGACTGACGAACTCCACGACGTGGCTAGCTAAACCGCGACGAAAATGCAAATGAAACATTGGGCTCTACTTTGGTATGTTGTTCCTCATAGTGTACACGATAAAAGTCAGAATGCCATATTAGCGTCAAAATTCTATAAAGATTACGTGAGGTCATATTTTTTTCTACAGGAAAATAACTCAACCTTACTGTAAATTGTCAATTTTAGATCACCCCCCTTCTTTACGAAAATCTACTTAAAATTTCTCACCAGGTTGAGATATTTGATTGCAATCTAAGAGTAATTTATGAACTGCACTGGCAGTTTTTAATGATTATTCGATTTTTTCGTGGTATGGAAAATATATCAGATGTATGAATAATTCACTCAATTATTTCACATTTTATTATTATTGCCTTCGTTCATAAACACTGACAGGCATTTTCGAAAAAAAGAGGCAGCCGTAATTGGTAGAGAATTCAACGATATAAAGATCTCAGAGCTCAAACCTTGAAGGAACGACGAGTGCTCTTGTAAATATTCGAAAAAAAAATCCTCGCTAAAAAAAAACCATTCGGTCGAAGACTTCTCAACCTGACCTCGATATGGAGACAAAAGATGTCTTCTGATAACAAAACGAAAATACATAATCTACTTTTCTCTCACATTTAGCGAATAATAATTTTAAATGTGGTTAACAGGATTAACCTTGGTCTTGACTGTCATATCAAGCGAGATTGCCTATGCACCAACTTAAAACGGGTATTACAAAAGTTAAAACCATATATTTTGTGATGACTCACAATGACAATCACATTTTAGCCGCTATAGCCAGACATGCGCAGTTTGACGCTATCGGCTGCGATAACAGCTGCAGGACACATGAGCATGCGCAGATTAAGTTCGATGCCTTCACTCAGTTCGTTAGCTAAGCCGATTATTTACTTTTCTCTCAATATCAAGTCTGTGATAAGGTAACACAAGCTGTGAACGGATGAGATCGGCGACGCTAAAAGCACGCATAGAAATAGACCAATGAGGTCAAGGGAAAATTGGAGTATACGTATTTTAAGAAATATTCAGAAAACGATCGGTCTCCCGACGGTACTAAACTATTATGCTTAAGATAAGCGAGTTATGTTTTACAATGACAGCTTACTGTGCTCGGACATGAAAAATGTTTAGTACAGGCTGTGTCTTTTTTTTTTGTAGCAGAGACAAATTCCTTTTTTTTCAGCTATATAAATTTGTTGTAAATACCAATATACTAAAAGTTGATTTATCTTTCCTGTCATTACCCCTTACTCTAGGTTGATTATCGCCAGAAAGTATATTAATTTCACGATACAGAATTTTTTCCGCTTAGATGAGTACTGTATATAAAAAATTATGACAAACCGTAGAGGTGAATAAAAAAAACCTTACTCGCTCACCAGTGTCTTTACTAACCTTTGGTTTGTCTTCTTTAAAACTCAGTTCATTTTGTTTGGAATTGAACAGAAAAGTGTTTCGTGGTAGGAGAATTTTTCGCTTTTGACAGGAGGTCTATTGAAATCAGCTTCTTATACTCATGCGTAATTATCCTCGCTTAAGTGCACCTTTGTTTAAGACTCAAGAAAAAATGCCAAGTTCCTTTTTCATCATTGTCACACTTAAACAAAAAGAAATTTGGCCTGAATGGATGGTAGATCAATGTTAAGTATTCACTGTGTGTAAGTTCCGCTCCTTAATTCGTCAGTCTTTTTTTGGCCTTCTTGCTGTCAGTTGTATAACAGGTCTGAGGGCCAGAGGGTTTTCCGTTCATGCTCTCAGAGCATAGGTTTTTAAGTGTCATTTGACAACCATTTTCAATAATATTCGTGAAACTGACCGGCGGTAACCGAACCCACTAGGGGCAAATTCGCGTCGAAATCATTGCAGAAGAAACCTACCTCTTCAAGTAAATGATGTTTAAATAGCAGACATCTACAGGATGCAAATGAGCGCAGCTTTATTGAAGTCTATCTCAGATGCGTACTCGTAAACAACCGCGTACTTTTCCTCCTTTTTCAGATCCACACGACACTCAGAACGAAAGAAAAATGAACGAAGGAACGGCAAATAGGACATCGAAAGTTCGCTTTTCGGCAAACACGGACACGTTCAGCGAGGAGGAAGAAGCAGACATTCGCCACAAGCGACTACTTCGGTACTGGTATAAAGGAGGTCGAAGGTATAGTGAGGCCGAGAAAGCCTTCCTGAACCGAGTAAGGATCCCTTCCGTTGGATTACTCGGCGATGGAGAGACAAAAGTCGGATGGTTGAGATTCTTCGACCCTGGAGGTAAAAATACAGAGTTATGATAGTTACCTCGTAAATCTATTATGTCGACTTCAATTATTTTCTTGAATTTTTCTTTCAAAGAAAAAAACCTAATTTTTTAGGTACGGAAAAAAATCTAATTCATTTACCGGTGGGTAAATTCTTTTTACAGTGTAAAAATAAATAAATAGTTCTCGTCGCGTCAAAATCTCGGAACGTTGCTAACTGACTTAGCTCATGAGATGATATCTAGTAATCTATATAGTCAAGATCATATTGAAAAATTGTTCCTTAGCAAGTAAATTAAATGTAAAATATCACCTCAGTACATCATATGGTCAGCTCATTTCAAGATTATCTCAATGTGGTCTTTGGCACTAGTTCAGATCACCTTTCGTGCCTATTGCGCTATCTCTTTTCGTACATTTTTCTGGAATTCTCAATGATAATTTTCTATGTTAAATGTGCTGAATAAATAACGGAAAATTATAATGATAAATCATCTTTTAATTCCTCGCCAACACTAAAAGTATCACCTTATGTCGATAAAATTTATATAAAACTAACAATCGAACCGATGAGAGATATGTTTTCTTTAATATCATTGATCAACTGTCAGTTAAATCGAGTCAGAGCGACGTGCGGTATGATGGCTAAACGGCTGGTATATCAAACGGAGGATCTGTCCAAAAGAACTAGAGGGATTTTTCGAATTTGCTTTGCAAATTTCTGTTTCGCCAGACATAATATAGCCGTGGTTACCTTCTTTTAAATTGAATTTTAATCACGCGTTAGATAATTCCAAAATAGTATGGTTTATCAATCGCAAAACAGTTTTATAATGGCATTTTGGTTGCAATTTCATTTTCGGAAAAAAGAATAACTTACATTTTAAGTTTGCTTTCGAGCGTAAACGGTGAATTTCTTCTTTCGAACGTCCCTTCAATGCAGAGGTTTAAAATAATGGTTGATCGCCTTATGGTCTTTAAGTTATGTGGAAGGAGTATTTATCCCCGACACAAACTAAATATATTCAATATATTTTGAAATAACATCTCGTTTGCTCTTTTCTTTAAATGTGTTGTAAAATCATATTCTGATCGTAGGATTATTTGCTGCCTACCTTTATTTGAGTAATCTCGGACAGATGGTCCAAAACTTTTGCTTTACACCATTATTGTGAAATAAAAGTATTTTTGGATAATTAATCAACCATCTGCTCCATGCTGAGTGGGCCGGAAAATAAAATGCCCCGGGGGGGGGGGGTTATTGAGGGAAGAGGGGGGGGGGGCATTCACCAACTTTTTTTCTAAGGGTACTCCGCAAAAACTTCAATGAAGACTTTTGAAGACTATCGAAGTGAATTGAAATAACTTTTTAACTCTACTCAATTTCTACTCTACCATTAATTCGTCACTATTCAACCTTTAAACTGTGATGATGATATTTACTAGAGGGAGCTAATCTTGTGCCCAAAACCAGCAGTGTAATTAAAATGTAGGGACCTAACAACCGCTTAGCCGTGGATAGTCTGGGTACAAGACTAAGAGAGAACCCATCATGTTAAAGCCCTCTGGTTTCTCATGGGCCTCCTCGCTACCTCAGGTCCTTTTTTTACACTTTTAACTTGATGACTATCGCATTCATTTTTAGTTAAGAACTATTCCCAACCAATAGAGTAATTCCGTTTAGTTGCCTCTTTTTACACAAGTGCTCCAAAAAACAGGCTACTTTTTTTGTTTTTATTTGTTTTGATCAAAATGAGGTAAAGCAGAATCTAGTGTCTGGAATTAAAAAATTGAATGAAATTATTGATTGTGTTTCCTCTTCATTCTCTCCGTTGTAGGTGACAGGCTCTATTACTGGCTTTTAATAGTATCTGTAGCGGTTGTGTACAATTCATGGGTTCTTATATTAAGGTCGTCTTTCCCCGAACTCCATAAGAAACATCAATACGTTTGGATAGCAATCGATTATCTCTGTGACGTCGTGTACATTGTAGACATCTTCGTCAGCTCTAGAACAGGCTACATGGAAGATGGTATCATGCAAAAAGACATCAAAAAAATGCGGCGTCACTACCTCCGAACGTCGAAGTTTTATATGGACGCCGCGTCCATAATCCCATTAGACATAGCATATATTTTCATCGCGCATGAGCCGGCTATTCGCATGAATCGTCTTATCAAGTATCACCGGTTCTGGCATTTTCTGGATCGTACCGAGAGCAGAACAAGTTATCCGAACCTGTTCAGACTTGCGTCCCTGATGCAATTTATTCTGGTTATAATCCATTGGAACGCCTGTATATATTTTATAGTGTCGCGTAAAATTGGATTTGGAAAGGACCCCTGGGTATACCCCGGAATAAAAGGGAACGCTAATATGACTGAAATGCACAGGTCTCTCACGAGGAAATACATCTATTCCTTTTATTGGTCGACTTTAACGTTAACTACGATTGGTGAGGTTCCACCGCCACATACTAATGTGGAATTTATTATAGTCATAATCGACTATTTAATAGGTAAGTTTGGTATCATTCGTTAGACTCAACTTGAAGCACTATTGACCTTCATTAGTATGGAGATGCACAGGCAAGCCTTATTATATCTTACGCTTGATTATACAAGCATTTTTATTGGTTATCACGTGTAATCTATTGGAGGTAAAACGCATAGATGATGTGACGTTAACGATATTTAATAATTTTATAATTTAAATGAATATGGATGCGATCTTCGCAGTAATGAACACTACGTAAGTAGTAGTGAAAAGAAGGCCTCAAAAAAAATTCAGGCCTGTACGGGATTTGAACCCATGACCTCTGCCATACTGGTGCAGCGCTCTACCAACTGGGCTAACAAGCCAACTGGGAGCTGTTCATTATGTTAGTTCCAAATAACTGACCTGTAAAGTGGTGAATTTAAAACATGTAGACCCCATGTTACCGTGGGTGTTTTCAGTCACAGATCACAGGAGACTTTACAATGTGATAAGAACATCAGTGACGCACTTGCGCTTCGTGTGCCACTTTTTTTTACTTACTGCATTTTGACGTCATCTGTGATGTAACACAGAGCAGACGCACGGAAACATGGAATCTGTTTGTTAATTGGCAATACAGGTACACGCAGATTAATGTCTGAGAAACTGCGCACCTACTCCTCACCTAACCCAACTTTAATCCTAACTCGGGGAGGGGTAGGAGTGCAGTTGCTCCGATACCGAAATTGATCTGCACACGCGATAGATAAAGGTCAGCAAAACTTGCGAACTGATTAATGTTTACGTCTTCTATTACAGGCGTTTTGCTCTTCGCTACCATTGTGGGAAACGTTGGCAGCATAATTACCAATCAGAATGCTGCTAAAGTGGATTTCCAAAATAAGATGGACGGGATTAAGTCCTATATGCGCTTTCACAAGATTCCGCAGCATCTACAACAACGTGTAATTAAATGGTTTGACTATCTGTGGATGAACAAAAAACATCCCGACGAAGAGGAACTCCTGCAGTCACTGCCTGATAAACTGAGGGCAGAGTTGGCGATCCATGTACATCTCGATTCACTAAGAAAGGTCGAAATATTTCAAGATTGTGAAGCAGGATTTCTTAGCGAGCTGGTCTTGCGTCTCCGTCCTCAGTTGTTCTCCCCAGGTAACATTCTTCCTTTTCATTGGCCGAGCACCCACTTAGTGACTTGCACTCAATAGGCTGACCATGCGTTATACACTTGAACTATGTCTTGCTGCGAATAATATTCTACTTATGCGCAGTTGCACCAAATATCTTTCATGGAAAAGCAGGCTAATCGCTTCTCAAGCTGATAGAGAGTGATTTTAGAAAAAAAATCATGAAAAATAAACTTGATTGTCGAATGGTAAAACAATTATTGAGCTTGGTAGATAGATTGAAAATTCACTACCAACGAATCACGATATTTCATGCAAGGTTGTCCAGTTCAGAGGAGAACTGGTTACATTCTTCAGATTTGCGCGTTTTCGCACATCTGAAGGATAAGATTTGAATAGTGTTGACTTAGTGGAATTTATCATAAAAAGAGCGAGAGCCAGCTGCCCCGCCCTTGGAACAACCCCTCTGCTCTGGAAGGCTGGTTTTCTTTCTAAGCACAGCCTTATCTCAACTAAATTGCCTCGCAATACCATACAAATCTTACACTTCAGTTATGAAAAACATGCAAAGACGAAAATTCTATATGGCATAAAATATTTATAGACTTCATTTGCCTGACCTTCCTGCCGCATGAATACGAGCTGGCTGATGCAGAAGGAAGCACAACGTTACAAGTCACAGACATTTGTAATTATGACCCCCCTCCCCCCCACAACTTTGAAAAATCGTTCCCATGCCCCTCTTTATTGCGGATTCTGAATTGCTTCCCTTTTATCTGCAGGAGATTACGTTTGCAGAAAAGGCGAGGTTGGCCGAGAAATGTATATCGTGAATAGGGGCAAGCTGGAGGTGGTGTCGGAGACGGGCACCAAAGTGTACGCTGTGTTAGAGGCCGGGAGTTACTTCGGCGAGATTAGCGTTCTGTGTATGAGTGCTGCTGGAAATCGTCGGACGGCTTCGGTACGCTCCGTTGGCTATTCGGAGTTATTTTGCTTGTCTAAAAACGATCTGATGGAAGTGCTTGACGAGTATTCAGAAATAAAGACGAAAATTGAGAATATTGCTAAACAACGTCTAGAGAATGACAAACGAAGGACCAGCGTATTGCTTTCTAACAAACATGATAAAAACAGAGCTAATGAAAATGGAACCGATATGGATCTAAGAGTGAAGAGCAAAGTTTTTGCTAAATTGGAGGAAAGGATAGCCACTCTTGAGAGGGAACGCGTGGACTTGATGGAAGAAATGAAACGACAAAGAGAAGAGTTTTCCGACAGGCTGGTAGACTTGGAGACGTCCATGGCACAGTTGTCTCGAGATCGTCGAGGGGACGGACAGAGACCAACTTCAAGATCGTTTGATTTTGTTTGGAAGAGAAGATGACTGAATGTGATTACTGAACTGTTTTCTTTTCCCTTCGGAGTACTTTGACGCTGGCGTTCAAGTACTGTCTTTGAATTTAATTAGATGCACCATATTGAACTGACGCTGAATTAGGTTAAGGTTGATAAATGGTATGCGTCGGTATGGTAGAGAGGGTAACGTTTGAAGGCATTCTTACCGTGCTATGCTACCAACAATACAGCACAGGGACCTTAAGCAGTCAGGGCAAAAACACCGAGGAGGGCGTCGATTAAAAAATAGATGAATACTTTAAGTCAGAATTTTCCAAAAGGCTGGATGTCTTAACTGTCTCTTGTGGCCCCTCATGCACTCCAACTTCAGCTTAACGTATGTGAGCAGCGATGAGCTCCAAATGGAAACTTAGATAATTTGCCGTCCGGCGTGGTTTCCGTTCTCAGACCGAGCAAGTTAAAATTATTTCACGTTGTTGTCATGTAGAGGACGGCTAAGAAATGAACAAAGATTTGAACGGACGAGCCTAGCTATTATTCTATTCATTTGATCTTTTGTTTAGCCACGTCCTCGTCGCCGTCGCCGTCGTGGTTTTCTTAAGGTCCCTGTCACATTCTGATATTCTAGTGGCATCAACTTCTCCTCTCATAAAATACGAGAGAAAACCGTGCACTCTGAAGATGGTTACCAGAAGAAACTCAGCAGAACTGCCACAGAAGGAGATGATGCTAAATGCCGCTGCGACTCGATTTACCTTTTCTCTGTGTGCTTATTTGTTGCGTCTACAGTTCATATCCAGTGGAGTGAATGGAAATTTCAAAAACATTTTTAAATAGCCGCCAGGTATTGGCCTAGAGTAGCCTTTCTTCTTAATTTCGTGTCAATTCGTTTTATGAACATCTTTATATCAAGAATATTGTCAGTTCCTGATGATAAATCTTTCAAACGAGCCAGATTTAATGGAACATTTTAGCAATTTCATAATTGCTTAAAACGTTCCGCGCCGACCTAGTATGTATTTGTAGCATTTGTCATTCTTGTTCACCAGACAATAGGACGCAAAGCGCTTTTAAAGGTTCCCTTATTCTCTCTCTTGCTCGTCTACTTTTTACTCAAACTCTGTCGCCTTTTGATCGTTGTTGTCCGAAGCGTTTCTGGAATTCTATGATTAACTGACTATAACTTTGATAAATTTCCTAATCTAGATATGTATGCGCCGCTGTGGAACACACAAAAATGACGAAAATCATTTGTGGATAATTATGAAATTCTCTCATTAGAAGCTATTTGAAGAAAACGTTTGCCTTTGAACTTGCTTCATAAAAGCAATCGCTGCCGATTGTAACAGCTGAAAAGCGGGAATTTTCAGTCGTTTCGACCTAAATCACTCAGAGATATGCCAAAAAATCTTAGTTTACCATTATATATCAAAGGCTTTAATAAAGTTGATAAAGTTGCATTCTTTTGATATGAATTTTGGTGTATTAAAAGCTTTGGAACTATTCAGCCCATGACCAAGGTTTTTCGGCGTGACTTCTTTCTTTTCCAGTAGTCCCTCGCAATTGTTGGATTACGCGCGCGTGGACTAAGGACTGCAGGGACGGAAAAGAAATTCGCGACGTTTGTTTCGAAATTCGTGACCCACGACAAATGGTTAAGTCACTTTTATTTGTTTGTTTATTTTTCTCAATCTGCCTCTGACATCAAACCGTAATAATCCATTCAAAAATGTAGTTGGTTTCATTTTTTTATTTGTCCCTCTTAGATGAATTATTCCTTGACATCAAAACCTACTACTCGTTAAACATTTTTTGTTCCTTTAGTTCAACACGAAATATTTTTCATCTGATAATAAGCACATGGCCAGTCTCACGGTCGACTCAAACAGTCGCTAGGAAAGTTTTACTTCTACTCATTTGATGCTATAAACGTAATCTTTAAAGCATCATTTATTATTTATCATGGGGTGGGAAGGGGTGTGGAGGATTTTGTGAGGGGGGTCACATGGTTTTCAGGGGGGGAATCAGTCGTCGCCAACAGAGTAGAAAGGGGAACAATTGAAAATTATCTGCCAATTAACTGCCACGAGGGGGGGGAGGGGAAAATGTTTAAAGAATATTACAAAGCCTTAGATGTAAACCAGGTAAATATAAACCTGACAAAATCAAAATCCTCCGACCCCTTCCTCCCCCCCCCCCGATAATAAATAATGACCGGTCCCTGACGTTGTTCAAATTAATTGATTTATTAACCGATAGATTATTTCAATAGTAGCTTTGATGCTGCAGTTGATAGTTAGATTTTTTACATAAAATATATTACATCGCAAAATACACGAACATGCATGCAAGAAATTTTCCCTCGTATTTAGATAATTGATTTACGAGCCCAAAATACGGCTATGAAGAAAACTACGTGAAAGTTACATTTTGGGATCAATGTCAGTATCTGAACAACTGTTCACCTTACCCCCCCTCCCCCATCAACTCAACATAATCTTAGGCTATTAAAAATTGACTGTTGCTGGGTGAGAGTAGGGGAGAAGGGGGGGGGGAGTAGGTGCACAGTTGCTCGGATGCGAACATTGATTCACATTTTGGTATACTGGAACGTCTCCTGTAGGTAACGAGAAACGTTCAAAATTATCTAAAACCGATTCCTCTCACTTCGTGATTAAGCTGGTAAAATATCGTATTCTTAAATAATATTGTACTCTTGCGTCTTTTTACCAGCACAATTCTACAAAATGTGAATAAATCACTTTATCAACTTTTGTTGTTGTCCAAACTACAACAGCGTCATTTTCAAACTATCTGAAAAACAATATTTCATCCTCAGAGGTAAAAATTTTGTAAACCCCGTAAAATTCTAAGTTTTAAGTTAAAATAATTCATTTTGTCTTTGATATGATTTCATCATTCATTGTATGGCACCAAATTTCTACAAGAACTTCTTATAATTTTTTATATGCAATACGATCTTCAATAGATACTAAAGATTTCCATGAAAATATTTTTTCAAGTTTCGATTAAGACTATTAAAATTTGAATACCATACAGTTGATTTACGTTTCTCCTCAACATCAACCAAAGTATCTAATTGCTCAGGATTGCGGGTGTGTAAGGATAATCGGACCTCACAGATCGGGGAGGCATTCCATGATGCATTGCAGCCTGCATATCTACGAACTCCTCGAGCACATCCGGATAAAACCTGTCGTTAGTGCCACCGCTGACCCCTGACAGAGGATACATGGCGTTTGTCGTTATTGCAGCCGTTGGAAACATGTAACTGGAAGGATAGCTTCGTTCCGAGAGAGGGTACTGAGAATAATGCTTCATATGGTCCATTGAAGAGATTCCCCTGTAATCATAAGCCGCCATGTTGGCTGCAGGATTCATAACTGCGTAGCTGGAGTCCGCCATACTGGTTTTAGAGCGACCAGCGGCATACCCAGTTCCATCTGTCGCATAACTGCTTGACATGTCAAAGTCTCCCATGGCAATTCCCCCTTCACTTCCACTGGTCGGGGCAAAGCTGTTTCCATGATTCATAGCGGGCATCAAGCTACCTTGGCTTGGCCCATAACTATACCTTGCTGCATAGGCCTCAGGCGACGGATACAGGAAGTGGCCCTGTTCTGCCATCATGGGGTATTTCCCTATATTGTTGTTGTTGTTATTGTTGTTGTTTGTTGGTGTGGTAGGCGTCATTGGTGTCATGGGATGCGGCGACATGTCGTGATACGAAGAACGCATCATGACGGGCTGTGCTGGGCTCCTCTGGGGAGGCAAGTCTCTGGGGCTCCTGTGAGAACCCATTGAAGAAGAGCTTGAATGTCTTCGACAAGCAGTCTTCCTAGCGCCAGTGGACCTCGGCCCAACGACATCAACTTCCATGCTTTCGCTCGTAGGTTCTGTGACAAACAAAAGGTATTTTATTTGTTAATTCTCCTATTAAAAAATTTTCAGAACCATTAATTACTCTCTACGTCATTAATGCTGTTTAGAGCTCCGTTTGGAAAGAGCTTTGTGACAATATTTTGTATTGCACTTTGGGCGTAGAAAATGGGAAGGGAGAGAATGGATAAAGGGAAGGAATGTACGAAAATTGGGGCAAGAATGGTCAAGGGTGGAGAAGATTATGAAAGACTGGAAACAAATTGCGCAACATTTTTGAAGATACGCAAGCCTTTACAAAGCTAATCTTGAATTAAAGAAGTAACTAATTCCTTCAGTGTAAGCTATTGTAACACTAACCCTCCAGAACGTTGGTCTCCTTGGTAACGCGAACAGAGGACTGGGCCGACGGTTCATCCACATTGTTGTGGTTTTCAACCGTGTAAAGGATATAATCTTCGAGGAGCATGTGTAGTAGGTGAAATGAACCTGCGATAAATCGACAACGGATCAGTTAAAACGATGGTACCCAAGGATTTAAAAATTATATACAAGCAAAAATGTTAGGGTCTAAAAGAGCATAACAGAGTTTTAGTTGCGCTTGGAGAAAGACTTACCGAAGCTGTGAGCGCTGTGCAATGTTAATTCCCGCACAATTTTAATGCTGAAAAAGGACCATTTGAGAAGAAAGTCTTTTGAGCACTCCTTGTAAGTTTTTCCAGTCTTCTCCACTTGCTAAAAGAAAAGTGAGAGAATTCGAATCTTGAGGGAAAGTTTAGATATAACTCAGTTTAGGTTTGCAAGGGTCTGGCGACAAGTCATCATTAACTGCCAAGGGGTGGGGGCAAAGGATTGTTCTTTGGGGGGAAGGGGTCACTTGATTTTGAGGGGAAACTATAAAAATAAACTGCTTATTAACTGCTAATGATGCAAGAACATAGGAACATTACAGAGCCTTATGATCAGGTAAATTTTGTTGTAGCGCAACCAAAATAGGGGTATTCTACGGTTACTTCCATTCACTGATATATTTAAAAGGTAGAAAGTAGATTGAAAAAACCAGAGACCTCACCTGATGAAGCCTAAAGTGATGGGGAGTTCAATGCTTAAAATGATGGGGATTATTATTTCTGCATTTGAAAGGAATTCCGGTCCAAAGCAGACGTACTCCTCAACATGTATCAGTTTTCTCCTACTTTTTACTGGTACCTGTTTATACCCCTGGGTGAATAGAGGCAGTAGGACTCAATTTACCCACCCTAGGACTCATCAAATTGACGCAGCCAGGGCCTTTCGAGTCCAGAGCCATAAAAATATTTTTGAAAAACACCCTTCGCTTTACTTCTTGTGCATTAGACTGAGAGGACCCGACAAAGGCACGCCCACTGTACTCACCTTCATAACACAGCGGTTGACCAAACTGGACGCCCATTCGGCGTACTGATCTATGGTTGCTTGCTGATCGAGAAGCTGTGTAAACTCTTTATAGTCTGCAAATTTGAGTAAACCAGTAAAATCTCGTTAAAAAGACTAAACTTACTGCGTCAGATTTAAACGAAAGGAAAACAATTAAAACCAGTTTTGCGCACTTACGTTCGTAAACAAGTTCATAATCGTCGTCTACGGATTCGCTGAAAGTCCACATGGCCTGACGGGTAATTCCTTCGAAGTCGATTTGTTTCCAATCGTTAAGCATCTGGGATACAGGCTCTGCGCTGTGCAATACTGTCCGGGCAGCCTGGGAATTAACGATGAAGACACTTTTCAAAAACAAGCAACGAAAGCTGGCCTAATAGTATAATTCAGACGATCAGGTCATATGAAACAGTAAGTTACATTTATTTTCAGTCTAAAATTCGTTTATTTTTTTTTGCCTGTTTTGTCAATGTTTCTGTTGTCTTCTTTTTTCTGGCTTTTTTAAACTGTCATGAATCCTTAAAGAAAATTTAAGATTTATTTAGAAGGTAAACTGAGAAGGAAAAATAGCGATTTGATCAAAGAACAATGCATATTTGATCATATTATGTTTTTGCCCGGTTGAAGGGGTTACAACATATAACACGCACAACCCTTTCCCAGGAAAACGGATCTCATCCGACTGTCATCCGATGCGAACTACTTATTGTAAAACATTGACAACTTTGTTTTTTCCTACCTGTGCAAGATGTGTTAAAGACGTCTGCCTTCGCAGTGAGTGTGAGAAACTCTTAGCAACTGAAAAGTAACAAAGAAAATGACTATGGTGTTCTATTTACAACACGATAATGACATCACATTCGTAGAGAAATTTTTTTTAAAATTAGCACACATTGCACACTTTCTCACCTGCCAACTTTTTCTTCTGTAATGGTTCCGGCAAATGAGTCAGCGATTCAGTCAACCACTCGTCCAGCTGTTGTGCAAACTGACGGATTGCTTGAGTCAAACTGCAATCAGATAATTATATTTACTCAATAACTATCTTAGTATCAAAATGAAACTACGTCTTGATAAAAGAAGCACCATTTTTTTTATAATAATAATAAACTGTCTAAAAAGTAGAAGCTCGCAACAAGGTCGCGTCTGACAAAAAAGCAAGCGAAAATTGAGGCCTTTAAGATGAGAGATTTATATTTGTGACGTTAAGGAGAGAAATCGAAAGCAAGCAACAAGAGAAATGAGATGAAGGAGAAAAAAAGGGAGAATTCGGAAGCAAGCAACAAGTGCAAGGGTTTCGGCTCCAGTTGGTTTTGAAATTTCTATCATTTATTTATTTATTTATTTATTTATTTATTTATTTATTTTGCACATTGACAAACGATCTCACCTTGCTGGTAAGGGCTGAAGAGTTCCGGGAATTAATACTCCGCTGATGGCTTTGTATAGGATGGTGTCACACTGACCAATTAGGTCTACAACTTCGCTGCAACTGAGGACTTCCAGCATATGACTGGGCATTCCTTGCCAAAAGTGAACTAAGAAATTCTGTACCTAAGATTTCAAATGGAAAGTTATTATTAGGGAGGAATTCTCCTGCCCTCAACTTAAAAACGTTTTTGGCTCAGTGAAGCGGTGCAGTAATCAAAAATAAATAAAGATACAAATAGATAAACAAATAAACAAATAATACACAAATGTGAACAAGTCCTCAAACAATTGAACACTCCTTTTTGTTATTGAGAAACTTACCTCTCCAAAGTTTGCTCTCAGGATGGTATCTAGAATTCTTTGGCAGTGTGCACGGTACATGATAAGAAACGTTTTGACCTGTGAAAAAAACATTTCCTCTAAGTCAATTTTCAGCCTTCGAAAACGTACTGAGTAAAAGCAGTGTCAGGGGCCAAAGTATTAGAGGCTAATTAGATATCGAGACTGATCATTATTTGGCGATTTCCCCACCCCCAACGATAAGTAATGACTCTTCCCTTAAATTTCTTAATATCAATCTGAGAAAATCTGACCATAGCGTAGAAAACTTTACTGATATTTGTATCCTTAATAATATTAATCCAACACATTCTCTCACTTTTTCTTGGGACACGTCCTCCGGTAAGGTCAGTTTGCTGGGCTTTGGGAAGTCAGGTAATAAAGTCCCTCCGGGCGCTGTGGTGACACACGAATTTGTCCCATGATTACTCTTATGGACTGTATGGCCCTGAGTTCTCTCATCTATGTCCGTTTTGCTGTATGATTGGCTAAAACTGAAAAAAAAAATCAAATTTTAGGATTTATGCCTAGTGATCACTGATTTGACCGATAAAAGTTATGGATGAGTTTGTAAGACTGATCGGATTCCAACCGAAAGATTTCCGGGGATTTCTGGTCATCTTTTATCGCCTGGAAAGGGAGGGGAGGGTGGGGCGAAAGATTTTGGTTGTATCACAATAAAATTTACCTACCCCCCCCTCAAGGCTTTGAAGTATTCCAATGATCTCACCTCGTTGGCAGTCAGCTTTCTATAGCCCCTCCCTCCCTCCCCCCTTGCATTCTGTTAGCGTCGACTGATCCTCTCTCCGCCCTCCTGGAAAACAATGTGATCTCCACTACCGAAATAAAAATAATCAACCCTCTCCCAGGCCATTAAAAAAACACTATTCTCGCAATAAGCATGAAGTGTCAGGCAACTCACTTTACTCATTATCTACCATGGAATAGATAGCGAGTAGTGTAGCCAATCAGATAGCAGGATTTGTAAGAGGACGTTGGTAGTATCATACTTCAACAGGAGCCCATACGGCTCCTGACTTTAATGGTTTCTTCAGTTTTGAGCTGTCTAATTTACCATGGACTTGTCTTACCCGGTGTTGCTTTGCCTTGCTGCATTGCAGACGGTGTCATGATAAGGAGAGGTTGATTTGATGGTGATTCCATAATAGTGATACCTGGCAATAAGCGAACGAGTTGTCATTGGTTATCATATGATAAGCTGAATCCTACTTGCATTTTGATGGGTTCTTATCTATGATCTACAGGAGGATAGACGCATAAATGACGTCATTAACAACATTTATCTTCTTTATCATATAAAACAAATATATTCCATGTTGCCGTGCGTCTGTCCAGTAAAAGATCACAGAGGAAGGCAAAATGCGGAAAGAATATCAGTGACGCACTTGGCAGCGCCTCGTGTGCCACTTTTTTTCTCTTACCACATTTTGATGTCATCTGTGATCTATTTCTGGACAGAAGCACGGCAACGCAATCTACTTGATGATTAGATTGTTTTGTGGGAAATGCTTGGAAATAAAGAATTGTATGAAACAATAAAAATCAACCTAAATTTTCAACATGGAAAGATAAAAATTGGAATGTATTCCTTGCAAGAAAAAAATACATTCCATCTGTGCGATGACTTTTCATTTGATAAAAGGGGTAGGTTTCTAAAGAAACTGTGATGCTGCGTCGGTGGGAGAGTATAGCAAAATCCATGATTCTGCGTGTTTGTAGGTGCCACGTGAGTTAAAATTGACAATCAGTTGTTGTATATTTTCCAGTAGAAATTAGATATGGTCGTAGATGCACCAAGTTTGTTACAATCGTCGAGAGACATTTAACCCTTTCACTCCCATGAGTGACCAAGAGAGAATTTCTCCTTACAGTGTTAATGCAATATCAAGGAGACAAGTGAGGAGAATAACAAGTAATTAAGTGTTAACAACTGAGTTGAAAACGTAAACTGGCCACCGCAAAGAGTTAAAAGGCTGACATTTCGAGCGTAGATGACGCGATTGTGTGTTCTTCATTATAATATACATTTGGTTTCTGTCTCTTAAGGGAACGTTTTCTGACAATGATTCTTTTATTGTGTTCACTTTTTTTTTTTCGAATTTTTTGTTGCTATGCATTAACAAAAAAAAATTGCAATGAACTCCTCGGCTCAAGGGAAAATATTTCATCAACACCTTTAGCTGGGAATAAAGTTGGCCAGCGTAATTCAAAAGAACAAAAAGACAATTTTCTCTAACAATAATAGTGAAATGTCATGGGAAAATTCTGGATCCACTTGATCACATGTGCTCCTTACGAACGCCTAAGGGATGTTTTGTTTTCTCTGGAGAGCAGAAGAATTCTTTTCCTTTCCTTGACACTTCTGTCAGACAAGCTAAACAACGATCCATTGCTACAGAATAGCTACTTCAAATTATCAATAGTTTTATGCGAAAAAAAAATCCCCCACGAGTTCTAACGCCGGAAACATTCAAGGTAAGGTAGTGACGCCCACGCCTCGATTTGTCTTCAGGGCAGAATGTTTTATGCAGGAAGCCTAAGCAACCAGTTTTTAAACAGACGTATTAGTTAATTTGAAATCGTTCAGTAAAAGCTTTTCTACCGGAAACTGCCAATCGCCGATTCCCTCCGGGTTCTAGTTAGGAAGTCAATCATCGGCCTATGTTTCTTTTTACAAACAACCAAAACATCGATAGCTTTTCAAACAAAAGCAGAGTAGCGTTTTTTTTTCTTAAATGATTCATTATCTATGTCAATTGTTTATTGGAATGCTAACGAGCTATTCAGATACGTACAATGGTCTGAACAAGTTAACGGATTCAATTGTGTAGCCACGTGTTTGTTAAAAAGTCCTAAGAAGATTACTTGCTCCCTGTAAAATGAATCCGTAACTCAAGCAAAAAAACGGAAAGACTTTCAAATTTTACATGAATACGTGTTGCTGGTTAACCGCAACTTTCTTTTTGCCAGTTTGTTTCTTGTTTGTTATCTTTCTTCAAGTTGCTTTGTTTAGCTTATGTAATATACTGATGTTTTTTCTTTTAACGCAAGGAAAAAAAAACGCAAGATAAAGCACTTAATGATAACCTCTGAATAACTAACTATACTTTTTCTTTTAATTAAATTTTCTTTCGACATTAAGTACACACAGCCCTGCGTATTTCGCAATCGGTTGATGACTTTGCTATCGACCCCCTAGGTGGGTTTATAATTTTCATATTTAACATTATCACGATAATTTACTTACTTGGACTGACCACGTGTTCCAAGCCTTCTGGTCTTTAAATTCGGAAAGGTATGGCGAATAATCTATAAATAGGAAAGGAATATTATCTACCTACTTCATGCACGTTTATATTTTTTATGAGCCTGGTTTACATCAGTGACTTAACTCAGACAGACAAACGAAACAATTTTGTTCTCTCCATTGTTGTCAAGGAGTTTATTCCCTGCTTTTTCACGAAATCTGTAGTAGGCTTTTATCTGCGGGAGATGTTATTTAACTGAAAAAAAAAAACATTTCTCACCTTTCCGAAACTAGCTGCATTGACTGGAGCTAAGTTATTCTTTTCACAGAAGTCCAAATAATGAGAATACAATGCACTTCGAGGCAAACTGACTCCTTCAGAAACTTCGTAATTTTCATTAAGCCTGCAGAGTTAAACAGAACGTAGCATTGATACAAGCTTGCGGTATATACATCCAAATCAAATTACTTGAATAAATAACCGCACGCAGACTAAAAGTGACCAAGAAAAAAGCGGTAAGTTTCATGTGAACCAACCAAACTGGCAATACTTGCGAACTAATAGGAAGGCTGAAATGTTAAAACATTTAGTTGTTTTAAACAATGGTGTCCTAGTGTCATAAAAAAAATTTTTAGAAGCTATTTTACTCATCTTATTATTATTATTATTACTGAAGCCAGTGAAAAAGAGCATAGCTCTACACGGCCTCTCGATGGCTATAAGTTTTTTTTCTCTACTGAAAGGATGGTGGCTTTGTTTATAGAAATTCTAAATATATCGTGTGTAAAATGTTGCTATATTTACTTTCTTTTCAAAAGTTTGAAAATTATTTATTCTCTAAGTGGCAGACAATTAAGAGGCTTTGCATTAAATCCTTTGGTGTTTCGCTCAATTGAAATAATGTCTAATTTGCAAGTTCACCAGTTTTTTCTCCTATTTAACTGACCACAATTATCTTACTCGACTAATGATTCCTTGAGGCGGTATTTGTAAAAATAACATTGATAAAAGTAACATTGACATGTTATGTACATACCACTGAATTGTCAACGGCGATTGAAGTTTGCTATGCGACACGTAATGGCTGTTGGAGTAAATTGTTTGTTGACCTGCAAAGAATGCACTAAGTGTTAAATAAAAACCAGGTGGAAACAGTAGGACCTGTAGATGCCTGGAAACTACTACAAAATTCTTGAAAACAGACGTTAAAACAATAGAGAAAAAAGCGAAGCAATCCCTTCTGCTGTTTAAAACGCTCTAGATTTCTAGACTTAGAGAACGCACTAAATTCTTTATTCTCTCGCGTCTTAGATGATTCGCATCGAGTCTTCCATCTATCTAAGGTGTAAGCTGTTTTAAACAATAATTCCATATTCATTGTGAGTTTTCAAAGGAAAGTTTTGTTCGTTATTGTTGTTAATTGTGTTATCATGTAAATATCCTCTCAGTAATACCGTTAATAACCTGCTGGAATGATAAAATAAAACCGTCATTTTTACGTTCAGTTCCATACCAACGGGTGACCAATTAGAAAACGTGTCTAAGAAAAGAAAGCCTGAATTGCATTTCAACGTTTCTCTTTTTTAGTGAAAAGTATCCGACTCTGTATGTTTTCTCTTGCTCTGCTATATAGTTATTTTTGTGTGGCTTCTACTGTCTTCTAAGGATTTTTCGTCGTTAAAAAAGTGTTAACTTTTTCATAAATTTAAATGGGGTAAGTTTCTAAAGAAACTGTGGTGCTGCGTCGCTGGTAGAGTATAGTAGGGTAATTTGATAGTATCAACGTAAATTGGCAACCGTAAAGAAATTCAAAGCTGACTAAGCTTTCGCTTTGATGAAGGGCTAACGCTCGAAACGTCAGGTTTTAAACTCTTTACGGTGGCCAATTTACGTTATAAACTCAATTAATATTACCAAATTATCCTGTAAACTTTTTCAGTAGCGTTTCTTCGTTAAAACGTTCGTTCTTAAATTGCTTATAAATAAATTTAATCAACTTCAATTAATCGAACGTAAACATCCTTGAGGGCATCCCAAAAGTTTAGGGATTTGATATCGGTTACATTTACCGTCAAAATTTGTTTCTGATTTTTAACTTTCTCGTGGTTGAATGCCCAGTTACATAATTTTCGAAGAAAGAAGAGCCGAAGAGAAATGACGGTAGATCGCAGTTCATTTCACGGATCGTATTTGTTTTTTAATGTAAGTTTTTTTTATTATTCTTTTCATTATTTGAGATCGATAGTAGATACGATTTAAAACGTGTGTTTTAAGATCAGACATACCAAATTTTATTAAAAAATGATTAAAAAATCATAATTTTATATATGTCAAATAATTATCTCTAAAATTGTGGCGTCGCTGACTTTTTCTCGGTTGTGTAAAGTTCAATGTTGCAGGTTCTACTGCCATTCTTTCAAGGAAATTTTGATGACATATTAATTTCATATCCATTGCATGCGCATTTTTTACATAAAGTTGCAAATGAACCGCATCACGCTTTAGATTGATTTATGATTTTCGAGACAGTGATTTGTATCGGTTAAGAGGATCCGGGCCACATGCCTCTTTCTTCTAGGAACAAAGGAGGACCGAAGGTAATTTTATAATAACCATTGTCTTCGCGGTTTCGCTTGGCTGCCCGCCAATCAGAAATTGAGCACTAATTAGTGGCACGCGCTATTCTTTACAAACGAGATCGTGATTTACATTTTCATCCAAGAGCGATTCTAAACAGAGCGAGTTTGTTTGATCTTTTGGTCGTGTTTTATAAGTAACTGGTTGTCGAATCAACACGAAATACCAGTAGTAAGGGGAAAGTAAACTTAAAATGTTAATTCTGTGAAGTATTCCGCGTTAAACTCCCACAGTTAAGTGTTTAAAAGTTGACAAAGTTTACCACAGACGGCAAATGGAAATTCATTCTTAAAATCAGTTAACATTCCGTCTGGTATTGTTAGATATTTTCTGCTGAATTCTTCGATAAAGTTGACACTAGCTAAGTAGTTGCCTTTTGAGTAATTTGTTAATAAACTTAAAAAAAAGAGTAACTTGGAAAATTCTCGACAAAACTTCGCATTTGCAGTCAAAAGAGTGAATGGTTTAAACGTTTCCAGACTTCATTTTACCGGATATGAGTGTATTTACACTCTCGAGTGCATATTTGTGCGCCTATCATCAAAATACACGCAATGTAAGTTTGCTAATTTCCAGTTTCTCAAAGAAATTATCGCCAGCCAAAGCGAAAGTCGATCTAACACTCAAATGAAAAAGTGAAATGTGTGGTGTCATAGAGTTCGAGAGGGTGTGCTCCTCGCGTGATATATTGTGTACAACATCAATCTGTAGGGCTATGCTGCTTAGGTAGTTAATAATTTTCCCTGTGAGTCATAGAAACCGCATAGAAACACGCATCTTAATCACCTAAAGAGTAAATCTGGGTGCACTTGCGTGCCTTAGGCACATCCATGTTAACAGGGCTGTGATGTATTCCATCCCGGCGATAATTGCAGCCTGCGTCGCTCAGAGAGTACTAATTACATAGCTACTTGCTAGTGGGAAAAATAAAGACAAATAATCTGAACCATTTCAACTCACCTGATCCCCGTGGCATTGTTCCGACCGTGATTCCACTTTGAGCTCCCTTTTCCAACGTCTGTGAGATAATCAAAATTGTTAGAACTTTGGTTTTGAGATCTGTCTCTGCAGATGCTGCTCTGATTAGTTACTGGTGCGGGCGCTGGTTTTGAATCCAAGTTTTTGTTTATACGCCGTCGTTGTTAACTCTAGTTTTGAAGTTTTTGTACACCGCCCATGGATCGACCAGGTCCCAACGAACCACTAGCTGTCCTCATACACCAGAGAGTAACTATCAAAAACACCCAATGTGTGACATTGGGACTAGAGAACTGCGACCGTGTCTTGGTTACAAGCTTCAGAGACAATACGCTGCATTGTTTTAGGCCTAGCGTGGTTTGCTTATGGCGCGTGTGTCAGAGACCATTGTCAATTGTCATTCACTTAATTGCTCTGTGGCTGTAAGATACACAACTGTACACCGCGGCACGCGCAAACAATTAACTCAGACACTCGCCACGTGCCTAAACGAGTATTGTTATAAACTCGAAGACATGATCTGCTTCTTGAAGTGGAATTGCATTAAGCGACTTAGATGTGTCGGAAGCAAACTAAAAATGACATTTCTGCTTTGTCCTAGCATAAGTTCTGCGCCGTTTTCGTTGTTTTTATAACCAGGGAATTTCGTTTACTCTTAACTTAATTTCCGTTTAATGACCGTTGAGTTTTTCAACTCTGCATTCAACAGCTGGTTAAGCAAATTTCTTTGTCTTTCTTTGTATGGTGTAAAAGGGTCAGGCACAGGTGTTCGCCATTAGCTAAACGTCTTCTCGTCTGTGGAAAGCACGCTTGCTGTAAGATTACACGCGCGTGCTTACAGCACTGAATAACACGCTGTTAGAAATTCTGACTGGGTATGGCGCGACACAGAGGCGCATCTTTTGATAAAAATCTCTACTTATCCCATTTTGAAAATGAAGAAAGAAAAGAGAACAAAACAAAAGTGTGACAAAGCTTTTAATGAAACCAGAAAGGCAGCGCCTTGCCCGAGTTTCAAGACGACAATATGACTTGGACGGCGAGAGATTGGGACCGACAGGATAAGGTGTCGCTGGCGCCCCCTCGGCGACTTGTTTACAAGAAGACGAAGGACTCTTTTGTTAGCGGCAGGAGTTAACATTAAAAATAACAAGAACATGATGAAACGGTTAACGTTCGTTACACTGCTGGAAGCCAAACAAGTTCGTTACTGTTTGTAAGTTCAACAAACTGAACGTAAATAGGAGGAAAACTCACTACGGTGGTGTTTTTTTCTCCAACTCCTTAGTGAAAACATTCCCACCAATCACAGCCAGTTCAGCGTAGAGCCCGTTTTATTTGCATATCAATATTGAGCATGGAATAATTTGTTTCATTCTATACCACCAAGCTTGTATTACCTATTGTATGTTAACAAGTCAGTAAGTAGTATCTAAGCAATCGTGTATGAATCAGCTGGAACGCACGTGTTGATCAGCGAATGATCGCGAAAGAAGCGATAGAATCTTTGATCTCAGAAGGGATAGAACGTTCAATCGGTTCATAGCGAAACCGTAACATCAGTGTGAAATGAAATTTTATGACTGCAATGAGTTGACACTTCGCCTTAAACCCTAATCTTCGATCGTTATTATTCCGAAAGCAATATGAACGTCGATTTAAAAGCGATGAAACGATCTCCTGCAAAAGCAAATATATCAATAGGCCAGTTTTGCACACATTTTCCTTTTGTACTCGGCAATAAACATGTAACAAAGTGTGAAAAATCATTTATCAACTCGTTAACTTCATGCTGTTGCGAGCATTAAAAAACCGCGAACGCGTCCCACAAAAAAAGACGCCGAGGCATATCGCGGGTTACGAGAACAATCGAGCCTATTATTTTTCCTACTTTGCGCGAAGTTTGCTACAAGCGATAAAAGGCACCTAGAACCAATGTTTTCCTCCACTATCATGCAGCTATTTAAATTTCGATCGGAGAGTCGCTAAGTTCGATGACGAATGTAATTTGAAGGGGGAAACTTAAACCTTATTTTCAGTCGACCAAGTTCGTGTGATATTCATCAGGACTGGTTCCTTATCTGCGAGAGTTTCCCCCACAAGCATTTTTTCACCAAAAAGTGGCAAATATTGAAACCTTTCTACGCGTCAGGAAAAAAAATTCTTTCTAAGGGTATAAATGGTGCGTTTAGTGAAAAACTAAACAAACAGGCAGATTATAATAAATCTGAGCTTTCAATAATCTATCCTTGTTAAGTCCTGCGATCAAAAACCCCGACGGATTCCGCGTGTCAAGTGATTCCAGAATTATTTATTATTTATATACGATAAACGTAACAAAAACAGGTAAGAAGACGCTTATGGAGTAGATTCAATATTATTTGATTTTCCTTCAACACAGCCTCCAGTCCATTGAAGGAAAGAACTTCAATTAAAACTACATCAAATTACTGTTCCTTCCCTGTGAATTCTCAGTTGTAGACATATAATGAACGTTTAATTTACCTTCCCATGAACATAAATTTTACTGCTAATGGATGAGTTAAGTAACAAATTTCTGTACTGATTTTAATCTAAGGCAGGAGTTTAACAGAAAATAAAATCAAGACTTGATGTGACCTATTCTAAATATTCAAGTTCTGTGAATCCGTTCCCAAAGCGGAAATTTTCATTTGAAAAATATTCGTGGACATTGAGAAAGAATGTAGTGTATCTGTTGTACTACCGATTTGAAAACGTTCCGAATGAGAGCTTTGCTCATTTCAAGTCTACGCCTAGATTATTTCTGAAGATTGCAGGCTACACAATACATGGAAATTGTTGAAATTGATTTCGGCATTCTGGGCATAATCAGAGGACTAGGCAGTGCAGTACTGTGAAGCAGTGACGAAGTAAAGCAATGGCTATTAATCGATGGTCTTAAAGGTTAAAATAATTTCCAGATCACTAGAAAACCAGCCCTAAATCGCACGCTCAGAAGTCCGAGATACAGTTTTAGGATGGACAGGTAGACTTTCCTTCGCGGCGGCATGACGAAGATGGAAAACGTCCACTTGACCACAGACTTTTGCCCAGAAAGTTGCGCGCCGCAGTCATAGATGAAGCTAGCACATTGGGGAGTTCACCCTAAACCAAAACGATTGATTAACTAGACTGCAAAACAAACCCGTAGCCCAGCAAAGGATGGATTCTTAGGAATAGAAAGTTAAAACACGGATCGTTCGCTGGCAAAATTCTATGGAAGCCAACAGAAATATGCCTTCTTTGATATTCCCATGCAACGAGAGGACGTGTGTAGATGGGAGGCAAAATGTTCGCGGTTTCCCTAAGTTACAAATCTTTTGGTGGCAAGTTGCTACTGAAAGACCTCCTTACCTTTCAGAATTTCCAACTTTCTGTGATGACGAAAAAGTCTTGCCACCAAATCCTCAGATATCCCTGCAGCAAGTTACCCGCCGAACACTGTTCAACTCACTGCTTAATGGAAAACAGGAGTTGTTATTTTTAGGGCCTTGTTTTGTGCCCCTCTTTTGTGATTCAAGTAAAACAATAAAATCTAGAGTTCTCATCGTGTATTTATTACTTTGATTGACAGTTTAAGTTTTCTTGGAGAAGTAAAAGCATATTGGAGGAGTCCACCTTTGAGGCGACCGCAGCACACAATAGGTTGTTAATTTTGCTTTCAGTAGTACATGCCACTCTTGAAGTTTAAATATCCATGGATATTTACCAAGACCTTGAACCCAGCTAAAGATATTCCTCTGTTTACGCATGCACATTTATTTGTTACCCAATGCACCCGATTCAGCCTCTTTGGTCACTTTTTGACTCACTTGCAAGCGAAATACAAAACTCCCTTACAAGCAATACATAAAATGCGTCTTTCTAATTTATTATATTTCGCGATGTTTCCTCGTAGGTTACGCGCAAAAAAAAAAAAAGCTATTTTTGATTATTACGTTTATGGAAAGATGGTGACCTTTACTTTACTTATTCTCCGTAATATATGTTTAATTTCGCCCAGGTTTCCCCTTTCATTCATCTTCATGGCAAGGTGTATTGTGTTTTCGTCCATCTTCAAAATTCTGCGCATGGATGTTTTGGCAGAATTTCTCCCCCCAGGCAAGTGAATAGATAATAGCCATGTGCTGACAAAATTAAAGTTTGCTGTGAGACAATTGAGTGATCTACCCGTCTATATGAAAAGAAAAGCCTCATTTCTCAGATCAGATACAGAGTTTCAACAATTGCATCAGGAGTTATGCTCAGATACCGTATATCACAAACGCATCAAAAACTGTCTTGTTCGTTTATTATTGTGTTTCCCCGCTTAAAAGACCACGGTAATTCTATGTACCTAATGTTTGGTTTTTGATCGCTGCATCGTTCCCAAGCAGGCTTTGTATCTTAGCAAGAAACCATGGATTTTAAAGACGCCCGCGAAAAAATCTCGCTCGCTTTTTTCATGCAAAATTTAATAGAAAACTGAACGTGGAAAAAAATTTGCAATTTAAACTGCGTTCTTGAACTTTGTCTGCGGTCGGTTAGTGTACGTTAAGAAAAATTCGATGACTTTGTCCAATTTCAGTCAAGAGAGTAAATTGTTGCTTTGTACACAAACGTTAATCAAATCCATGCTACTGAGAGACGGATCAGAAGTTCTTTCAGAAGGGCATCGTTTTTTCCCACTTTGGCTTTGCGCACGTCGATGATATAATTTTTGCGTCGATATTTCAGAGTAATTCCCAGCGCTTTAGGAATGAATTGCCAAAGATTTAGAGTCGATTTGTCTCTAAGCTAAACACGTGTATGAACGATAAGACTATTGTGAACAACTTTCCTACCGCAAATCTTCTTTTCGTCCTTTGTTTGAGAGTGAATTATATTCATAAGGTTCCGTTATTTCCCCCCCGAGTTTAAGCTTTTATTATGCCACTTACAAAATAACCAGAGACGAAGAACACGAACTGGAAAGTTGATGTCGACTTCAATAAACTTTGTGACTTTATTTCGATGAAATCTATGGAGCCTAAACTCATCTCCGAGCCATTGATTTAACAATGCACGATACTTAAATTTGTGTTTAAACTTATTAGGCGAAATGTGCGGGCCACCGGCGTCATTAGATTGTTGTCTTGCTAATCACATTCGCGTCTAGCTGATGTTCGGCAGAGCTAATGCCGCCATTTTCAACAATCAGCCTTGTTGACTGAGATCCTTTCAGTGCTGACTGAAAAAATTACCTTTTTTGTCAATAAACCGTAGCTTGCTGTAATTAAAACATTGTTACATCATTCAAAACGTTTTTGCACCTTGGATAAATTGATCATGCGATGAAACAGCACGACACTTAACCCTCTTTCATCGCTCGAAGTTTTGAAATAATTTTAAGCACACAGTGCTGCTTAATATGGAAACGTTCGCACTTGCTGGTAAAACTCACGGATTTCAATGGTTGTGACAGTGAAAACCTTTGTCAAAGTTTAGTGACTCAATCAATGAACAATTGAACTGGAAATACAAATATTGCTTTGAAAAACGCCGGATGTTTGCTTTCATATAAAGTAATACAGTCACTGTGAAAATATCGTTCCCAAAAGCTTTCGAACATGACAGAAGATCAACACAAGTTATGATCTGTGAAATGGTAAAACTCTCGTGTCCTGAGAAAATCTTTGCTTGTCATCTATAGCTAACTCTTGGTTCTTTTTTAAGATACATATGAGTTTTATTACGTAGTTGCAGAGCTCTCAAACTTAAGTAAATACATAAAGCGCATTTGCCGCTTTTCAGATGAAATTAGTGTTTCTGACGGGAATTAAACGTGAATAAACAGTCGTCTGAAGAAAATCACACTTTCTTAACGATGAACACTAGCTCTTCAAGCCAATTTACTGGAACCTTCTATTCATTTGTTTTGTTTAAAATATTCAGAGCAATTTAAATCGTTGAGATTTTTTTGCCATGTGGTTGACTAGGAACATTGAAACAACATTAGCCAATCGAAAGCAGAATTCACCCACCTTGCCAACATATTACTCCGTTCTATTTGCCAGTTTTGTGAAGAGAGATGAATGGAAAATGGAATTTCAATTTCTCAGTGAAATCGGAGTTATCTAATAAACTTCTCTAAGGCTTTCAATAAAAGAAATTGTGACAGTTCTCACATATAAAGTGCTCGTATCTTGGCAATATACTTTCTTTATAACTGAAACCAGTAATTTAGCCAAGAATTTGGGGAATCCACTTCATTGGAGTAAATGATACCACTTCCATAACCGGTGGCGACAAAAACAGTGCCTCAAAATTCGCCGAAACCTTTGTCTCCGTGAATCAGAGTCACACGCATGGCGACAGTAAATATTTCACAGTGTTGCTTTGAAACAGCAGCAGTAGTTGTGTTATTGAAAAAAGTATCAAAAGAGGTAAAAGATTTACCTGTTAAAATTGCTTTGTTTCCTTTCTGTTGTTGTCTTGTTAATTTTTTATACTGAGCCACCGGGCGTTTCAAAAGTTTTCGAGTCCAACGCGGTATTTTTTCGTCAATTTAATTCCGAGCATGATAGAACGAAGCGAAACTACTTGTTAACAAAGGTCTCTATATTTTGGATGCCGAATGTAGTACTACCTACATACCTTCTTAGCGAAACGAACTTTGCAACATCTCCCGCAACAAAGTCTAATTTATGATCTGTGGAATGAAGAATTGCCGTTTGATTACACAGAGGGTAATATGGACGTCTTCTGTATATGTATAAGGCTTGTCTACAATGAAACACTATGGCAGTTATTTGCACGGATTCCAAAATTATTGAAGCGTGCATCTGCACCTCTCTCGATTATGAATAACATCACAGTACCGATCTTGCGGTATTTCGACTTTAAAGTCACTCGTTCTTCAGGTAGATTTAACCGAAAATGAGTGAATGAAAACGCGATTGCTGCGTGTTTGGTCTGATATACATTCTAAAAAGAACCTGTATTGTACCCTCGGCTCATAAACTTCACCTTGGCATGGAATACTCCACACGTGCTTTTTTACGCCCACATTAACCAGGTGTAAAAAAAGGCGAGTTTAACGATCGCTTATAAAATCGAAAACGTTGATTTTTAAAATTTAACTTGTTTCAGATGCAGTGCAATAACTCGAGACAAACGCGGCAAAATATATACTGGCTGCATGTTTGCGTTATTTAGACATATCCTAGCGATTGATCGCATTTTGAAACATAATGTTTTGTTTTGTAAGATCATTATCAATACGGGCTTAAAATGGCCATTTAGGAGTGTGTAGACCACAAGCTGTCCCCCTTTTTTCAGTTGACAAAAAAAAAACAGAAAAAAAAGACAGCGAAAAAAAAAAGGTTGAATTCAAGTGCAATTCCCGATTTTCTTTTTTTTTTTTTCACTCGCACGACGGACTTTGCCGAAAAGAAAGAAATATTCTTAGTCTAAGGATTGTGATCACAGAGAACTATATTAAGAACTAAAGCACGACGCAGGTTAGGAACATTTAATTTTACTATGATCAGGTGTTGGGAAGCAAAACAGCGACTAAAGAGTGGCATATGCAAAACGCTTGGAAATAACATCTATGGCCAGTACTTGCTACTGTAATGTACAAGTTTATACAACAAGCTAAATTAAACACGCATTTTGATAGGTCAGGCTTTCCTATCATCTATTGGAGGACTACTCATAGATTCCGTCAACATTAACAACATTTTGCTTCGTTTTCATGAATTAGCCTGCAGAACCGCAGTGATATTTTTGCGTTTTCAGGCGCTCGCCTTGGGCTTGCCTCCGTTCGCATGTAAACGCAAGGAAAAAAAAAAAAAACACCTTCAGTTCTGCAGGCTACGTTATCACAGAACATATTCCTTTTTACCGTAGGTCTGTTTAGTGATAGGTCACAGAAGGCCATGCGGTGGTAGATTGCAGTCGCAGGTACACGGTATAGGACCTGAATACAAGATTCAGTCATTATTTATCCTGTGGGGGAAGAGGGTCGGGGATTTTGGTTGCGTCACAACATAATGAACCTGGTCCCCCCATAAGACTCTGTAATATTCTTATGATCCCCCTCTTTGGAAGTCAACTTTCTTTTGTCCCCCGTATTATAATCTTTTGGTGACAACCAATACAACCTCCGTACCCTTTGTGATCCCTAAAAAATCCTACGTGTACAGATGCTCTTTCCAGGCCCTGCTCATAGAGAAAGAGGCTCGGTTACCTAGCCTGTCGTTCGTTGACAACAAATGGCGTCTCTATCACCGTTCAACTTGCTCGTACTAACTTGCATCAGTTTATTCGAAAACCACCGGTAGAAAATAATTTTTAAGAATAATTACACCATTATGGCTACTATGATCAACGGTCAGTTGATCCTGGAAGAGGAATATGATGAAAACTATCAACCGACAGAACAAGGTAAATGAAATTTCAACTTTGCAGTTTTTGTCATGTTTACGTCTAAGTTCATCCAAGGTTTTAGTGATTGAAATAAAGCTCGGAATATTTTTCTAATTTGTTGGACACGGTGAAGGTCACATTGAGATATTGGTGGTTCAACTTTCATCATCAATTTTAATCCACTGGTCTGGCGATCGAAGATGCCCGATAGTAAATGAAATGTAGGTAGGCAACCGTGTAGACGTACAAATGCACTCTGATGTAGAAAACGTTAATCTGTTATAAGAGTTCTTTGGTTCGACGCTGTAAAAAAAGAAAAAAAAAAGATTAACTAAAGCGGGTATATAATTTTAGAAATTTACCTCTCCCCAAAACAATATATAAATAACAATCTGCCACAACGTCAGATGGATAACAAACAACGTGTAACTGCAGTAAAATGATCAAATGTATGGTCAGGCGAACACAAAATATACAATCAGGTTAGGAAAATAACGTTTCTCAAGACTTTTCTCTGACTTATTATTGTTAAGCAAATTTATCTTTGGTTTCTTTTGATCAACCATATATCAAGGAATGGAGTTTAACTAAGCATCTTTTTCATGTTTAACACACTTATCAACTTTGAAATCTTGTTAGTGAGAAGGAGTTATCGATTCTGTTTCAAAACTGTCCATAGAGTACAAGTCTTAAGCAATCCTAGCTGTTGAGACCTTAAAAAAGTGTACTTTTTATATTGTAATTTATCTATGAGTTTTGGTATAATCTTTATGTTTGAGCGCTGAGGCGAATAGCACTGCATTTGTAATTTTTTTCAAATTTCCTTTGCAGAGATATTTGAGTATGCTCAATCAATAGGTATAGATCCTATTAACGAAAGAGATCTTCTGTTTATTGCAAGGGAAGGTATTGTTGCTCCTCTACCTACTGATTGGAAACCTTGGTGAGTAGAATAAAGCTTTAATCTCCATTAAACTTCCAAGTTTAGTAATAAACACTTTGACCAGATTTTAGTTATAAAAACAATAAGGAACTCTTACCAACTGAGTTCAAGGACTGTATTATAAGTTACGGACCAATTTTTTTCTGCTCAGATTTATGGCCTGAGCCCAAAATGGCAGCAGAAAAAAGGAGGTTCTGTAACTTACAGTATGGGTTCAAATTGAGAGGAAAAGTTTCAATTCAGACATGAATAGTAGAGTGTCATGTAATAAAATACAGCCTGCTAAATTGACCAATCATCTAGTGCATGTACCAACTGAGAGATAAAATAAATGCACCTTATTCAATGGTTTAACCCTTTAACTCCCAAGATCTGATTGTTAATTCTCCCCACTAGCTGCTACACATTTCCTTCTAAATTGGTTCAAGAAGTTTGGTGTTAGATCAAGAAAAAACAACTTCTATGTGATAAGTTTAATTGTTCTCATTACCTGTTTTCTAGAAAATGTATGTGTATGATAGGGAGAAGTTGCCTCTCAATCACTTCTGGGAGTTAAAGGGTTAACATGCTTGTATATTACTTGCGTATGCTTTGTGAGTTGGTGAAAGAAAGAAAATCAATATTATATTTTATAATTTAACACTTCATTCTCAGAGCCATAATTATAACAGATGTATAGAAGATAAATAGGAGAATTGTCATGTAAAGTGCTTCAACCATAAAAATAAGGACTGTTTTCCAGAACTTAACCATTTATTTTATGAGGTCTCATAAATCACATGGCCTTAACGTCACTAAAGGAATGGCATTCAGTGCATACAAACAAGATTAAATATATAAAATACTAAAAAAAATGTCAATGTGTAGTTGTGACAAGAATTGATTTTGAGATCTTCAGAACAAAAGGGCCAGAGTGAGTAAGTCAGTATGTTCAAGTTAGTGAAATAACCTGTAACAGCACTTCTAATTAACCCTTTCACTCCCATGATCCTTTTAGTAATTCTCCTTACTGTCTCCTGTACATTGCTTATAATTTTAGTTGGAGAATTTGGTATTGAATCATATGATAATCCACTAACTGATATTTTCCTATTTACTCGTCACTTGTCTACTTGAGATTGTATTGATATTGTAAGGAGAAATTCTGTCTTGGTCACTGCTGGGAGTGAAAGGGTTAATCCCTCAACTCCCAAGATCTGATTATTAATTCTTCCACTTAGTTAATACACATTTCCTTGTAAATTTGTTTGTAGAGAATTGGTTGTTTGATTGAGATAACAACTTCTATCTGATAAGTCTGTGTAATTTCTCATTACCTGTTTGCTGGAGAATGTGTGGATATTACAGGGAGAAGTTCTATTATAATCACTTTTTGGAGTGAAAAGGTTAATAACCTTTCCTTATTTGAACAATTATTTTTCAGTCAAGATGCCACTGGAGATATTTACTACTTTAATTTCCACACGGGTGACAGCGTTTGGGATCACCCATGTGATGAATACTATAGAAGCATGGTTACTGAGGAGAGGAGAAGAAGAAGCACTTTGAGTGTGTCAGCAAAAAAAGAAAATAAGAAGAAGGATAAAAAAGATGGAGGCAAAAAGATTAAGTCACTAGAAGGATCTTTAAATAAACAAAGGGTAAAATATTGATTGATATAACATGGATTCAATGAATTGTGCATTTAGTAATCCTTAAATTCTTCTTGGACACTTAACCCTTTAACTTCTAGATCAAATTTGTAATTCTCCTTACTGTCAACCATACAATTCTTATGATGTTAGTTCAGAGAATTTAGTATTGGATCAACTAATTATCCCCAAATTGGTATTTTTCTTTATTCTCAACACTTAACTGGTTGATTTTGTATTGATATTGTAAGGAGAAATTCTGTCTTGGTCACTTATGGGAGTTAAAGGGTTAAAGTTACAAGAAGGAGTTGACAAATCAACTGCAGTATATTAATCATTATATATTTATCTACTTGTCTGATGATCAAAGATGACAAAAGCTGAAATTGTGGTGGACACACAAATACACTTTGACGCAGAAAACTGCAATCAGAGGCTAAAGAACTTAAGAATAATATTTTGTAAAATAAATTTCCATAACAAAGTCATTTAATTCTAGAAACCTTAGAACCTTTCCCAAAGTATTTTCATTCATCAAACCCTCCAACAATAAACCTCAATAATTTCTTAATTCTGCATGTAGCCTGAGCATTCTCATGGACACCCAGCAGTTTAGAGACAATTTTTGTACTTGAATTGTCATTAACTTTTGCTGGGATTCATTCATTCATTCATTAGACAGCAAATACAGGCTGTACAATTATGAATCTTTCCCAAGCCTTTCCTTGCGTAAAAAGGTCCTGTTTTAATTCTCCTGTTTCTTAACTGTGCAGGCTTTTAGGAAAAGAATGAAAATGTAGGAACCCTTTCTCCAATTTGAAGATATCTTGCAGCTAATTTGAATTTTATTATTCTTTTCATTGGAAAGTGATTTGTTCAATGTCCTCTTTAAGTCTCTTAGCCCTGGTTTGGCACCACTGAAAGGTGAAGGTTCCTTGGCTCCATTGAGAGATTCATCTCCAGGACGTTCACTGGGTGGTTCCCTTGGAGCAAGTACAGGTTCCCTTGGAGGGAGCACTTTAGGTAGGGGCCCTCTTGGAGGGGGGTCTCTTGGAGGGGGCTCTCTTGGAGGGGGTTCTCTTGGTGGGACCTCCCTTGGAGGTTCTCTGGGAAAAAACCCACTAGGTGGAGGCTCTAGCAGTGGGCTTCGAACTAGTGGAAGGTTTTCAGGTGCAGAACGACATATGGATCCTTTCAAGCAGGCTCCTCTTGGTGGCGTTAAGGATTCACTAGGGGTAAGTTCAAGGCTTTTGATATTCAGTCCTTTCTTCTTTTGTCAAAAAATGTTAACCCTTTTTTTACAGCCAGTTTTGAAGCTCTCTATAATGAAGGTCAATTCTCTTTCCCATAATTAGTTTGAAAAATTAGGATTCCACTGTTACATATAATGGTCATAGGGAATGTCAGCTCATCACATTTATTGACCAGTATGTTAGGTTTGAATTAATTTGAGTTTTGTTGCATTTATAAAAACCAGAAACAGTCAACAGATCAAGAAAAGTTTGGTCGAGGAGTCAGTGATGGTAGTGGAACAATCACCCTAAGCACTGGATTAGGAGACAACATAAATCTGAACTTTATGACTGATCTTTCAGATGATGAGGAAGGCAAGGTATGCAATTAGTATACAGATTTCAGTTACCAAGGTAATGTATAGATTTAGCCAAGCCTAAAAGTGGAGCTTGCATTTTTTCCCCACACGTCTCAAGGGCACAATGCCTTGCCCTGGCCAGGACTAGAACCCAGGTTGTCCGACTCAGAGCCCAGTGCACTGACCACTGGACTACTGGACAAAGCTGTGGCGTTGACGTGCCTGTGGTACAGTCGACCACGCATGTTAAAAGTAGCACCTTGTATGGTCGTATGGTCGTACATCCAAATTTTTTCAGCTTGATGGGTTACTACTATTTTGTATAATTACGGGGCTACACTCTGCAAGCTCCGCTATTACCTTAATACCTTGGTTACCAAAATTTGTCAACCCTTTAACTCCCAGAAGTGATAAACATGTAACTTTTCCCTATAATATCCATGCATTGTCAAGCAAACCGATAATGAGAATACTCAAAATTATTAGGTAGTAGACTTGTTATCATGATCTAACACCAAATTATTGTAACTAGTTAACAAGGAAATGTGTTGCAGCCAGATGGGAGAATTAAAGATCAGATCATGGGAGTTAAAGGGTTGATGAATTCTACTATTTTCCCCACATATTTTGAAAATCAGAAAATGTGGCTCCAAAACTTGAAGGTGCCACTCTTCATATGTGAGGTAAATTTTTTCTCTTATATCTGGTCTGAAAAGATTTTGACGATTTGTTTTGATTTGCAGAGTGATCTTGGACGGCCAACAATTGATCTTGCTGGTGTATATGACATAGGAGCACTTGACTATGAGGTGAGTTTACTTGATGTATGAAGATACCTTCATTTAGCAAACATTAATGATTGAATTAAGAAATCTTTCAACAGGACTTCATGTCTTCCAATCCAGTCTTTAATCATATTTGTGATTAACAAATCCTTTGTGGTCATCTAATTTTGATGATCAATTGTATGATTACAGACTAAATTTGACTCCACTCAGTCCTATTATAATGGTAACCATTATTTATAGATTCAATATTAAGCAATAGACTTCAGCCCAAGGCTGCAGAAAATAAACTATATAGGATTTCAACTCCAGAACCTCTTTGTTTTGAGATATTAAAATTACTTACTAGGTTTTGTAAGATATGATTACCAGTTAGAGACTAAACACAAACCTGTTCTATTATTGTATTTTTAGGACTCAGAAGTGGAAGAAAGCTCAAATATCAAGACTCCTGCCACACCATCGATGAGTGATGTTGATGATGGAGAAGAAGTGGTGAGCACACTAAACTGACTTTTTGTTTTATAACTGTGCCTTTGGGGTCTGAAAAAGGTGATGTGCACTGTGCCAGTGTATGTACAGAGAGTCAATGGTCTAGGCCTTTGTAAAATTATTGTGGATGATTGAATGATGGACCTGATTGATATGAATTGATTTTCCCAAATTCCCCTTTCACTCCTTTTAGTGAAAATTTTGAATTTTCTCCCATAAATCAAAATCTTGTAATTTCAAGGGTTTCTTTGGGTCATAGCAACATGTCTATGTACAACTTTACATTTGATGACATATGAAATTTTGGAGGGTACATGATTGGTAGGTCAGTAAATATATTCACATAGTGGTCTTCTATAATCATCTTATCACAACTTTTGGACTTAAAAAATGGAAATTCATATAAATGAAAAATAAGGTCTAATTATTTAAACAAAGTTTAGCCATTGTTTAACAAAATTATGTCCTCAGTTAAGCTGCATTTTTTTGCTTTGTGATCTGTGTCAAGAGGGCCAAAAGCTAAAAATGGAAGGACATTTATTTAACCAAATCAACTCCCTTTTAAAGAAAGTCTGAGGCCCACTGATTGCGTAAAATGGTGGTGTAGGATGGTTTACAGTCAAGTCGCCCGAGAGTCATCTCGCCCAAAGTCATGTCGCCCGAAACCCGAGTCATGTTGCCCGAAATTTTGGTAATGTCGCTCGCAAAAAAAGGCAAGTCGCCCGAAGATACAAAAACTAAAAAGATCTGAATTTCAGACTGTTAATAGGCAATAACGTCGAGATATTTTTATCGCTAAAGCGCTCTTTGTTTCCGGCAACACCATGTGGGAACCAAATTTCCGTTTTCGAATTAAAGGTTTAATCCTCACAAAATGAAAACTCAAATCACTAGGAAAACACAACTCAAAATCTCTGCTCTCTCAAAAAACGTCCCCGATACGTATTTTTACGAGGTACGTAACTGGAACCGAGGCTCACAATTTCAAAACGAGGTTATCAGTCACGCAACTCCAAAAAAAAGAAAAAACAGTCACGACACCATGAAGATTCTTAACGCGTTGTTCGCTTCCGACAACAAAATGCAGCGTTGTTCGTTTGGTATGTATACCAAGCGAACAACACTTCATTTTGTTGTTGGAAACGAACAACGTTTCCCTATGTCGTTAGGAACGAACAACGCTTTAAGAATCTTCATGGTGTTGTCGGAAACAAAGAGCGCTTTAGTGATAAAAAATTTCTCAACGTTATTGCCTATTTACAGTCTGAAATTCTGATCTTTTTATTATTTGTTTCTTCGGGCGACTTGACTTTTTTTTTCGGGCGACATTACTAAAATTTCGAGCAACATGACTTAGGTTTCGGGCGACATGACTTCGGGCGAAATGACTCTTGGGCAACTTGACCGGTTACCGTGTAGGATAGACCTTGTGTGAATAACTGGCATCAAGTGTTTAAATTAATTGTGTTGATTTTGTTTCTGTACAGGACTTTGGTATCAACAGGACATTATCTGACAGACTGGAAGGAATGAGTGCAGAGCTTTTAAGTCCAGCACAAAGTGCTACTAAGTCAGAGGTGTATATTGCGATGTAAAAGACCCTAATTTGTATTTTGTTAGTATTTCTTTCATGAAAACAAAATGTGCCAATTTGCTCATGACTGGGCCATTTTTAACAAAATCAACATGTGTATGTCATGCATGTTGTGTTAAGTTAGCAACTGTCAAAGTTGCCGGTCAACCAACTGACAGATTGACTGAATGCGGTGGTTTGCACAATGCTTAATACACTATAGCGAGAGTTCCCAAGTCAACTGCTGAACTCCAAGATCTGATTAGTTATTCTCCCTTCTATCATTTGCAATACATTTCCTTTAATTAGGTGAGAGAATTTGGTGTTCTATCTTGATCAAACAATTCACTGGATAAGTTTTCTTTCCTCAATTCTTGTTTGCTGGATAATCTTAAAAATTTTCATTGGAGAAATCACATGCTGGTCACGTGTGGAGTTGATTGATCATGTTTTCTTATTGTCTGAGTGTGAGTAGTCCTTAAAAAAGACTGTTGTCTGTGAAAGTCAGCCACATTTTGAATGGTTTTATGTGAGCGGAAGTGACCCAAAAGTCGTCATTAGGTTCACCTCATATGATAATTTGGGTAACCGGTCAAGTCGCCCGAGAGTCATCTCGCTCGAAACCTGAGTCATGTTGCCCGAAATTTTAGTGATGTCGCCCGAAAAAAAAAGTCAAGTCGCCCGAAGAAACAAATACTAAAAAGATCAGAAAGTCTTCATGGCTTTGTTAGAAACCAAGAAAAAGTTTCTCAAGCTTACGAACTGTCCGTGAGTAGGAAACAAGTACATACCAAACAAACAACGCTTTATTTTTTTGTTAGAAACGGAGAACGTTTTCCTTTGTAGTTAGAAACGAACAACGCTTTTAGAATCGTTACTCAAACATATTTCAATTCCGAGCATACGATTGATTTCTGTGTAGTCAAAGTCTTCATGATATTGTTAGAAACCAAGAAAAACTTTCTCAAGCTTACGAAACGTCCGTGAGTAAGAAACGATTACATACCAAACGAACAACGCTGCATTTTGTTGTTGGAAACGGACAACGTTTCCCTTTGTTGTTAGGAACGAACAACGCTTTCAGAATCTTCATGGTGTTGTTGGAAAAAAAGAGCGCTTTAGTGATAAAAAAAGTTTCTCAACGTTATTGCCTATTAACAGTGTGAAATTCAGATCTTTTTAGATTAATTTGTTTTTTCGGGCGACTTGATTTTTTTTTCGGGCGACATAACTAAAATTTCGGGCAACATGACTCAGGTTTCGGGCGACATGACTTCGGGCGAGATGACTCTCGGGCGACTTGACTGTAAACCGATAATTTGCCACTACCCATTTATACTCTTGGGTGGAGAGCAGCACTGTGAGAGTAAAGTGCACCGTATCTTGCCTAAGGACACAACATTATAACCTTTCCAGGTTTCAAACCCAGACCTCTTGACCCGCAGTTCAGTGTCTTAACCACTAGGTCACCCTATTTCCTCCCCAAATGAGCTTGTGATGTTTCCAAATTTTCCTTCCAGGCTCAAGCTGGTGGACTTGCAGCTGTGAGCAGTAGTGTAAGGACGATGGCTGGGGTGAGGAGTAGCGACATTTTGATTCGAGATCCAAGTCCTTCAAGGTAAACAACAATGACTACAATAGTACTGTAATTGGATGATGGCAACACCCAAAACCGTCTACGACAAATAAGACAAGAGGAGAGAAACGAATAAAGCACACAGATACTATTCAAGAGAGTCCAACCCCTAATGTTTAGACTAATTGATTACGCACAGACGCAGCTTCTTAACTTCTTCTTCTTTGGCCAAACAAAACGAAAAACATTCTCATGCAGAAACAGGTCTGGGCACTTTCTTACCTCTACCAGGCCTTAAACTATCGACGACTTTTGTTTTTTTTTCTCAATTTCTGAGTAATGTCCATTTTAATCGAGTGGATTGAGTGGGTTAGCCAACTATGACTCCTGAATGTTGGGTTTATTAAAGGTTGTGGAGCTTTCCGGCATTTTCTCCTGCTTGTAAATGGATAATAAAAAGTGTTGTAGGTTTATCCTTTCTTCCCGCCCTCTCCAGTGTTTCCCTAACCTTTTGTCTAGTGCCCGAAAAGTTGACAGATGCCCACTTATTACTCCCAGACTCACGAGCAATCCTTAACTTATATCTTAAATTTGGTGTGTGTGTGTGTGTGTGTGTTTCATTTCTTAGCAACAAGGAGAGTGGTGTAACAACGAATAAGGAAGAAGACAGGTTACAGAGAGCAACGTTACAAGCAGAGGCTGCAGAAAGGTAAGAGTGAGAATATATCTGAAAATCCCAGCTGTATCGTCAAGTGAAGGGCCTTTTTTTACGCAGTAGTTATCAGTGTTTTAACGCTGCAATAATCAGAGCGTTACAAACAGTTTTACCAGTGACGCCTGCTAAGCTGCATGTCTAAAAACCGAAAGTAAGGTCGGACGAAGGGTACATGTAGGACGCACGAATCTACAATTGTAGGTATAAGGACACCAGAAACAAAGCTGTAAGAATTAACACAATTAAAACAATTGAGTGTCCTAAAACCAAAACCATAGTAATATAAGCCGTAAATCAGGGCAAAGAAAATATATCCAAGAAGCCAATGAGAACTCCAAGTGAAAACAAGCAAACACGGTTGACGAAATCGCAATTGTTTTGGTTTTGAATCTCATTGGTTGATAAACTGGCGTGAGTTTTTTGGACCAATCACCGAGTGAAATAAAGTAAAACTAATCAATCAATGCAATCTCGGATTGAATATCCTTGGTTGAAAAAATGGCTTGCGTTTTCTGAGACCAATCACAGAGCGAAGTAAAATGAAACCAATGCAATCACAGATTACTTTCGACGGTCAATCGAAAATTGCTCTAAGTACTGATGATGCAATTCCTTGGTGGCTGTTTAGTGTTTTGAATCTTCATGTCTTCAATTGCAGAAGAGCAACAGATCAGAGGGAACAAGAGCAAGCAGAGAATCAGGAAAAAGAAAAGTAAATATAAGCTCTCTTTATCTCAAATTTAAAAAACCCGGGTATCTTTTTTACAGTGTCTATGGTAATCATAAGTCTGATACAGTTCTACCTTGAAAGTTTGGTGATGTAACTGTCAGCAAAATTACGATGTGTTTTGTAGGCTAGCAAAAGAAGCAGCCAAAGCAATCGAAGACATGAGGAAAGCCACTGAGAAAGAACTGAACGAGGCAAAGCAGAAACTACAGAAAGAGAAAGAAGATGCTCTGAGGAAGCTCCAAGAGCAATATCGAAAAGAACAGGACAGTGAGGAAGAACGACTGGCAAAGGAACACGATGCTGTGATGAAAACACTCGGAGAAAAAGCCAGAGAAGACGCTTTAGAGGAGGAAGCCATGTTACAGGAAGGTAAACAGGATGCGATGCGGAAACTAAAACAGCAGATACAAAGAGAACAAGAACAGGAAGAGGCTGAACTGAGAAAGGAAAAGAAAGAGGCTTTGAAAGCACTCAGAGAGGAGCTGGAAGAACAGGAGGAGCAAGAGAACGACAAGATGGCGGAAGAACGGGAGAAAGCTTTGAGGAAGATGCGGGAGACGTTTGCAGCTGAAATGGAGGAAGAAAAACAGAAGTTGAAAGATAAAGAGAGCGAAGTTGTAGAGCAATTAAGAGAGAAATTAGAAAAAGAAAAAGAGATGGTACGTTTGAAAGGGAGGCTGTTTTAAAATACTTCGCGTCGAATCATTTTCAGAGAAATATCCTGCCCTTCTTAGTAAAATGCTACATGCTGTCTCGTTAAAGTCCCTCGCAAAAAGAGCCTTGAACGCATGTAAATGCGCAATTTGAATGCATATCACTACTTTTATTATAATTCATATATTGCAGGCGTTGGAAGAGCTGCAGCAAAACAATGAGTACGAACTACAACAACTAAAAACGGAGCTAGCCGAGAAGCACGAGAAAGCATTGCAGGAACTGAAGAGTGAGTTAGAAGTGGCGCAAAACAGCGAATTAACTGCTGCGCGCAGATCTGCGGCGGAATCCAAAGCTAACTTCACTATGAGTATGGACTCACTGGATGTAGAGGTAAAAGTGATCTGGAAGTTCTCTTCACCCTTTTGCATTGGTTGCTTATAGTTATTGTTCAGAGAATTTGATGGTCGAAGGAAGTTTTTGTTTTTTGTCGGAAAAATCCCAGACGGCGTCATGTTCACGCCTAGAAAATTTCTTTCGCTAATTATTATTTTTGTCTTTCCTGAAAGGCTCAACGGGAATTTCATAAAAGGAGAAAAGATTTAGAAGCTAAGAACGAGGAACAGCTAGTAAGTTGAGCGACTATTTGGCGAAATTTTGAGGACCTAGTAACTGTTCACTGTCGCCACTTCGACCGATTTCTTTCGTTTGTGGCTGAGAACGTTGCTACTTCTCCTGAATAGAATGCCAGTGTTAAGCCCCCAAGCAAATTTCTTCGGGTTGCAAGGACACTTTACAGCTACTCTGGTCGGGGGGGTAGAGTAGAGTAGAGTGCCCACGAACACAACACATTGACTCCAGCCAGGTCTCGAACCCAGACCTTTCGAAGCAGAGTTCAGCTCGGTAACCACTCGGCCGCCGCCTCGCTCTTTTCACCCTTGAGTTCAGTTTTTTCAACAGATACCATTTTTGAAAGGATTCACCTTTTAAGAGTCAAAATTTCCGTTGTTAACTTTTTTAAACCTTTTTTTTTTTTGTAGGAGGCTTTGCAGAAAGAATACGAGAAGAAAATTTACAGCATAAAACAAGAGTGGAAGGAACAGGTGATGCGATATAGAAAAATATTCTCCTTAACAATTGGGAAATTCTTGTAAAGCAATTTTCATTCGACTCTCGTTAAACCAAAACCAAAGTAATTACAACAGCCAATCATAATAATGGTTTGTGTCATCATTAGCCAATGAGGACTCAAAGTAAAAACGGGCCGGTAAACTTCCAAATGCGCGGGAAGACGCAGGCGACCAAGTCACGATTGGTTTTCGTTTGGCCTGTGATTGGTATAGAGCGTGGCGCGAGTTTTCTAAACTAATCACAGACTGAAGTAAAACAAAACTAAAGTAAACCTGGATTACTTTTGACATTCATCCGAAAAGTAACCAATTCAAAGGAAGCTATTTCATCACAGGTTCCCGCGGCATTTTTCCAGGTTTCCAGGAAATTTTGGTATGGAGAGGCACTATGAGAAAAAAAAATGGCCGCGCATGGCTTGAATATATTTCTATTAGTATGCTCTACTTTACTGAGTGGTGTATTTCACGCGCTTGTTATAATTGTGTGAACAGGAGACCAAGGAAAGGTTTGACTTGAGCGAGAAATGGGAAAAGGAGAAGAGGAACTTAACAGAAGAACACGAAAAGAATATGAACAAGCTACGACAGGAGATGGAAACTAAGAAGAACCAGCTGCAAAGCGAACTCAACCAAATGGTTTGTTTCTACTTTGTGTTTCCGAAAATGACTTCTCAGTTTCAAATAAGAGTAGAGGCACTGCATGGCCGTGGGAAAGTGGGCTTGAAATACGCGCTGCTAGGCACCAGTCTCTTGCTTCCTACTGAGTTTGAGTTTTAACCATTGGTTGAGATGTTTTGAAGAACTATGATTACTATGAACTATGAGGCTCATGGTGTGGCAAAGGTTGCTTATCGGCTCTTCTGCTAGCTTAGTTTAAAGCCACGTTATTTGATCATCACGTAGTTCAGTAGTGGAAGCATAAGTTGCAGACGTTTACACCATTGACGCATTCCTTCTTTATGCTAAATGCGAAAAACTTTGAACGTCAGAGAAATCTCGAATGCGGAGTGAATTGAGATGGCGGTTGGAAAAAGTCCAACGTGAGAATTTTTCGCCTTACGTCCGCCGCCCAAGTCGTGTTTCTCTCCATCAAACGTGTCCAGTTTTGTTGTAACAGTTTATTCGCCGTTAACGCTAAAATTAATAAAAATATCATTATGTGGCCGTAAGCAATCAAGCAATGGCAGTCATGCTTTCTTACTTACAATTATTTTGATTTAAAAATTAGATATTCAATGTCGTATTTAAAAGATCTACATCATAATCTGTGCCTCGTTACAGAAAATTTAGCCCCAACTTTTTTCGCTGTCTTTTGCAATCTGCAGGTTTTCCCCTTCTCCTTCCTGGCCATCTTTATTCCCAATTCTTGTTCTGTTGTGACCTCATAGGTGTTCTTCTATTTTACTGATCTAATATTTTATAGTTTATGTCAAGGTGAAGTTGGTTTTGCTTGGCGTTCAGATTAAACGCTGAGCGGAAATTTCGTTTTCGAAGTCTTTAACTTCAGTTTCGCTAGTGGCTTAAGTTACAGAATTCCCCTCACTAAGGTTTGTTTTCTTCGCGAACAATTTCGTTTTATACAAACTTGATGTACTGTGAAATAATGGTAGTTTTTTTCAATTGAAATATCAGGAAGCAAGTATGGCAACCGAACAAGACAATCTTCACAAGCTGCGCGAGGCACTGGAACAAGAGGAGGAAGAATTAGCCGCCCAGGTATGCCAACTTGAACAGTTTTTTCCGTGAACATTCAATATCATTAGGAAGGGTTACGGTCATACTTCGTGTTGAAATACAACAATGATAAAGCATGATCGTTTGTTTCGCTTTAATTTTGATGTGGAGCGCGATGTGTCTATCACAAAGTGTTCGTTTTCTTTAGGCGATGAGTTCCACTGGTTACATTGGCTTGGGTGAAATCGCAGAATCTGGTGGTTTGACCACCATAAACTTGCAATTAAAGCATTAAATTTCTGATATTCCTTACTCACTAGTTGCGAAGACTCGTGCTTGTCGGGTACCCTTGTCGCTGCAATAACAAAAACAATTTTTCTGCCTGCTACAGCACGTGCGTTTGGGAGTTTCTCTGATGAAAGACTAAAATATTTCCTTGATACTCATGAATATTTTCCCTTTTTCCCCTTTGGTTCTTTTTATCATAGAGGAGAGCATTGGAGGAGAATCAAGAGGAAATAGAGGAGGAAAGAAAGCGACTTGTGCAGCAGAGAGAGGTAATTTTAAAAAACTTTCACTCCTCTGATTAAAAAGCCGGCCTGTTCAAGTTCTCCTGGCCAGTGATTATACATTCCTTCTTGGCTAATATTGAGAATTTGTTGTTATATCATTACTGTGGTTCTTTGCTGGTATATTCTTACTCCTCTTGTACTGTATGCTTAACATTGTGTTTTTTCCTTTTTGTTGCTATTACGCAAATGTAAGGTCATCTGGTTTTATCGTCTCTTTCCCGCAGGCTCTAGCTCGAGCCGGCGAGCAAGCAGCGGCATCGACAGGACAGGATGAAACACTCGCAAGGCTTCAGTTAGATGAGATCAAGGCAGCCATCTCAAGTAGTGAACGTGACTTAAACAAATTAAACAGGTTCATGTTTCGAATTTCGTGATATTAATTTATTAATTCGGTATTTAACGCTTTATTTTTAACTCAACCCTTTAACCCCTGAGGCTGACTAGCATCTAAGTTCTCCTTACTAATAAGACACTCCCGATTGTCAAACAACCTCTCCTTGTAGGTACCACAGAAAATGTATAAGGAGCAGTATGGAGAATATACACATTGATGCGAGAGTGTAAAGGGTTAATGGCTCACCATACCAGTTGATTTTGGGAGCCAACACGAGGGTGATATGAGATATCAAGTGGTTTCTTTTCTTGTTTACAGATTGAAAAAGAACCTTGAAATCGAATTGGACAAGTTAAGCAAAACTAAACAAGAGCTTCAGCATGATATCAGGTTGGTTACCAGACTGCGTGATGCTATCTTCCAGCTTCGACCGTTACACACGAATATCATTGCGTTACCTCATTGTTAATCACGGGTTTCAAGAAAATCTGGTTACCAGTGCTCTACCGCCGCCTTTAAGACCTCTTACCGCTGTCTGTTGAGCCTGCGAACAAGCTTTCGTGTTTGAGTTTCGCCTCACGACCTCTTTGACGGGCACAGCTGCTCGTTACACCATAGGCAGGTGTTTATAGAAAGAGTTCTGGGTATTCTTGTAATTAATCCTCTTTTAATTGCTTCATCACAGCAATCTTACGAAAAATCTGAAAGAACTGAAAGAAAGTTGTCGAAAGCAGAGTGAAGAGCTACAAGACCTTCTGATTCAGCGAGATAAACTTCAAGAAGAAGCCATCACTAACGGTGAACACGAAGACACCCTGGTAAATGACAATGGTCTTGATAAGCCAGTGGCCTCCACATCGAAAGTTAGAGATGTAAAGAAAAGGCCCAAAAAACAAGGGGCTGATTTGGGTTCTGAAGATGAAGCCCTGCATGTCGAGGACCTGGAACCTCCTGGTGTTTCCGCTACTCAGGTACCTTCCTTGACCGTATCAACAAACGCCTCGGTTTTAAATACCAGCCCTTTTTTCTCCGCAAATTTCGCTGAATTTTAAACCTCGTGCGCTTGAGCCCGCGTTATAGACCATATACCTGTCACGTAGCATTTCGTTATTCAGCTCTGCCGCGCCCTGACTAGGTCTTTGTGTTGTACTCTTCGGTAAGGCACTATACAGTGTCTCTCTCCACCTAGGTGCATGGGGAAACTTGAAAAGTTGCGTAAGTGTTCTTGCGATCAGCGGTTTGCCTTTCAGGCAAGGAACGCTTTCGTGTCCCTATTTTTAAGACCTATACTTCTATACACCCTTAATTTTTCTTTACTACGGTATAATTTGACCGAAAGAAAGAACACTACACTCTTACAAACACAACAACTGTGTTAAACAACTTGTAATACTCTTACTTGGGAGCGACTCTTACAGACAATACAGTAATTATCCTTTATAAACTTACTTAAGCCCACTACAAACTATAAGTTAGGTAACCACTGATACAATCTCACAGTTGTCTCCAAAGTTCCTCGAAATAAACAATCTTCCACAATACAGGTGTAGCTCTCTCGGTATAGCTTTCCAGATAATTAGTCTCTCCCGAAAACCACAACAACTAACTACTACTACACGACTGAGACCTTATATACATTTACAAAGTGTTTTAGAACATTTACGGAAGCTCACAACACAACTATTTTAGTTGTATTACATGTACATCAAAACTAAGTAACCTAATAGAACGTTCAAACAAGAATATTCATTTTTGTTTTATAGGGCAATCGTCTGGTGCCACCTTCAGACATGAAAGGTACTATGATTATAATTGTTATAATAATAAGCAATTAATCAATAATGCGATTTGATCTGTTATATTATCGGAGCAGGCGCGTTAGTAACTCACTTCTCCTCCGGGTAAAATCCCCCGATAGTATTGATTGATAATATCAATCAAATGCTCAATTCCACATTAAATTTCAGATCTAAAACCCAATTTAGTGTCATGAGGAGCGCTTTCTTATTGAATGTGTACAGTTAATTGGGATTGCCTTTGCTTTTCTTCACTTTGTGATTGGTTCCAAAAATTCGCCCCTCCTTCTCAACCAGTCAGATACAACAAAACGGATGCCAATCGTAAACTAGTTGCTTACGTTTCCCTGCATGAGAGTCCATTTACAATAATTCTCTCATTAGTGCATTGTAATATTGTCCTTTATTCTGATAGGCCGTTCCACAGGTTCTAGTTCTATGACGCGCAGTAGAAAAGCGCTCCAATGCTTGAAACTAGGTGCATTGTCGATAAAAGGCGCACAGCAGTTTATTTTAAGCAAGGCTGTGTATTTAAAGACTTCGTGGCGATAATATGACTTCTCCGTCATCTTTAACTTCTCCACTGCCTTAAGTTATTATGTTGGAATGTTCTTTGCAGTTCAATTCTTTACAAATTTGATCTCCCTCTTTAAAATGTTAGTATTTTGTTTACAGTTCGTTCAGACAGCGAGGACCTTTCCCCAGGTGAATTCTCTCCCCGGGCACCTGTGCATTCTACGGCCAAGAAAGGCTCAGCAGGAGTCCGAGCACCCAAAGAGCCTGGTGGACTGGGGAGAGCTTTCGATTTAGGTGAGCGACAATGTATGTCAGTGCAGGTTAGACCAATTCTAAGCTCAGAAAACGGACGCCGCTCTCTCAGCCAATGAGATGCAAAGCTAAAGGTTCGCGTGTTTACCTGTACTTGACGCCAGGTTGGTATGTGTTGTGCGTTATTTACTTCTGGCTTCTCGTGACATTTGCAATTTCCGGTCACTATTATTACCAGGATTTTGGTTGTACAACTCACAGTTGAAAAGCGCTCAGATACTAGTTTAGTAAAAATTTGTCAACGTTCTTTTACGAATGCTGCGATCTGCTTAGTTACGCCACTCGCTATCTATTCCATGATAGATTGTGAGTCAGGTGATTTGCCCGACAAGCTGCAATTGTAAACAAAATGAATCGTAACCATAAGCATGTCTTGTTCTTAAGCGTTGAATTACAAGTAGATTTGTACTAAAACAACTAGATTACTTGCTCTCGATTTCTATGCGTGATAATTGATAAGGGGTTCGTCTTCGTCAAATAACACGTGATAGAAATCTCGAGCTCATCTAATTGTTCAGTATAAATATTGGTAAAGGTATTGTGAAGTTTCTTTCGGGGCTGATTACGTATTCTTATAATGTTTTGTAGCGGACATATCATCTGATGAAAGTTCTTCCGAGGATGTCCAAGGAACCTTTTTGTATTTAAAGAAGAAAGCTGAACTTCGTAACAGGTGAAAAAGTCACACATTAGACAGTCCTGCATTGTTATAAAAAGCACTAAACTTGGAAAATTAGTATTCAGGTTACCAGGATAGGGTTTAGCTAAGCTCTGGTGCCTCTGAGAATAGAATTTGATGAAAAGTTGTGTTGGTTCTGTACCTTCATCAGCATCACAGAGCAGTTCCTATTTAATTTGAGAGCGTAATCCGGCGCTCAAGGCAGTCTTGGCGCCGCGTGAACTTTTGGGAGCGAGGCACTCGGAAAAGCGAGTCGAGACTTTTTCTCCGATTTTTATTGATTTGCGCGAGAATTCAAGTTGGAAAGAAAAGGACTGGTCAACAAGTTTGGACTAAAAAGTTCGTGCTTTTTCTTGCAGTGAATTGAAAAGCCGCATTGCGCAAGAAGGAGATGCTATAACAAGGGCAAAGGAGTTCTTACGACGACAACGGCGCTCTGTGCAACGAAGACAAGTAAGCAGAATTTTAGATTAGGGTTAAACGGGTACGATTCACCTCCACCTGATGATATCTTTAATAGATGCACTCAACAATTTTCAAAAACTTCATTGATTTATTATGAACATATCACAATTTCTTCATGTAAAAGACCTCCAAGAAATTATTTGCTTGAAAGATTTACGGAAAGCGTTTCACGCAATGATCCTTGATCTCGAGTATCAAGTTATATAGGTGTAGGATAATGTTTTTGTTCCATGCCAGATTATGACTTTTAACGAAACAATGTGATTTGAATGTGCCAGTTGGATTCCTTACCTGTAACCCACGGTGGAAAAGCGTCTTATTAAGAGAGATAAAGAACACAGCTAGTCACCTCGTATTGCGATAACATACGATAAATGGGCCAATTCTGATCCGATTACAGACTGTACATTTTTACGTAGCAAGGGTTTTCCTCCTCATCAGGTCGCTTTAGAAGACGCTCGGAAAGAATGGACAAATGATGTGTCGCGGAACATTTCACGAGGAAAGGTTTGTTTTAACATGCATAATTCAAACTACACTGGAATGGTGAAAGTAATTAAGGAAAATTTTACACATTGACTCCTCTTCCTCCTTTTGCAGCCGCTGTCCAGTCGTAATGCTAATTTCTTGGAAGATGTAAGAACACGCTTAGACGAGGTAAAGACGGTTTTCCTTTTAGATTAAAACTCTGGAAAGTACTCAACCATTTTCCGTCGCGCCTGGTCTCCTTCCCTTTCTCCTTTTCCCTTTTGAGGAGGACCATAGGAAAAGATTTTTGGAAAACTTGAGGGTAGTTTTCCAGTAAGTGTCGAAAGTCGCAGGGTATTAATTTGGTTTTCACTCCATTGCGCCCTTTGATTGGTCAAGAAATATCACACTACCCTCACAAGCAAGTAGCGACTGGTTCCTTTTGATGGTTTCCTTTGCTCTGTAAGGTCTTTTTGATTACTTTCGCTTTGGTTCTTTAGCACCCGATTTAAGAGGTGAGGGTGTTTACTTGCCTAGAATTGGCAAACTGACCGATTGTGGTACATATGATTCTTATACAGCACGGCCAGATGTGTTCTTGTCTCCATGCACTCTTGTTCATTTAGGAGCCTTACACTGTTGATATTTTGTTGTTTCCCAGGAGGAAGCGGAGCTTGGAGTGGTAATGGACAACATGACCGCTGGCCAAGAACTGCTGAGACAGAAGGAAGATAGGCTCAGGGTTTTGGAGAATGCCTTGTTAGGCGGAATGGTAAGCTATTATCGTTGCTATTATACTCGAAATTATCTTGCTTGAAATTGATGGGTTTTAAGTAATTTCGCGATGCGCATCAAGTGCCAAATTCTCTCAACTAACGTGAACAGTACTACCCTCTTTAAGTGTTAGGAATGTTTTCTTTTTTATTTACAGTCAACTGCCTCGGACTCAGAAGACACGTTCCTTGGGTATTCCAAAAACGCTCGTCCAACAAGAGACAGGCACCGTCCTCGGAAAACGCCGCGTAAGACTCTTGATGATGACGACAGCAGCGGCATCAGCAGTAGCGACTATGGTGACGTCATAAGCGGAAACGTAAGAAGAAGTGACGTCAAGATGGGCAGCAGACAGCCGAAAATGGCCCTTCCCAGAAACCTGAGGAAACCCTCCACTGGTGAAGACAGCTCCGAAGCCGTTCATTACTCTTTGCAGCAGATAAACACGGACTTGGCGCGAATTTTAACGTTACTTCAATCTCGTACACCATCCTTTACTTACCCAAGTGTCACGCCGGCCCCCTTCAGGGCTAAGCATGTCACGCAGCCGTTTCCTGATGCCCTCAGGGAGCCGCTTGCCGCGCCTGTTTATCCTGAAGGAAGTCGGGTCAGTCAAGCCCAGGCCCCTTATCAGTCTGGCACAGCAACAGAACCTTATCGTTCGAGAGGTGCTGGTGTTCCTGTGGTTCCCACCGGAGGTCCTGCGGTACCCAGCCGCCAAGGACAAACTAGTACTTTGTGAGTTTTTTTCGACGATTTCTTTTAAGAGGGGTTGTTGTCACTGGTATATCCTAGCATAGGCCGGTATATCCTAGCCAAGGCCATGCTTCCTTTGTTACATGTATTGCCAGTATTGGACCAGTATCCTGTGCGATGGAGCCGCAGTACTCCCAGTCGCGTTATGCTATCAAGAAGCGCCACAATACAATAACGGTTTATCTAAAATGTGGCGGGCTTGCTTGAGGTTAAATAACTATTGCAGTTGGATTTACCCGTGTGTCATTCTCTTTTAAATTACCATACATACGCTTATTTCCTTTTGTACTTAATTGATCGAATTGAAGGTCTTACTCAGGACACCGTCAAGACTAAAATTTCACGAGTGCCGTAGACATTAGAACGCTTAGATCTAATTCTTTTGTTTTATTGTTTGCCACAGCAATCCCTTGAAAAGCGCCCCTCCGCAATTCCAGGCTCCATACAGAAACCAAGAGAGCACTGAGTCACAACTGGAAAGGAAATGGAGATCCTACTTTGGAGGTGACGTTCACATCATGACTAAACAGCAACGATTTTAAAAACATTGAAGAACATAAATGGCTTAATTTGAGTGCTAACGTATTTTTATCTCCATTCGCATGATTATATCGTAGAGAACACCGAAGCATTTTATTTCCTATTTCCTATTTCAGATCAGTCACGTGACTCGCCAGCCTCACTTTCTCTCGGACCTACCATTAGTCTGTCAGGGTCAAGGTACGTAAAATGATGCACTTTCTTTTTATAATCTGAGCTGGGTGTCGCAAGGAAATCCGAGAGTGGGTTTTTTTTTTTTTTTTAACTCGAGCTACGCTAACAACACAACTGTATTATTTTTCTAATTTTTGTTGGACGACACCCGAATGAATAGGCTGTCATTCTCTCTAAGATTTCTTTTCCTTTTATTGATTTATCCTCAAAAGGGAGCCAGCAACCGTGAAGGACTGGACCTCGGAGAAGGAGTTAAGCACCGCTGAGCGATTGCAGTCTCATGCCGAGTGGCTTCGTAATTTTCGGCGCGAGGCAGGGCTGCATGTTAATAACGCAAGGGGGCTGGAAGACAGAGCAGTTTCGTATCCTTTTTCCGTTTTCAACTTAGTTTTTTTTCAGGCCTATATATCAACTAGGTGGGCTATAATAGCGTTAAATACTAGAAATCGCGCCTCAGTTTGTTCTTATATATAGAAAAAAATTACTTTTCGAGTAATTTCGTAATTAACGGGACAAATTGCTGGAACGAATGAAAAGGAACAAAGAATTCATCCTTAACTCGTTCCTAGATTCCCCTCTAGCCAAGGATCAGCACGAGACTTTCCGCCAGGGATGTCAAGTGGTCATTCGTCATCATTCAGGCCTCCTCGGCTAACGCTTAATGAAAATAATGAAATTCGTTGGGTTTGATCGCAGTTCTACAAAAGCGTTATCAAGTTCCTAGCGGTGCTGAGTTTCAAAGGAGTACGTTTAACGTAAGAAAATTCTGGAAGAAATTTTAATGAAAAAACTGATGCTTGCGTTATAGAGGCAAGACTTGACTATGTCTAAGGAATTGACGATTTTGTGAAAGGTGGTTTTTGTGTGTGATTAGGGTTTACACTCGTGATTGCAGGGAATCTGATTAAAGCAATTGAAAAACTTCTCTGTTTGCCACTACTTGTCAGGTTTTGCTCTGCTAAGCAATCTCCTTGTAATGACAGTGAAGAACGTATTCACACAAGATCTCATCCGATTTCAAAGCGAAGTATTTTTATTCGAAGCTTGAACGTAATCTTTGAAATCATGATCAATATTCATACTCCATCTTTGAAATCCTGACCAATATTCAAACTCCATTCCATTATTTACAGTGCATGTATAAAAAAAACTACGCGAACAATGAAAAAAACCCTGAGAACTACTAAGTTCTTACACTCAAAACTCGGCTTTTCGAGAAAAAATCGATAACAAGTTATTGATTGGGTATGGGCGTTTGTCCAGGAGGGAGGGGTGGTTGTGCCGGTGGAAGAATATGCCCGCCTTTACGTGACAGCAAAGTTATTTCATCCTTGAGAGCGTCGATTTCTTGAGCCTGCAATTGCACCAGCTGGACCAAACGCTGCCGTTCCCGGATGTCAGCCTTACGACTTCCGGTAAACTCCGTACCAAGTGACTTTTGTCGTGAGTTCAGCATCTGTTCAAGCTCTTTCTTTTCTTGCAATAAAACAGTGAAAGTGTCCAATCTCTGCGTGTTCTCCCGAGTAAGTTGCGTCACCTTGCCCTTGTAGGAGTCAATCTTGCTCTAAGTAAACAACAACAACAATCAACTTAAACCAGGAGTAGGTCTCGACAACCAATTCGGTGGTGAAAGTAAAGAAAGAGCAGAACCAGAAATCTGTGATGTGGGGAGAATTTGACTGCGAAAACACAGTTTTGTTTTTTTCCAATAACATAATTTCTTAAATAAGCAGAGAAGTATTTCAAACTTGCCCCCCTCTATTGCTATCTACCCTCCGATACTTTTGACGTAAAGTTTTAAAGAAGAACTCACGTTCCACTTGGCGATCTCCGCGGCGCTCTTAGACTCTTGTTGTCTGAGTTTCTCCTTTAGTTCCTCGACAGTTCTGTTTACTGTAACAGTCTCAAGCTTTTCCAGATCCACCAATCGGCCAAATTTCAACATCAACATGTTACGAACTTTCTCTTCCAATTCACCGATCTAAGGACGAAGTACATTACGATGCAGTGTTACTTAATAAGTCATGGTAATTTTGTGAGTTTTTTTCCTTTCCTATCTATTTTCTCACTCAATTATTCATTTATTTGTTTCTTTATTTTCAATCCGAAGAGCATCAGCGAGTGGGGAGCGGCCAAAGAAAAGATAGTAATCACTTGCAACGCCCGATCGCATGGCGAAAAAAGGATGATCAAAGAATCCAGTTTTTAAAGAAACCGTTACTCTGTTACTATTCTTAGAGTTTTTTGGCCCATAATTTTGGCTACTTGGTTGTTGTTGTTGTTATGTGCGACAGTTCTCCCGAAAAAGAACACTGCTTCGTGCACATCAGTTCAATAGTGGGCTTCCTGTGATTTGGCCAATTAGATGCTGCACAGTAACCTTACCCTGTTTTCCTGGACTTTCTTGTCGCGGATGAGCTGCACATGAGTCTGGCGATGCTCCCTAAAAGATGAATAAAAACAACTCAGATTTGGGTGACCTAAACAACTAATGCAAGTAGAAATAAATTTTATAATCGTCTGTGTAAAAGAGAATTTAAGATGCAAATCATATTTTTTTATCGTACCTATAAAGTCTCTTCTGCTCAGCCTTCTCTTTTTCCAGCTCTTTGATCCTGTGCTGTAGTCGTACCAGTCCAGGGCTGTTAAAAACAAGACACTGCGACAGATCCTGAGGCAGTACACTGTTTATCATATACTGGATCTGATGAAATCTGAGCACCACAACCACGTCCAGTTCGTTAAGTTTTTGCTGCTTCTCACGCTAAAATTATTTCGAAAAAAAAAAGCTGATTAGCAAGTTTTAAGGAGCTCTTTTGCGCTTACGCATCTTGAAAGACTCACGTTTATGATTTGCAATCCAAGCATTAAAATCTTTTTCATCCTTAAACAATCCCTATCCACTCCGATTCATCTCAACGGCTTTTGTTCGACATTGCAAATTATGAATTAAGATTTTACTCCAATTCAAACAATTTTTTTTAATCTACCGCAAAACGATCCCATACGCTGTTTTATTTTTAGGATTTTAAAATGGCAGTAAATTACATTTCATTCATTCTGCTTACCTGGAAAGCTTCCAAATCAGCTTCTGCCGTTTTTAAGGCACCATCGATGATCTTTGCTTTCTTTACAAGTGCGTCAGATTCCTTCTTCAAGGATTCGCTTGTTTTCTTCTCTTCTGCCAATTCTTCTTCCAGGTCTAAGCGGCGTTCGCGTAGCTGACAAACCTTGAATCGAGATATAAAAATCAGCACCCATGTCAATCAATCAAGCGATCAATCAATCAATCAATCAATCAATCAACCAGTCAATCATTAAGTCAGCCAACCAATCAGCGAGTCAATCAGTTAGTCAACATGTCAATCAATCAACTACGCAATTCACTTGTTTTAAAGCAGAAGATACGGTTACCCTCTCTACCCGAGCTAGAACCTCATGATTAAACCGCATGACGATAAATTAAAAAAACTCACATAGAAACTCAGCGAAACTGATTTCAGTAAATACGAATAAAGTCAAGTTAAGTTGCTCGAGCCTAGTGGTATATTGCTGTCGAAGCTTATTCCATTGTCCGCAGTATAATGCAATTTGAACATCATTAGTCCCCACTAGACGGGACGTTAGTTCCATTGAAGGTTATTTCCAAGCAATTCACCAGGTTTCCCTGACAATTTGAAAGTATCCAATTGTCTAGCCCAAGAACACACCACATTGGCCCGCGCAAGGCTTGGGCCCAGAACTCTCAATCCATATTCCGACGCGCAAGCCACGAGGCCACAGCGTCAGCCACTCCTTCTTGCAATAGTCCCCACATACTAAGGATTAGTAACACACCTGATCGAACAAAGCTTGGTCACACCCTGGTGGACACACGCTGTCGTCCAGTTCCTCTGCGTCAGAATCCTCTTCATCACTGGATGACAAATCCTCGTCGCTGTCCTCATCCTCGCTTTCTTCGTCCGAACCCTCCTCAGCTTGAGTTTTCTTCTTGGCACGTTTGATTTTTTTCTTAAAAACGCGTGTCAAAAACGACTCGAACTTGTTGTTCTCACCAAGAGCTGCCGTGAATGTGGTGTACAGCGCTTTTTCCTGCTCTTGTAGCTTTTCGATGTCTTGTTTCTTAGAGTCTAATTTCAACTGACAGTCTTCCACCTGGAGGAGAAACAAGTTTGATCCGTTATCGTTCAAGCCAAGACCAAAAGATTAGACAAACACCTGTTTCCATTAGTTTTAACTGGCTGGCCCGCAATTTTTTCCGCAAATAGATATACAAATACAGCGCCAGCTAATCTGTCCTTTAAGTAGGGCCAATTAGTTTATACACTTCTAGGCAGACTGCACGTGATACGCGCGGGAGTTTGAAGATGACAATACAAATTTCTCAGGTGTTTTGAACTCTAAGCAGCGTTGGTTGCGTGCGCCGGCAAGAACATAGGTTTTTCAGTTTCGCCAGGTCTAATAAAATCGACAAACCATTAATGAGTGCTGGAGCAGTGCTCAGAAAATGAGTTGGAATATAAAAATATTTTGTTGAGTTTGCCACACGACAATCAACGTTTGAAGAAAAAAACAAACAGCTCATCGCTGTGAAGTCTTTCTTAATACCTTCTCCTGCATCTCCTCCTTCTCAGAAAGTTTAGTGTTTACTTTGTTAGCAAAGCTGTTCTCTCTTTTCTCGAACTCTTTTAGCAGCATGAATTCTTCAAACAGAGTAACTTGCCTGTCAAAAAAGAAACAAAATCAACCAAACGAGGCTTAGAGTCTTCCCAAAGGTTGGGGTTCATAAATACAATTTCTGTTCTGTTACTTTACAGCAGTATCTCATTTTATTGTCGTTTTTAATCATTATTTATTGTACCTGTGCAACAGTTACTGAATTGGTAAATAAATAAAGCTTACACTGGTTCTCAAGCTGCTTCCTGACAAAAAACCCAAACGCTTAACGCCAGGATTCGTGGAATAGAGTAACTGGAACACCAAGAGGGATAATCGAAAAGTTACCCTTAGTATACCTCTCTCAGCCCTCCCACCTTCCCCCCCCCCCCCGCCCCCGACGCGATCTGACGTCAACAGGGCAAAAAGAGAAATCGTGAAATTCGAAGGAAAAGGCGATGAGAAAAAAATTGAGACTGGGAGACCCCCTATTTTGCTGTTTTCATACCTGCCGCTTCAAGTCTAAGAAACTTCAAACCCCTTTACTATATGGAACTCACCTTAAGTCAGCGCACTTCACAGCAACTTCTAGATGCATTTTGTCGTGTCTTAGGTATCGCAGATCGGCATCAAATTTTTCCAATGTGCTGGTGATATTGTCGATCAATACATCTTGTTCGTATTGTAACCTGGATTGCAGAATAGATTGTTCAATATCATATGTTAAAAAACTTGTGGAAGTTTCAGGGTTTAGAGTTAGGGTTCAGAGTTGTTGGGACACTGTGAGCCTTGAAGTCACAATACCTTGCATGCGACAAAACCGAAAAAAAACGCACAATACTTTCAATTTTAAAATTCCCCGGTTAGCCAGTGTTGACATATTTTCCCGCGCGTGGGACTAGCTGGACCATTCCCGCGCTTGCCTTTGATTGGCCAGTTTCCCGTGCTTGCCGCCGGTTGCCCATTTTCTTGCGTTCCTTGCCTAATTTCATTTTGGCGCACGTTTTAATAGTGTGCCATTTTCACTTATTTAGTAAGACATTTTCCTGTTCCTTTTGTTGACGAATCAATTAGGTTTTCACTCAAATACGCCCCCACCCCGCCCCCTTTCCCCTCCGAACAAAAAAAATTGTTGAAAGAATACTTGTCCAACCTGATTTGCTCTTCATATTGCATCTCCTGCTCCAGCACGGACGGGTCCTCGCTGATGTCCTCTAACGCGGGCTCGGGGGTTTCTTTGTCCGTCAAAGTACTCAAACT